CATTGCATTATATGACTGATCATTGTTCCATCAGGGGTAGCAAATAATGATTTAGGTACATCTTCAGGCACGATACAAATTTGTTCATATGCGTCCTTACCATCCAGCAGGGAGTGAAACGGGTGGGATGCGACATTTCGTAGGATCGTGTCGATGTCAGGTAGCCCATCTTTATCAGGGGCAAGGATAGGTGAGGATGATGTCCTCAATCTCCTCTTTGCTGATCAAGGGCAATCTTTCAGGGACGGCGTGGGGGCATTCCTCCCTTTGGTAGCCTTATTTTTGGTATCCTCTGCTGAGGATTCAGTGGACGACACTTCGCTGTCATTGTCTGACTCTGACGAAGAATCAGACGAGTCAGGGTTGCTCAGGTCACTTCCCATCATTGCATGCTTAACGGAACTCTTATTTGGCAGTAGGGAGGAAGCTCTCCAATACCTAGTATCACTCTTTGCCACTTCGCTGCTCCTAGGTCTGGTTATGCTTGGTGGGTCACTGTCTTTTACTGGGGCTACCTCCTCACCAATCTCATCCTCTTTATAAGTCAGGGCGGGGGAATCAGGTGCTTGGGTTTGGTGAGTCGATTCCGGGTTGGTGGGAATCGGGGCACGGAATGTGTCATTTACTAATTTTTGCACCATCTCCTCGCGAGTCTGGGCTTGGATAACAAACCTCTCTAGCTCATGTACCCTCTCTTGGAGGTTATCCACCTTGTTGCATTTGTCTGCAAACTCCTCTCTTGCGATCTTTCAGAATCGCCGCAGCGCTAGGTTCTGCATTTGGATAGGCCCTCAGTGGTTTTCGTTGTCCCACATTTTAACAAGGGACTCGTCTGAGTCATCAGGTGCGGGGCGGTTCAATTCAGCCATGTTTTCATCAAATGTGGTCCAATCACCTAACCAGTCCTTGAAAAGTTCTTTCTTAGGGGGACCCCCTTTTTCTAGTGGGTCCACACTCTTTCCCTTATCTAAGGGGGCTTTACTCAGCTTAGGGCTAGTTTCGGTCGGGCTTGGGGTTGGTTTTAGTACTGGGTACTCAGGTACATCTCCTAGGTCATCATTGTCATAGGAGTCTGACCAGTCAAAAACTTCCCTTAAGCGGAGGACATTATCTTTATTCGGAGTACTACTAGGGGCGGGGCTGCTTGCAGCGTTCGATGCCATTGGTGGATCTAAGTCCACGGGATTCAGGTCACCATGACCGATTCCAGAGGGAGGCTCTGCCACTGGGCTGCCAGTCCCTTTGTCTCCAGAGACAGGGGTGTTGTCTCGAGACCTTGCACTTTGGACTCCATGTCCAGAGGTGCGGGCATCAACACTCTGAGCCCTCGACTGAGTCGAGGGGAGTGGAGAGGCTTTGCCTGGTATACTTGAAGGCATTTCATCTGATATTGATATCATCAGGAAAAACCTCCCACAGGAATCCACTGAAATCATCAAACTTGCATGTAAAACAGCTGAATTCCAGAAAATCTGCTAATTTGACCGAAATCGACCGAAATCATTGTATTTCGAAAGTAATAAAATCTGCCGGTCAGATTAAGCAGAAATTGTTGTATTTCCAATGAACTCGGAGTAAATTCCACCAGTCAGATTATAGTGAGATAAGCATGCCTGTCACTAAATGAGTTTACAAAGAAGGTAGAACAAAGCTCCAGAACGGTACTGCTCGTCAAGGTACGACTGGACCGAATTTTGGAATAAGGTGTACACTCCTGCGAATATCAGAGATATCGATGATGCTTGCAAGACGCTCTCCATTACGAATGACGCAGGAAATTTTGTACAAACCATGGTTTGCTTCGGGTTGCCTGAATGGCGTGAACCACTCCACATAAGCAAAGTGGGTAGGTGCCTTGGCAGGTGTGCGAAATAAGGCAGTCGCAGCATGACTTGTCAGTGTGAAGACGACACGGACTTGTGCAACACGATACCCTGAAATTCATGATCAAATATTAGTTTAGTGAGGGAGTAGTACGAAAACACAACTAGAACAAGAATGAGAATGGTGACCATTGACCGTCGAGAACCGGCAAATGAGAATGAGCGAGCGGCGAGATCACTAGTCACAAGTGCAATTATATGAATCGGAAAATGAGTGAAAACAAGCAGGAACACTCACAGGCTAAGTGCGGACAGGGACAAACAAGCGCAGAAACACAGACATGAAAAAACAAACTAGAATGATTAAAAATGAGTGAAACGAGTGGCAAACACCCATATAAGAAGAAATACTCGCAAGTGGACAAGCAGAAATGAGTGTAGAGCATTAGCATAATAAAAACGGTTGAAAATGTAAATGGTAGCTACAGCGCAGCACTGAGGAGCGAAACACTTAGACGGATTCTGATCAATCCGAGAAATGCCGAGTTTATTCTCACAGTTGAATTTTAAAAGTTTGGTTTGAAAATAATGGGTCTCAAAGTGAAATACAAAACTCACAAACAAATAAAAAACTTCGGCATCACTTGAAAATTTCGGCACCTTCAGACTCCGACAGAGCCAGTGCCAGTGCATACTCGGGAACATAATTGTCGCCGTCACCATCGTCGTCGTCGTAATCATCATGGCTGGGGTTGTTAGTGGTCGCGGACATGGATCTCGAGGTCGTCCGGCGAAGCGTGGTAGTCATGGGTTGGTCACCGAATCTTCTACTCCTCCAAGTGCTAGCCCGCCAATCAGTGCAGGAGCAGGAGAGCGATCCAAACCACCTACCATACACTGGGACAAGAAAATAGTCCACGCACCGCTCGCCTTATTGAATGGTGCAAAGTCAACCAGAAGGCTCAACTCAAAATCTTCTCGGATTCTACGAAGGATGCAAAAGAGGAAGGGCGCACACGCCAACAAATGACGACACAGAAGAATGCATACCTGCAGCAACTTGCAACAACCATTTTCCAACATGATGAAGATCCGAAGGTTAGGGAATACTTTAGAGCGCATCCCCTTGCCTTTACAAAGCCCATTCAAAGTCGGTTTACATCGTGAGTCCTGGTTATGACCACAACAAATATCAGTACCGATCTGGCCACTAACTAGCTACTTTACTAGGCTACGCAAAAGTATAACGAAATCAACATGCAACTCGGCCAGACTGGTGCTGGTCTGTCTTTCGAGGCTATCAACGGAGATGAGAAGATGAAGAGCATACTTGGTTCGTACTTTCCTTTCTGATGCCAGCATACACTCTAAAGGTGTTCTAGACCGGCTCTTGGTGGCATTCCCATGGTGGGTCGATCTCCATGGGTGGTGGAGAACCAATCCCGCGTAAACACCTCATTTTGACGGCTGATCCAGGCCAGGATTTTGCGGCTGAGGCCGCAAGTCTCTTTGGGACAGGCAAGGGCAAAGAGATCAGCTCTGCCGATGGATGACTGAAACCATGTGGATGTGGATGAAGACCTGTGCCGATATGGATGAAGACTGTGCAGATGTTGATGAAGACCTGTGCGGATGTTGATGAAGACCATGTGGGTGTCGATGAAGACCGTGCCAATGTCGAGGAAGGGATGAATCAGGGCGAGGATGACGATGTTCAGTATGGACGATAATGATGTCCCCTCCACATCTCACAACGGCGAAGATCGGGACTGGCCCTGACTGGGATAATCCAACCAGATCCATCATCACCACGGCTCACTCAGCCCGAGCCTCAGGCATCATCAGTCCAACTCCTCACTCATTATACAGCCTCCCCCAGGTCTTCAACCACCAGTGTCTACCTACCAACGCCCATTCATATCCTCCATCAACACGAATTGTACAGTGCAGCGAAGGCCCTACTATTTCTCTCAATTCTCCAGAACCTGATGATGGCCAGCGAAAATTTCCCTTACCATCCACCATTTCCTCAGGCAAGACCAAGGTCGCCGTCTCTCAAGACATGCAGATAGATCCCTCGTCTGATGACTCTGATGCAAGCACAAGCCGGATGATGAAATCCCTGACCATGCATTCACGCAAAACCGGTGGCACTCATCATCTTGGCCACACATCATCTGATCAGGATTCTGATCTTTCCTCAACTACATCTAGCAGATCTGTCTCTCGCAAGCGGCCACGTGATGCAGTATCCGAAATTAGTGCAAAGCTAAACGAGGCATCAGGGTCCCTTGCTAAGCACATCCAGGAGTCATCTATCGCCAAGGCTGAACACAAGCGCTTCAAGTTAGAGTCCAAGATGGCTGGTATGAAGCTCAAGGGCCGTCAACACCAAGAGGAGCGTGAACACATATTCCGCAGTACTACCGCAACTCAGAATCACGAGCGTGCTATGGCAGATGAACGGACGAAGCAACTTGAATTGGAGATAAAGCTAGAGCAAGTGAAGTTAGAGCGCTTGGCTTTGGAGAAGGAGATGTCTCGTCAGGGTAACTAACAGTCATGCATCCCACGTCAAATCATTTGGTGTTTTTCATTCGTTCTCACAAATTCATACTGCATTTCTAGGCCCATTTTTTCATTGTAGCTAATCATGTATCCAAGTGTTTGAATTGAGCCCCCCTCGCTTTCCTTGCATCGCTCATTCAGATCTGCGCAATAGCTGACCCATCAGTGTGTCCCGAAAAATCTGCCCTTCTGAACCGATGAAGCTCTCATCTCCGGCACCGTCTTCGTTGTCTTCGCCATCTTCACCACCTTCTTCCTCCCTGCTATCTTCGCATCTACCCCATTGTCTTGCTTCACGGGCAAAGTGCCCAAATGAATCATCAGCAGTAAGTTTTTCTTCGATTTCAATGATCATGTTATGAAGGATCAAACAGCACCGCGTCCACATATTTGCCTCGTCAAGATCTCGCTGCGTCTGTATTTGGATCCGCAGTTCACGAAGGGACTGGAAGCGTCCCTTCAGTGAACCGTAACCGTGTTCAGAGCGAACACGGACCTGGAAACGTTGTGAGTTGATTGGTGTGTGACAACGGTTTGTCTTACCTTTGACAAATGATAGTTGAATGTTTTTTGATTACGGGTCAACCCACCAGCTGCCGGCCGCTTAAAGGGCACGACACACCATGGACGAGAGCCATACGCTGTGTCTGCCCAAATCCACTCATTCCCGCTCAAAAAATTTTGGGGATTGCGCGCAACCCGGGCCTTCGAAAATGCGTTAGAGTCGTGCACACTCCCAGGAACTCCAATGACATAGTCGACAATGCGCAGGTTGTGTGGCATGATTACGACCTTTTGAACATGTGAGTTTGTTTTTTTTTCATTATAGTTCATGGCATACCTGAGCTGATAGTGAGTAGTTCGATTTGCGATCGTAAAAGCCCTCTCCGTGCCATCCGGGCTTTTGAAATAAGTTAAATGGTGTGCCGTCGACACAGAGAAAACCGCCCCTCCACTCTGGGCATGTTTGTTCTTCGACCCACGTCTTTGCCCTCTCCCTCTCGATCTGATCGTCCTCATAAAGTGGGTCGAAATGTATTACGGTGTCATGATGCTGAAGAAGCGCGATCATTACACGTCGGTGACAGTTATAAACTGTCCCTGTCGAGATGCCTGCCCATTCTGCTATGTCTTCCGTTGTCGCCGCATTTCCGTAATGACCTGCACTATTTAGGAACACTGCCAGCTGCACCGGGATAGGCAACTGTGGGTTATTGGAGTTGTTGTGGAACACTGGGTGGGCAATGATTAAATTAACAAGGTGCTCGAAGACAGGGGGATCTACGCGAAGTTTACGGCGAAATTTCTCGGGATGATCCAGCGCCCACTCCTCCAGCAGATGGAGCTGTGGTGCACGGCTCGATTTTGGACGTGCGAAGAGGACGCGACTCTTCTCGACTTCGTCATGCAAGGCTTCGATCGTGTCACTGAATTCAGTGAAACTACGCGACATCGTTAGTATCTCGGTCGCAGAGGACGCCGACATCGAAAAAAGCGACTCGGTGACGGAGGAGGTGGACGATATGGATGACACATCCATCATGCTACGAGTATCATCCGAGTCTGGAGACTTGGATGATGAACTTGAACTACTACTACTATCCCACTCATCAAGTCCTTCGATTGCGGTCTTGGCTAGTTCCAGGTATCGAGCAAATTGTAAGTCTATTTGGTTGGTACGTAGTGCTTGTAGGATGTGTTCGCGAGCTGAGGTATGAGGCATTGTTCATCGTTATCGATTACCCCGCAATTGTACTTTGTATTTGTTATCTTATCAATTATGGCGGAGCTTCAATACGGCTTGAAGCCGTCATGTTTTAGATCTATATTTTTTTTTTGTTGCTTTGATATTTTAACTTTGAGACCCACTAATGTCAGCACTGACATTTGACTCCTCACGAAGTAAGAGATCTAGTCTCTGCTGGGAATATTGACCGACAGGTGATAGAAAATTGATGGCCATAGCAGCATAGACAAAAAGACCGCCTGCCTTAAAGGAAAGGGTCTCGAATTCAGCCTCTGATGGCGAAGATTTTAGGGTCGCCGGAAAACGGTGGAACGACTTGTCCATATGATGCTCGCGGAAAGAAACGAATGTCTTGTACAACATCTGCATCACGTGTGATGAGGGAAATCTGGTGGACACCAGGTGACATGGTCGCGCGGATACGAGCCTCGGGGCGGCTCGTACATATCAGGTGGATGGTCAGCAAGTCTGGGCCCGAGAGCGTCTCCGTGAACAGCGTAGCCAGTCTTGCCGCCTCTTCAAGAGAAAGGTATTCAACAAGAGCATCGATGATGATGGGATAAGGCGTCTCTTGATGGAATCTCAGCTCCCGCATCTGATCAACACGAGATTTTTTAGACGATAATAGAATCTCGTCTTTCTCGATCCCTTGCGCGATATCGCCTCGAATGCGCGGGAAAAGTCAGTGCGAGCTGGTGTCAATCTGTGCATGCTTGTGCGAGAAAAGGAAAGTGGTGGCAAGCCTTCCAGCTCTTTCATCTCCTCAGCTACGGTGAATGCGACGGATGTCTTCCCAACGCTGGCGAGGCCATTGAGCCAAACATTCGTTTGATCACGTCGGTCGAGGACTTCTCTCAGACTCTCCCGAAGCCCAACTCCGTGCATCGTGAGTGAGGCTACCAGGTTTTTCGGAATCGAAAATGCCACTGTGTTCTATGGCAGTGCATAGACTCTTCCATGTGTCGTTAGAAGACGATGTATGTATTTAGAGGGAAGCCCGTTAGCACAATTATAGACGGGTAAGCAAACGACAAACTTACAGAAATCTATTATTGGGGAGCTGCGATTGAGCGCTTGGGAAAGATCCAGGTATATATATCATGGTTGTGTCAAGCAGGGCGCTGAGGCTGTGTCTACTGTGAGCTGTCCATCCAAGTTGACATGGGTCGAAGAAAAAGAAGTTCGACACCGTGGTTTTACTCCCGCAGTCTGTCCTGAACGGTCGACCCAAGTCTCATGCTACTGCACTCCTTCCCTTGCGGGGCCGCGGACGGATTCAAACACGAGTATAATGAACTAATGAATCACGGACACCAGATAGTTGGAGATAGTCGTACTAGGCTAATTGCCTTGCTGAGTTGCTCAGCATGCAGTACTCATTAGTCAGCGAGGGACGGTTAATTCTACTCTTTGACATCGATCGACGAGCGGCAGCCGGCAAAGACACAACGATGGTGCTACCTCTCAACAAGACCCAACTATTATTCTTGGAGGCCCAACCGCACAACAGCGCTACAGTCGAATCATTGAATCTCAACGATCATATCGGGACAGTCGTTCAGGTCACCATCAGGAGCAAGAACGCAAGGTAACAAGACAACTGCTGGGGATAATTTCAATTTTATCCTGGGAGGCTTGACCACATCTTGTTTCCAGTCCTTCGAAGGCGGAACTGGCTATATTCGCTATAGAACAGCGCGATATCACGGTAAGCGCGCATTAGCCGTCAGCTCGGCCGAACCTGAAGTCCAACTGAAGTCACTTACATATTCAATTGATGTCCCGACAGACGGCTATAGAGACGCTACTACTTGGACATGTTAATGGTTCCGACTCGAAGAAGCTTCCCAAACGCGTGATCATCCGAGAAGACAGGCTGCTGGGATACGTTCTTGTTGGCGGTAAGGAGCTGCATTTTCTGTTTTGTTGATTTATCTCGTTACAAAATCGTTCAAACCTAACTTTGACTTGACCATCGAGCTAATTGTGTTCATTGATGATTTGTAGAGCGACAGGAATGGACGTACGGGCGACGTAAACAATTCTACTGGGGCAGACATCCGTTAAGGAGTGGCGAAGACAAATGGGTATTCTACTTCGAGACCACGAAATTGCAGGTTAACTATGCAGGGCGTCGAGTCTGAAATTGTTTTTGTAGACCATGGTCCAATGTTTATCAAACTATCAGCAGTATCGCTGTCGCCCAGCTGTAGACCTGCGGAGTGTAACCGATGTGAAGGTGCTGTCGGCTTTTTATTGCTCATACAAACTGTGTCCATACATGATACGAAAGTGTGCCTTTCTCTTGTATGTGCATCCGTCCAAAGTCTCCTACAGCCAAATATTTGCAGAATAGCTTGATTTGAACATGTTACACAGATTCGGGCTCGTTCACAGATCTCTCCTCATAAGTATGTCATTCCACTAGAAGAATTACCGCGAGTATATCTTTATCGTCGAGCATTCAAAGATGTTAGGCTTCTGAAAGCGAATATATGCGTATTCAATGTCATCAATATTAATATCGATCATTCAAACTAAGGTGTCAAAAGGTAAGAGCTGAAGTAGCGCGAGCCTAGAGATAAGCTAGTAAACACCATGTACCGTAGAATAGGAAATATACGCACCTCAGTCAATGGTAAGAGAGACTGAGGCGCGACGACAGAGTTCAGCTGTCTTAAGTAGCAAGAAGGAAAAAATAATCGTAACTAGGTAAGTGACGTACAATGACAAGTATGATATATTGAAGTAGTACCGGCTCAGGTGCTCTGACGGATCACTTTCTTAACATAAGGCATCCGCCCACCCCTGAAACAAAGCAGGAGGTTCATGCCGTGCAGACCTTCCCTGGAATTCACGACGTCCTGGCTTAGATCTGCGAGGTATGGCGCCCAGCTTAGACGTGCTGCGCTGAGATTGTGTGGGTAGTTGAAGGACAACGGTATTGTCAGGAGGGATAGTCTTCTAGGTGGTACCCATCTTGTATGAGATGAAGAAGTAGCTACGCATAAGTATCACATACCACAATTGATTTTGATCGGGGGCGAGATGCCGGGAAGTCGGCTGCGCCCTTCAATGCCAAAGATGGACCTGATACAGTAGAATCCTGACTAGTCTCAGGCTTTATGTCAAGGATATCGACAGAGCTGATTTCCGCGGACGTAGAATCCAGTTGTTCCGTTATCACAAGCGGTGTGATATCTTGTTGATGCTGAAAGAGGCACCTCCGCTCCCGTATGATGGCACTTTGCAGCATGAGCAAGTCGATGTGCTCCTTTATTTCATTAATCTGCCTTCGCAGAGAAATTAATTGATCCTGAAGAAATATGAACGTTTCAATTAGACGTCAGAGTTCCAAGGATTTACTTACCTCTGCACCGAGGGAGCCAACGCTATCATGATTACTGTGCATAACGTTTGCTAGAGGTCAAGTGACTAAGTGAGATGGCCGAATGAGCGAAATATAAGTCAAATGCTTCGGGGAGGAGTATGATTTAGGGAATGTACAGACGTTACCCGCACAGGATTGCGCCTTTATACCATGGTTTGGTGGCAAGACCAAGACCAAGTGGAAGGCGCCGACCGCTGAAATAGGATTTTTGAGTTCTCGATCCCTGCAGTTGCACAGGTCGCTGATCTTAAGGCTCATTGCACTGCCTGCCTGCGTCTGCCACAGTTGGGTGCGGCGATCAATGATAACGCCATGGTTGAAGATAAGCGCAAAAAGGCAGGGGACCGTATCAGTCACCATCAACAATGACGATACCCTTGACACTAGTACTTCCAAGAGTCCCCACAGCCTGTCAGACGGTGACCCAAAGTTGATATGCATCATAAATTTCCTCTGAATGCCATCTAATCATAGGCTGAGAATAACTGTGAAAATAAGTTACTTTTCGATGGGTTGAAGCATTAGCGCTGACGCTGGGAAGCTTGGTTACCGACATGTCGTACGCCTCCTTGATGCTGCCAGCGGCCTGTGCATGACAGCAAAAGCTCAAGGCACTAGGCAGGTGCCATAGCTTAGTCAGCACCTGATTTATTGAGCGGGATCTACCGGAGAAGGCGGTAAGTCGGAGATGGATGCTATCTTGGAATAATGCCCTCATCAACTTCATCTAGCGAGTGTACATATAACTCTTCGAATTCCACGCTCGTACGTAGTTTTTCATTTGTTCATTTTCTCGCTGATTAACTTTGTTCCAGGTTGAAATAGCAGAGTCCAACAAATCTATGAGATGTGTCGTTTCGCCGTTATTCGTCGTGCGCATACACACGTTGTGACCCCTACGAAACATCCGCTTTTTTACTTATCAGACTAATGTAGCATCCTGTTCTCTCTCCACTGTCTGGGGCCGCCAAGATTCGCGTTGAGAAGACATCGAGTGACATCATTGACATCAAGCCCATTTGGCGAACGTGCTACCGGGGATGTGCTTACCCAGCCTTGCCCCTGGCATCTCCCTCGAAACCGTCATCCGGTGTTTAATGCCAAAATTTTCATCGCACGACGATCCTCGCGGTGGTCCCCGACTCTACGAAGGTTCTGTCAGGTCCAAACGTTCAGGCACCAGCTGTGCGCGCGCCGTATGAAAGATCCCCTTTTTCTGAAGTGGCCCAAAGCACTCGGGCAATCGCGATCGCCGTGACGATGTTAGTGTGGGTCAAGTCTATAATCTCATCGATTTTCTTCGATAACGCAGTTACTCGTTAAATATTAATCTTAAAACGGTAATTCCCTGTGCACTATTGACTTGCGCCTCTCCACTTCCATCTCGTCACTTTGCTGTTGCATATCCGCGTGCTCTACGTGTAGTCCTCGATTGTCTCTTTGCCATCTTCTTTCATCTTCCGCCTTGCATTCTTTTCATCATGTCTTGGTCCTCGGATTCCTTGTCCTGCCAAGCTTCTTCCACGCAGCTGTCAGGTCTTGCACTTGAAATGCCCCCGTCTTGCATCTTCCTTGCCTTCGTCTTGCGGTTGAAGCCCCTGCCCTGGTAAGCTCGTCCTCCGTCGTCCTGCCCTTTTCAGTTTCACAACTCTCGTCCTTCCTCAGGTGCTGTTCATGCGTCGTTGTCATATTGCAGTTTATGCGCAAGATTTTGTGCACACCGTACACGCACTTGTGTTCTTGACGTTGCAGATTGTCCGCCCCGCGATGTTTATCACCTTACCCAATCATACCATCTGTTTCATGACCCATTGTGCTACCAACAGTATCCTTCTGTTATGTTTGGGCAAGCGGTCTCACGCCCGGCTCAAAGAGAACAGCGTTCAGCATGTGTTACAACATTTTGTGTAATCTCGCACTAAGCTCTCAGCTGAACCCGATGAACACCTCCTCTGTCATCTTGAAGCTAAACTTCCCGCTATTTCACTGGGAACGGTAGCCACATTGATTGCGACCGAGTTTCATCATAACTATGGTGCAGATGTTGCAGCTGCTTTGCCCGCGTTCATTCTGGCATCTGTTCATGCACCCGCTACACCTTCGTTCGTAGATAATTCGCCCGTGTGGGTGGACACCACTTTCGATGACCTCACTCGTCGCCTTGAGCGACTTTCTCGAGATGACATGCACACCTGTATTCGTCGCTTACCCCGCCAACACCACTCATTGTACAGTACAACACACGGTCGCACCGAAAATCGTACAATGCTCTCGCGAGAGCTTTTGGGGGGCTTGTCCTTTTCCTAGTGTTGCGTCGTTTAGACGTCACACGACGTTGATCGCTGTCCTGGAGTATGAATTTTGGGCAACCGTCATTCAGAGCTTAGGGCAAGAAGTTGAGTCGCCCTTGTCAAGGCGTAAAGTTGCTCGTGCTGAAGTCAAACTGTCTGCCCTAGCTGATGCACCGTACTGTTCGCGAACAACAGGTTGAGTGGCTTGTCCCTTGTTTCTGAAGATGGTGTGTTTCATGGCTTTCACGGTCGGACAACGAACCCCTCGCCGTGCAAGACACTACAATGTTGTCACACTTTCAATAGTTCAAATATAAATATGTCGGGAGTGCGCTCGACATATGAGAGAAGCTACTGCAACAGTTAGGTATTAAATTCAAAATGTCTTCGTGCTTTACTTGTGCATCATCCTGTGCTGTAAATGAGGACAGATAATTGAATAATAGAACCTGTGAGTTGTGAGAGCCGAAGCACTTGATTGACGGTTCGATGGCTGCATCCTGTCACTTGCGTGCTGTCTCGCTCTGGTATATCGACGGTTTCTGTGCATGATGATGACGGTCGGTGGTTGTTGTACTAGTACTCCCCAAGTTATGATGACGACTTACGAGAGTAGCTAGCATGAGCGCCTTCATTTGGTGTCGTTCCAATAATAAATAAAAGCAGCTAAGTAAAATTTCTAGATTCTGGTCTATCGATATGAAAATAGCTGTAAGTAGCTAGAAGTAGAAGTTTTGTGAAAGTGGTGTAGTGCTGATAGGGATAGTACGTAGCCACTACACTATCAGGCGCTACACAAAACTGTAAGTTATTCATTCAGAAATTTGCCCCACTTGACCCCAATCACTTTTTCTTCATACTGAGGAACCAGCATGCCAGAATTATACGACGGCGTCCATTTCGTGCTGCTCCAACCTCGGCGGAGAAGTCCAACATAGACAGTCCTCGAACATCGTACTGACATGTATGCAGTCATCACGGGCATGCGTATCCCAGATACTAATGATAAGACGGGGCGCGAGAATAAATGGCGCGGTATTGATGAAAGTCTCTGAGAGAGTCATCGCCAGGACCTAAGAGTGTAAATTTTTAGCTGGTCTCTCTGTACAATCCTTTGAAAGCATCGTACCGGAATATGAGCCCATAATATAACCAGTAAGATTTGGTTTGTCAAATTCCTAGCAGGGATCGATGGATACGTTAACAGCCCACTCGACGAAGGGAGACTTACAGGACAAAGTACAAGATATGATGCCGAACGATCATAACCATATAGGTATTAGCTCTCATTGGGATTTCCCTCCGTTCCTTAAGGTGCCTCACGAGGATGACAACTGCGAGAACAACCAATAAGATATCATAGCACACAATGGGGATGGAAGTGTAGATCGCAGGCATAGGCCCTATGTTGAAGGAAGAAGTGCAGTACTTGGCGTACGGAGTTATGATTTCTTTCACTACGCAATGAGGCGGAATCAGCATGCAGCCAACTCCATCCGAGTAAAAATTCACCCGAGAACGCGTTGCGTCGACTGTATAGATAAATGTCCATCCAGATTGAGAGGGCGACGATGGGCAAGAACAATCCCGCTAGAACATAAAGTAGGAACTTGGATTGGTTGCATATAGCATAAAGACGCCAGATGAGAATGGCTGCGGACGCAAGGTTTAAACCCATAGTGAGATGCGAGAATGTATATTATACCTTCCGCAAACCAGAAATATACTGAAAATCCCCATTCAATTAGAACGGCAAGACCGTAGCCTAATTCACCTTCATGATAAGTGAATGCGCATCAGATTGAAAATAATATACTTGCAGCTATAATGATAAGAGGACAACAACTCGTGAGACTTGACTCTTGAGACATACTTGGGACGTACGGCTAGGACGTGGGTCAGTCCAAAACTCTCTAAATAAAAAGCATCGATACACTGACTGATTCAGGCATGTACAACAGACCTCCCCCTAGCGCTAGTCAATTGATAATGGGCCAGGTAGACACAGGGTTACGCACAGAAGCCGCACAGCCTGGTGTGAGTGTCAGTATGAAAAGTGCCGTGTCAAGAAGCCATAATGACGTACACTGCCAAGAAAAGACCAAAATATCGAACCTAGTGTGGCAAATAAAATACAATGCAATTCATAAGCGCTTTCAAGCAGTGCGAAACTCACAACGAGGTACAGGTATGACATTATCGACCATGGTCGTTTCTGGAGGTTCAGTCAATCTCCGGGCTGATATGATTGTGCAGATCTAGGTTGGACACTGACCCAGACATAATCAACCTATGCTGATAATAAGAACTCGACCGATAGAAGACCGTGACCTTCATTTACCTCTTTGTTTAACTGAAGAACTAGACAATCTTTCGTTCAGCGGCAGTAGTGACAAGGTTCCCGAAGGCTACAAACGGTACTCATATAACATCAGGGTAATGATTAGCACTGAAACTGATGTTCAGCACAATCATGATGGTCACAAATCAATTAAAATATGCTGACGAACCACCTGCATCGTTGTTCCAGCGGAGACCAGCGACAACTTCTTGTTCTGACATGAGATTGTGCAGATCAAATGGGGGCCTGAAGGGACTGATGGACCGCTAATCGTTGATTACTGATATACGATTCTTATAAGGCGTTGAAGTAGGGGCCCCTAGGGGCGTTTGGCGGTGTTTAGAGTAGAGTTTGCCGGCAGGGAGCTGCGTTGCGTGGGAGTGCAATCCATTCCTTCTCGAGTGTAGCATCCAGTGTGAGGGCAGTCCGAGCCCGCTCCAACTGGTGAACAGAGCGAGTTCACCTCGACCAAGCTTCGCTTTGGTCCTTCCCCCTTCGAGTCCAGAGTCCAGAGTCATAAGAGCTGAGTTCAGGGCCGAGTTCAGAGTGAAGCAGAAGCCTCGTGGAGTCCACGAGTACACATTCGAGAAATCAATAGAAATCATCGCGTTAGAACCACGAGGAAAACACGTTCAGAGCATAGCCTTCTAATTCCAAAGAGTACAAAACCCACTGCTCATGACTGTCTTTTCTCTAGCCAAGCGTACGAAGAAGAGATCTCTGCCACCCAGAGACAGTGCAGGACATTTTATGTCGGAAAAAGGTAAAGGTGCATTGATAGACTGCTATATTTAGGCATCATGAATTCGGCGCCTTCCAGGAGCCAGTGAAACCGTTACCTTGCGAAGCAAGGTCAATATGGCATGCAAGCAATAGTCCGTGTGAAGAAAAATAATTCATGACGCAAAAACACATGATATCGATGAGATTCAACTACGATTACGAATACACGAATCTTGTAATTTTACCAGTGACACTCACACTGTCTGAGCCGTCCGCTATGAGCGCCCACGACATCAGCCCCAGCGCAACGGCTACTCCTCACGGTTGGGCTGTTTGTGACACTGAAGCAGACGCCCCGTTCGATTGGGAAAAGTTTACATGGGCTAGCATGGTTTGCGACTCCAGCACAGATAGAAAAGTCCCCGGAATTATCCAGGAGAAGCTCTGGGCTACCAAGCGGTGGGTCCAGAAAGTTACACGATAACACATACCTTGAGTTGCAGATGGCATTGAGGCAAGCGGTGCAAAGCCACACTGCGCATTTGCAGCAGACGGAGATGGGCAAAGAGTAACCTGCACAAAAGATGGGGACCAGGCAAGAATATATTGAGGAGAGCTGTTGACTGTGTGAAGCACTGCTACGTACTAATACTACAGGGCAATTATGGGTGCAACAAACCTGGCGCAATGAATACATACCTGGCGCATTGACATCGTCCACGTTGGCGGCAAAGACTTACAGAAAGCTGTAGACAACATCAAGACTCGAGAGCTTTCCCAACTCCCAGGTTGGGTTTTGTCAGCACGAACAGAAAGTAGAGCAGGATTAATAGAGCAAAACGAACACAGCGCAACGTTGACCAGAAAAGATTAGTAATATTGCCCCACACTCCGCAGAACACCGAAGTATAAACCGCGGAGCAAGGTCTATGCATTACGTCGGCAAGACCGACCCTAGTAGTGAAGTATGATAATCCTGTAATTACATAATACGAAAAATGATGAGCTCTTGAGATTTCCGATCAAGACCTGTTGCATCACATCGTCTTCGACTCTTCGTCGTACTGTGCATCGTTTTTGCATGATTCTCGCGTCGTTCGTGTTGTGCTGTAATATTGTTTGCACTACTTAGATTGCTCCCATCACCCTCTTCGTTGGAAATCACGTCACTTTCACTGTGTTCTGTCCGACAGAACAAAACGCATCCTTCCTGCATAAGGTTACATATTTCCATGTCAACCCCTCTCCACATCTGTGGACATTGTCGTGATTGTTATCGATATACGGTATGATATGGCATTTTTATACGTTCATCGGTTCACTGGTGTACAGGCATAGACACTATTTATTCAATTTGTACACTCTGCTACCTTTGAATTACGCTTAGCGATCTCGCCTTAAATCTGTGTTCTGGTTCATGCAGTCATGTTGGGTCAATATCATATTGGGTCAAACATCCAATTCAAGCCTTGGTCTCCGTCCCCATATGCATTACTCAAGCAACAAAACTCAGCAATCAACTAAGAAAAAATTCGTCGTTAACGACGGCATCAACACAAAAGCAGAAAACGACTCACTCGCCGCGCGACGTGTGAGTTCCTCGATACCTTCAGAGTCCTTCTCAAGAAGAAGACTTGCAATACGGTGTCTCAGTAACATCATTCTGTTAACAAGGCGCAAAGGGTCAGTCAAGAGGTTGATCAAATGCAAACTACTGATACTCACGTAACAATTGTTAGAGCAGCAGTCGCTGGCGATGTTACAATAGCCGCCGTCCTTGACGCAGTCTCTGCCGAATATAGCTGGTGTCGCGCTGACAGAAAGAGATGCTGTCAAAACAGCCACAGCGGCGAGGAAGAAAGAACGCATTAATTGCATGAGGTAATATGGGATCTGGCAGAGTGGTTCTCAAATCAGTCTTAGGTAGTGCACGGCCCAGTGTACTAGGGAAGACGGCCTGCTTTTATGATGTCCTGAAAACCTCTAACTATTCTAGGAGTTAAGAATAGGTGGCGTGTTGTTCGGCAGCTCTGCGACTAGCAGGAGGAATGGAAGCTAACAACATATGGATAGATTCTGGGCTCGGTATTTACGGGTATGGTCCGTTCCCCAAAGTGCGAGGTCGCTGACAGCTCGGGTCCGAGTAGGCAGCATGCTCAACGTCAGCTATGACTCCTGTCTGATGAGGAGAAATGGAAGCTAAAAGCATATGGGTAAGTAAGTAGTGATCGGTGACACAATAGCGGTCAACCCCGTTTACTACTAGATTGCCCTACCGTCAGAGCAGTGACTACTACTAGCTGTAAAAATGATGCAGTATCACACAACACAGACGTTGACAGATGCTCGCATTGCACCATGACGCAACGTTGCAAATGGTCTATGTGCTCGCCAGCTATGAATCGTTGGTTGAAAATGGACATCTCAAATGCAGCGAGATCCTTGCCCACTCAGATGAGTAGTGAACTCGAAAGAAAACAGAGATGGTGCAAACACCAATACCATCATGTCTGATCAGTTGACCATTCTTCTATGTCCATTTCTGGTAATACGATGCCTGGAGGTGCGTTCCGCAGTGCTATAACGATGGCCTGCAATATATTTACCTTACGATGATTTGGTCTGAACGACATTGGGATAGTCTAGTCGCCTGTAGCTTGATGGAAGGAAGACTTGGTCATTCAGCGTCAGAATGATCAGGATAGTGATTAATAAGAAATGTTGTCCCCGACATGTGATGAATGGCAAATTGGCAAGTACTGTTCTCCTGTGCTGCATCTCATCTCTCACATCGGGCTGAGACTCATCCAAACATGTGCCTGAAAGGATGACTGCAAAGCAACAATCTTCCTATTTGATCTGCCTATAGTGCCAATCACTGAAGAATACAACGAGTGAACCATGCTCGGTCTCACTCGCGATCTTGAATCTGATTCTTTGGTGCCTTATAGAAGTTGTCCAGGAAGAACAACTTCGTTCCGTCGACTGTCGGGAGCCGGGACTACAGTTGCGGTGAGTAATGCAAAACTACCGACTACGAGCCAGCATTCCAGCAACTGCGTACTACACCTGTTGATCAAACAAGACGAGCCGTAGTGGCAATCACTTGTACTCCTCAAGAAGACAAAATATGCCCTTCCAAAAGTCTACAGCCCACGAGCCTCCAGACGACTGCGGAAGATTTTTTAGAACTGCGGGACATATTCAGAGTCCATGAGCGTGGTGTGTTCCCCAGGCACCAAAATATATGATACCTCGCCGCGGCTAAAGCCAGACCATGCCTCGCCGCGGCTCCAGCCAGACCATGGCTTGAGCTGGTTGTCGAGCCAGTCAACGTTAGATCCGGCAAAGAGAATGGTGTAGAAAACATCGACTGCGGCTGAGGAGCAGATATGTGAGCAAGCGGTTCTGAAGTGAGAAAGCAAACGACTTACAAACTGAGCCTGTTGGAATGTAGTCTACTCCGCAGTTAATGAGAGACATGGCGACGTCCGTCCATTTGTCAAGCTTCTCGATCGTCAACTGGAGCTCGACAATACGTTTAGAAGGCGACAACTTCCATACGAACTCGAGCTGCTGCTGCCTCGTAAGCAGGCTCACCGAAGGATGCAGATCATCAGCATCACATCTCGACGTAACTGTACCCTGCGATGGCATATGGTCCCGTCGCTTGAATCCTCTTGGCTGCTGCGGCATAGCAAGAAACCATCTCGTCCATTGAGGTGAAGAACGAGTGGCCGGAATCGAAGCCACGAGCACGGAAAGCATAGAAGGGACGCTCATTCTGGAAGTATTTGGCAAGATTGACAAAAATGAGAACCTCTCCGACACCAGGGTGGACGAAGAAGATCGGCGTCTTATTTCCGGTCACTGAAAAGGGAACTATGGGGTCGTATTCCTCAGTCTGGGTGCCCTTAGAGAGTAAAGAGTCGACGTAATGGGCCAGGCTCGAGAGAACAGGGTGCTTCAGGATTTGGATGGCAGGGATGTCAGGCAGGCCAAAGTATTCCTCTCCTTCGCGCTTGAGCCTGCAGATCATGTGTCAGTGAAGGTGGCTTAAAAGGCGAAACAGATATATTCACCGGATAGCATCAAGAGAAGTACCGCCGATCTCGAAGAAGTTGTCGCTCACCAACACCTCGCTTTCCACCAGGTTGAAGATGCCAGCGTATATCTTAACAAACACCTTTTCCGTCTCAGTGGACGGGACAACGAAGGAAATGCCGCGTGCCTCGCTGAGAAGCTTTTCAGAGCGGGCGATGTGCTTCGCAAGTTGGCCTTGCTTGAACAGGCTCATGAGATGCGCACGAGATAGTTTTTCCAAGAGTAGTCTTCTCCATCTGGTTCACAGGGATGGGAATGATAAACTGGGGTGGCAGAGTGATCATCTTCACACAGATATCTCGCAGGGCCCGGTGCGTGGTGAAGAGCTCTGGAGGCATCTGCTCCATCGAAGCCGAAAGTCGGCGAGTAGAAAATGATGAATCCTTCTGTCTCCTGGCCAGGAGCGCGGTAGGGAGCAGCAGCGAGGAACGAATGCATGACCCCTTCAACGGCCTGGAGGTTGGTTTCGAGCTCAGGGATACCATGGACAATGATGGTATCCTTGATACGGCCGCCAAGACGCATGACACCATTCTCGATGATTCCAACGTCACCAGTGCGGAACCAGCCGCCCTCAACAAAGCTAGAGGACGTAGCCTCGGCGTTGTTGTAGTAGCGTACGAAGACCATCTGTCCGCGAATCTGAAGCTCACCGCTCTCACCGTCGGGACGCAGGGTGGTGCCATCTGCGGGGTCCACGATGCGCATCTCGCAACCATTGAGGGGACGCCCCAGATCAAGGAACTCGCGAGCAGGCTCAGTTGTGAGGACATCCAAAGGGTAATTGTAAATGCATCCGGCGCTGAAAAGGCCCATCAGCTGAGACATCACTATGCTTAAAGTTCCCTCACCAAGTTTCTGTCATTCCAAACCCTGGGCGATCACAAGGGACACGGCAGAGGGGTTCTTGCTAAACTTCTTCATCATAGCAACAAAGGCTTGCGCGGTCTTAGAAACAATAGCTTCACCTCCGCTGTTGATCCTCTTGATAGAAGACAAGTCGAAGCACCCGAAGAGGTCGCTGCGCTTCTCCAGGTCACGAGTGAGTTTGGAGAGTAGGAAGTTCGGGCCGAAAGCCAGTTGGATGGACTAAAATGAATGATAAGAGACGCGTTCTGTGGTTCAGTGTTGGCATACCTGTTCGTCGATCAGACGGAGCAGCCGCAGAGGACCAGTAATAATAGCAGACGCATGCACGTGGAGTTGCGAAGCACCATGTAGCAGAGGTGTGATGTGGAACTCCAACGATCCCCCCACGTGATCAAATCCGACCCCTGAATTTCAAGATCAATTTCAAAAGAAAGTTGGATGATGTTTGCCTTACAATTCAAGACTTTGGAATCGGAAGTGAGGCCGTAGTTTTGCCCCTGGGCACGGCATGCAGCAAGGATGGTCCGGTGCGTGTGGACGACTGCCTTCGAGAACCCAGTTGACCCTGAGGTCAGGAACATGATGGCATCGTCGTCCGGCTTAGCCTCATATGCAACCCAGTCAGCTCCAACAGCGAATTTCTCCCCTGATGATTTTAATTCGGAGAATAGGTGAACCTCCAGGCCAAAAAACGAGGTGATCTGCTCAGCTCCAAGCTCGCTGGTGAGCCAAGTTGCAGACCCAAACAATTTTTTGATATGCGCGACATGGCCCTCCTTGTGCGCTTGTTGTGCGCTAGGTGCGGGCTGTAAGCAGGGCAGATAGCCAGCCAGCAGACACGCCCAGACAGCAGCCATGTTATCTTCATGCTCTGTCAGATACACCACGATAATTGAACCTGTAGGTTTGCCCTACTCGAGCATGGCCCGTGCAAGGTTGCGAACATATTGGTTGAACACGCTGAAGGTCTTCGTCTGAATGGAGTCCTCTGCCGAGGAGGCTATGAAACTAAGCTCGTGTAACGGATACCACTCGGCAGCTTGAGCGATGACGTCGTGGAGAATATGGGGTGTGGTAACGAAGTCGGTGGTAGTAGGAGAGACTGCGACGGGTGCCATAAGTTGCGTCTCAAGCTAGATTCAAAAGTAATATTATGAAGGTTGGAAAAGGTGTCTAGGAAGTTGAGTACTTAAGGGGCTCATCACCCAACAGCCACGTCAACTTCAGACACGGTTGAGAACATCGAAGGCATTGTGACAGAATGGTTGACTACATCGAGCAATTAACCAGCTGGCACAGAAATACTGATAGCCTCTGATAGAGTTGTCTGATGCGCCGTTAGTATGTACATACTCATTAACATTGCCATAGCGGGTTGAACGTTTGAACCAAGCATGTACAAATAAAAAAATCCTCGGAGTGAGAACTTAGAAAGGCAGTCATGACCCATGTAGGAACCATCGCCTTTACAACTACCTGTTGTTTTTACTAGCTGTCCTCTCACCCGCCTTTGAGGAATCGCAGAGGACTCTCAAAGTTGTTTCCTAAGTTATTGGGCAAGCTTGTCGGCCGTTATGCTCCAAGCGATCGACAGGCGGGCCGCTGGTAGGGTATAGCACGGGTATGGACCACACCGCGGGTATGGGGGTCACAGGTATGGCGGGTACGGGTACGGTGTCGAGATGTGCTACTCGTGGTCATACCGTACCCGTCAGCACGGTGTACGGGTATGTTCACGGGTAGCCGCGCTATCTCCGAATATTCTCCGCAGTGTTATATGTCGGACATGACAAGGATTCACCACTCGCTACGATCCTTATTTTTGGAGGGACGTTGACTGCAACAGTGACTCACTGCTTTAATCCCATTTCTCGTTAGTCAGTCTACTGCCAATGACACGGCCTCGCTCGCTGAGTCTACCTCAGCACGTTCAGATGTATTGTCATCTCTGCAGTCCATAGCGGACAATATTGCAAAACGTATTAAACTTATCCTTCCACAGGTCAAAGCAACCCCCTCCGAGTTGCACTCCGCTGCTCCGGAAGTAATTGATGTCGATGTTGATGAAAATGATGCACCTCCTGCCGCCGAACAGGATGACGAAGCTGATCTAAGTACGTGAACTTATTGCTCGTGTTCGCGTGGACCTCGATTGATTTTCGCTCACAAACGCACTCAAGAAAACTTGGCGTTCAGCAGTCTATTCGTTTTTTAAGCTTGACTGATGACTCAAACACATCGCATTGCAACAGGTGAGCAATTGTTTGATATGGGGTTGCACATGTCTAGGCAGAAGACAAGGTACGATAATGTGCTGATGACTTTGGTGATATATCTCTTGGCACAGCGGCATCTCTAGTAGATGAGCTTGACGAAAAAGACGCATCCGAATTTGCACCGGATGGTACTCGATTACCTTAGTTTTCTGATGAGTTGTGCACCATCGCTCTCGCTAGCTCATCACAGCTTATGTGTTACACACCATAGCTACCTCGACTGCAGTCGAACGTGTGTTTTCGCAAGGCCGGTACCTCCTACACTTCACTTGAAACCACCTGTCTCCGTCATCGACCCGTGCATTCCTCTGTCTTGGCTCGTGGCTTCGCTGTGGTCTGGTAGCACCCGAGGACCTTACTAAGATCATGAAGTCTCTGAAGAAGAGGACGAGAGTGTCGGGTGAGGTTATTAGACCTACGTAGTGTTACTATTTCTTGTATGTGTACCCACGGGTAAATGCACACCGCGGGTGAGCTGCTATACCGCGGGTTAGTACGGGTAATACCGTACCCGTACCCGTACGGGTACGGTGTTGATCTTCCGACCCGCGGGTATACCCGTGCTATATCCTAGCCGCTGGCGTGAACCCCAACCAGTATAATCGCCGGCAAAAACTCGGAGGTCCACTGATAGGTTCAGTCCCTCAATCCACTGACACGGCCACAAGTTCCAGCATGGGGTCTGCTACCAGTTCAGATAACCAGGGTATCCATCTATTTGATGATATACTTTGAAATTCTATCATTAGACTGAACAACTTAACCCGAAGCTTGTGAAATGAAGAATTGCTACCACTGGCAAAGGTATGGCGGGCATGAAAATGTCTCAGAATGATCCAACATATTACTTCGGCAACAAACGATATCAAGTCCATTCCAGCTGAAATCGACACGTTTTCCGCCAGTCTTGTACCCTTGAAGCTTGAAGTTGTTCAAGATCTGCCGCTAACGGGATCGCAGATATTTTTGTCTTTATTTTGTAGGTGGGTGACCTTGGTACCTAGCTCCGGTACGCTTGTTTCGATGTCATTGTGCTCGCATGTTAACGAGGTTCTAGTGGAAAATGAAACACGATGATAATATTTTTCGCCAATTATGATCCTACCCATGCGTCGTGGTTGCAACGAGCTCAGGCACACCACAATGTAGCTACTGCATTTACACTTGTTACATGTTCTCTCCCCTGCTGGGCGCCGCTCAGGCTCGTTGAGGCCCCAGATAAGACTTTGAGCCTGGTTTTGGCCCATTTGATATGAGATGTGCTTGACGTCTCAGCCTTTCGGAGATGTCATTGATTATTGATGACCCTCGAGTTGGGGGTATTGGTGACGACACGCCCGGACGTCGTGGTCGCGTTTCAGGTAACTTCGGGCAAACATTCATGACCTGTCGAGTGACCTCTGATAGTGATTGCCATCGAGGATAAGCCCTCTTACCACACATCTACCTCGATAACACTCAGGGACCACAAGAACTAGCTGTGTCTGTTCCTGTAACATTAAGAAACCATACCTCTTTTCACAGCCTAGTTAGAGATGAACAGAATCAATAATCATATCAATCTGTTGTTTTTTATTATCATCAACCCGGAACCGAAGCTGGCACCGTGTAGTAAACATAGGAAATAATCATATCTTGCTCCACTCTATACCGCTGAACCCTCATCCCGCTAAAAGTAGAATCTCATACAAACACGCTAACATTTCGTCAAGAGTGGAAGCGTAGTTGAGAATGGAAATCGAAGAAAAGAAAGAGCAATCAGTTGAAGATTAATGACTCTGTACTTAGACGTTGGAACTTGGGGCTGTAATAAGAGGAGGGAGACGAATGAACGAGAATGTGGTCTGTTGGGTCCAGAAGAGCGAAAGTGCGCCGTAGTATGCACCGAAGGAAGCGATGATACCAAGGGCACCACCTGCAGTTGCAAAGTGCACATTGCCTGTATCGGACGTTAGATAGAACATAATACTGGAAGGATAAAGACGTACCGGTGAAAGAATTTATCGAAAGACAAGTGAGCGAGCAAACGGTGAATCCGAGCGTTGCGACGATAGGGGCGGTTGTGCGGATTGCGCCAAGGCTGTAAAATTATTGGAGACGTGTCCGCATAGCATACTTCCTCAGACTCACAAGAAGACGAACGTAATCAAATCCCAGATGGCGAGGTAGATCCCGATGGCGTTGTAGAAATCCTGCCCGGAGTATACAGAGCTGAAAGGTATGTGAGGGAGGACATATATCAATGCTTGCAGATAACATACGCAAGGCCGATTTGAGGCAGGTAGAGAGCACCATAAGACAAGTTGAAACCTCCGTAGGTAGTAAAGACTGTTGCACTGAACGTGTTACTATGGAAAAAAATCTCAGCAGTAGCTCTCCATACAGAGGTCAGAACCATACCCAAGGAACATCTCCCACATGCCCACAAGTGTTTGTGAGATACCGCCGTAGCTGGAAATGACTAGGTTACAATCAGGATTATTTGCAAATAACAAAAACTCACAAGGTGGCGAAAACCAAGACCAAGTTAGCTTGACCACCAACTTGCTTGGAGGCGAGCGTCAATATTGACGAGCACAGGAAGACGGTACCATAAGCCAGCATGCCCAAGGGTGCCTGGAAGCCAATTAAATGCTGTCGACGTACTATCAGTAAAACATGGAATACGTACAGGGTTACCGAACGTCCTCTGGTAGGGCTGCATCTGTGGTGTAGGGGGTGCTGGGGAGTCCATGTTGACGGTCTGGACGTAGTAATTGTCCTTTGATCCCTCCTTTTCGGTAACAGAATTTGAAGACATGACTGGATGATCGGCGCTGACTTGTGGTGCTGTGATCCTTCAGAGAGCGGGAACTAGGTCAGGTGCTACATTCGAGTCTACCTCAGTCCGACATTTATACTCGGGTTGGCATATTTCCGTTCGCATATGGAGCGCGGTGCCAATTGCACGCATGCACTGCGTTGCAGTGAGCAGCGTGATTGAGTTCTAATCTAAGTGAGGGAGTAAACCCTGTCTATGGAATTCGAAGACGGGTGACAGTAGCTTCCAGGAACTGATCAAAAAGATGTACATACTGTTCACTTCTCACTCACGATCCAACTACTACTCCCGATTATCTCGCGCAGAGCTCCGAGGAATGATCTACGCTGGAAAAAAATCGCGGGATATGTTTTTGGTTATCTTATTTATTTAATCTTGCGCTCTGTTCCTTGTTGCAGCCTGTGCAGGCCATGACATCTCTGTTCAGATCATATTGTGTTAGTTATTTTGACGGAAGGAACTACAATTTTCCTTCTCAGGCTATTGGACTCCCTAAGGATGACCATGTTAGTCGCAACTCGGTGATCTAGTGGCATGAGACGAACAGCCTGTCTCGGGACTCTGTGAGGCACATCATGATTGCGCCATTAATTGCGGATACGGGGTTTCTGCATTTGTTGAGATGGTACCGTGTCTTGATGGTGTTGGTAAAAAGTCAAAGAATCGGTATGTCGGACCTATCCAAGTTTGGGTCAACATCCTCACGCGCACGACCTACGACTTGGCGTCCGATAATCACCTGATCCATTCTTAAACATCGTTGTCAGTGTCGACTTGACCTTATGCTCGTCCTCTCGCAAATTACCTGCGCGGACTCTAAACCTTTCTTGATTTAGCTACCACGTGCACCACGTCGATTAGATTAAACCTTCGCATGGGAGACGTTCTACTACACCTTGTGACTTGTCGCAGAGTATCCTCGTCCTAATCCTCGCTGTATAGAGCCCAATTAAAGGTAGCTACTGAAACCTTCTCATTAGTTCCTAAACCTTTCCGTGTAATAACACGTCTCATTAGTGCCGAATGTACTGCATGCAAAATCTCTTAAAATACTCAAAACTTGCCCAAGCAAGATGCATACGGTAGACTACAAGTAAAGGTTTAGGAGGATATTGAGCAATAAAATATGAAAATGTTTAGGAATACTACATGGGAAGGTTCCCCGACTGCCACGTCGGTAGAGGAGGGTCCTTGTCCGATTCAAACGCCTTTCTCACTACCAGCTCTGTTTAGGTAAAATTGGGCTCTATCATACAGCGAGGATCAGGACGAGGATAAGTACTGGTCACAAGGTGTTGAAGGTTTCCCGTGCGAAGGTTTCCGACGCGATGGTAGCCAAATCAGGAAAAGTTTAGGGTCCGACATAGGCAAAGACTTGACCAGACCCAAACCGGACCTATAACGAGTTGCCTTAATTCTAACTTTTTGAGGTTGTGTCTGGAGTTGTGCACACTGTACAGTCCACAACCATTCTCATCATCCTTCATAGCAGAGATTTGGACGCTGTAGTTTACCCTCAGCCTTTCAAGCCCTGAGGTTCAATTTTCTTTTAAACATCCACATTCTCATTCGGTGGAAGCTTGGATGTTCGTTCTGCCAACTTTGCTATGGGATGATAACGCACGCTATCTTTAAATCGAGGGCTGGTACCTAACTGTGAGTATTTTAAGTTCGGTGTCTTATTCGGGTTTTTCGAGGGGATTCACACACCCACAGTGAACATATAGATTCTCCGATGCGCCACCTGGCAGGTAGCAAGAGGTATCAAAAGAACCAAGGTATGGAATTCCGCTCGACATGACAACACCTCAACGCACCAGGTTGGCTACGCAAACTCACCTGTCTACACTATAACGTCACAGTGTTTGCATATCTTATTGTCAAATGGCTGGTTGCGTTGGACCATCTGATACACCATTGATCAGCCCTTCGTATTGTCCTGCCTTCAAGTCTATCGCACGTGGTTGACGATTGCTTCCTTATCAGATTGAAATTTGAATGCCCAGAGCAGACAGTTGGACTACCAGATCGCCGGTTGACAACGGCAGCAGTATGCCTCCACTGGCAATATATTGTAGTTGGGTACGTGCGAAGTCCTCGGACTCATGCTAATTTGGGATGAAAAATACATATGCTTGTGAACACACAGACATAGTTCTCCTTTGTCCGCCATTCGACCACTTGATGGACAGCAAATATGAATAGAGGATCGCTTGGCGGACCAAAGTCGAGGTAGTGTGCGTTCCGACAACAGTGCCCAAGCCCGTGACAATCGAATGGTTACAGGAAGACTTCGTGTTCCGAGTTGGCCATTGCATGCGGACAACTGGAAATACTCATGTGCGCACTCCTACTAATACTTGGTCTGCCCAAATGCTTTGATCAACCCAAGAAGCAAAATTTACCTTTTGTTTTCAAGGCAATACCAGATATTAGTTTCGGTTCAGGAATATCGGCGCATCTCAGACTTGCACTCTTTGCAAACGAAGGAGCTGCCTTTTGTGCGTGCGTTTTGACACATGATACTACAGACTACTAAATGCTGGTAACGTGCTTCATGATTGGAGCGAGAGATAACGCAAGTAGTGAAATGACAGATATGTTAAATGCAACTGTTGAAGTGTTTTTAAAGATATGTCTTTCCAGTACGGGTGATCTAGGATTTCATCAACACATACATCATGCGGGCACTGCAAGTAACTGATTCGGTAAGTTTTGGACATCAACACAACTATTTATGAACATTAATTCATGGGGCTGAGCCAGTAAGAGATCAGAAAATGTAAGTGGTAGCGATTGAATGGATGTTATTTCAGTCAATAATAATACCGATCGCATCGTGGTTTGCCGTCTCCCGTAGTACTAGCTAAACCTTGAAAGGCTCCTAGGGCAGTCATTCCTTGTTTTTGTGGGATAACTCGTCCAAATGGTTCAAGCAAGACGCCGCCAACTATATATTCTGAGGCTCAAGCGCTCAATTTCGAGTGCTGATCCCAAGCGATTCCACCGTCTGGATCAAGTTACGTACATCTTACATAAATTTATGTAAATAGTAATGGCGGGAATATCGCACGTTCACATTGACTCCGAGTCTATACTACACAACTCGGTAAGTTGGGGTTCTCCGAAACTCCAACAATGGCCTCAATTCTCCGGTTGTACAAGTCGGTGGCTTCAAATCCCTCACTCTTGGTTTTGCTTGCTCAAGTGTTTCAGTGCCGCTCTCATCCGAAGACCCGTGTTCGCACAGTCCGCCACTGCTGCCTTTTTATTCGGTGCAGGTGATGTGATCGCCCAGCAAGTCATCGAGCGTCAGGGAAAGAACCATGATGTGAGTATTGATGCGACTACGAGAGGAACTGGTTTTGATCATATCTCGCAGTTCATGCGCACTGCACGCATCACTTTTTATGGGGGTAATTATATAAACTGAGCGTGGGCCCTGGTCTTGAAATCTAATTCACGTCTAATTTTATCAGGAGCATTCTTTGGGCCGGCCTTGACAAAATGGTACCAACTTCTCAACCGCATCAAGTTCTCTAGTCCTACGAAGGCTGTGATATATCGTGTATGGGACGTCCTCTCTGCTCGGATTTCATGAGGGAATGATCGCCTTTTTGCAGGTTTGGCTGGACCAGGCGATTCTGACTCCTGGTTCGTTGACTACACGTGGATCTACACTCCTTTCTCACTCTTCAAATTCTAGTGGCTGTCGGATTCTTTTTTGGTACAATGAGTATCCTGGAGGGAAAGGGTATTTCCGGTGCACAGGACCGTATTAGTACTGTAAGCTAATCTCCCTGGAATTTGGAAGCAACCTCACATGTCTCCCAGGCATATACTCCAACGTTAATCCGTAACTGGTGAGATTTGCATTTGTTGCCTACGCATCGTGCACTTAAATAGATCTAGGGGCGTCTTCATACCCACCCAAATCATCAACTTCGCTATCGTACCGCACCACCTTCGGTTTGTTGTCGTGAGCGTTGTCAGCTTGTTTTGGAGTAAGTTTGAGTTTATCGAAAGCCCCTCTATCTTGCTCATTGTCTTTTAGACACGTACCTCAGCGCTGTCAATGCCAGTTCACAGCACCAGGAAGCAATCGAATCAGACAAAGGCGCCGAGAAGTAGCATGATCGTAACTCGTGGCGCGCCTCCCACCAACATGTGTATATCAACTAGACCGTCGGCACTGCCATCCCACGTGGAGACCTTTTGTTCTTATTGTTGAAGCATTCAGGATGCCTACTGAGGTATAAGCATCGTCGTGAATGACTCAAGCATCGGCACTGCCACGCACGCACACCATCCACCCCTGTCTTTTCCTTACGAGCTCTCTCCCCAATTAGAAGTATGTGCATGATGTGATATAGCTTCCGGAACGCGCTTTGTTTGAAATTGGACATTTCAGGTACAGCGCGAGCTGTTCCAGCCTCCGCGCTCGACCAGTATCATCTATTATCAGTCGATGTTCTTAGAATGCTATCTGGTCACCAGACTACTTCCGCTCCAGTGGGGCCAGGAGTAGCCAAGAGTTCACTTGAACTAAACTTTTCTTCACAGTACCGTGATTCATTTTCTAAGAATTTGAAGGCCAGATCAGGGTGCTCGCAACTTGACGATCATGCCTTGCGCTTCTCCTCTAAGAAACCTATAAACGATTGTTCCCAAAGGTGTATGCGTCCTTATGAGTCCAGCGTGACTGAGATTTTTTTCGCATGCAAATGCCACCACATAGGCGTTCCTTTCCCTGTTTAAAAAATTAGGGTGCGAAGGGCAAGCGGAGAGCCAATATGTCAATATGTCAAGGATTTGCTAGCGAGTATGCTCCCGGTGGCCGTGCTCCATTCTGACATGACTAGTATCGGAAGAACGGAAACCCGGCACACCGTCGATCTTGACAACGGACCATAACGGAACACAACAGTATGAAAACATTACAATCTATCGAGATCCTACACAGGTCAGGGAGCTGGTGGTCGGAACTCTTCCTCAACCGAGTTATTCAGTGCACGAGCTGTGCACTATCTGTTACGGTCTACTCGTGATGGACCACTATTTCGTGATTTTTGCCCATGTACAGCACTCAATTTTAAAGAAATTGCTTAGCTATTTCATCGACTATGTTCTACACGCCCAGATACTAGCATAGGCTCTTCCAAGTAAAACAAAACAAAACCTTTAAGAAACGGTAGAGATCGTGGTGGCAGTAGCAAAAAATCACAAATCTGTCGTAGCTGCCGACGTCTAGCATTAAATTTGACAATGCGTTTCATTGCAGCTGCAGTCTGTGAGCAAGTGGTAAGCGCTAGCGCTGAGCGTTTGCCATGCCATAGGGCGCCACCGAAGCAAGCTAGTAGCGTCTACCGATCCCGAGTATAAGTCAAACACTAAGAAGTGTCAGGGCAGAGGTCGACAAATACTGTAAGCTGTCACAGTGACGTTCGTTGGTGTAATGAAACCATCATGGGAGATCGTGGATTGTCTTGTTGTCGCAGTGCCGCGCAAGATGTTGATACAGCAGAGGTGAAGATCCGGCCGAAGACAGAGGAATGAGAATACGTCTCAGACTCGAAGTGAACACGACCAAAAGCACCCAAAAGTAATCCAGAGACCTAGGCGCTGAAAAGGACGGAAATAACAGGACGCGAGAGAAGAGATCCGGAACCACAAGCGACAGCAGGCGAGACAACCCTTATAACAGATGCGGTCCTGTCTTTTCTCACATACCGTAAGCGAAAGACGCAGCGAGAGAAGAGATCTCCGACACTCAACATTAGCGGGAGGAAGGCTCTGTCGAACACAAAAAAAGATCCCATCATCGAAAAGATGTGCAACGTAGTGCTGATTTTGTCCACGGCTCAGTACTTTCACGTCAACTGACATGTGCGCGCACCGTCGGCTGAAGATTTGAAGTATTGAACTCTTTGTCGGACTCGCAATGAGCATGTCAATCGGGGATGAAGACAACGTAGTTTAGGATAGTGCACTGTGAATTGGGCCGCAAATAACTGACCCACGTCTTGAGCAACATGATCCCAACATCCCACGAAGCCGCGGTGTCGGGGAGTTGGGGCACAAGCGCCGTTATGATTCGGAATCGCAAGCGACAACAGGTGAGACAAGTTACAATGCTTATAAGAGATGCGCCGGGTGTGACTCGTGTCCTGTCATGTCTAGATCTCACCTATAGTGAGCGAAGAACTGTACAGTACATGTCAAAAAGAATTCCCACAGACGGATTGTCAGAAAGACAGGACGTTTGCGTCTGACAAAGTGGCACTGAGTCAAACCGTTCGGAGTCCCACTTTGCGGGGAGTTGGGGATTTCATTGTACAGGTCTCGAGGCAGACTCTTGACTTCAAGCCGACCACAGAATTTGCCACCAGAACTTCCTTCCAGTTCCTCCCAGCCTGGGCACTACGTCCCCTCAGCAATATTTTCCATAGCGTTCAAATGATTTGCATTTAGCATTATATAATTCTCGGATCTCCGTACATACTGCTACATAGCTCTCAGATTTACTAGTACTGTCCGTTACTATTCGTGATACAAGCGTGACTCACGAAGTAGAGGTCCAGCACAAATAGACCCTAACTGATAGTACGGCATAGTTCTTGTTATTAGTTATCCGTTGAAGGTTGTTGATCGTGAAGTCAGAAGCAGAAGTTTGAAAATTAAGATGTATGGAGATGGTAAGTATGCACTCCGTTTCTAACTTTGTTCCGTATTGTATCCCAACTAACCTAATCTATGGTGTGAATCATTGGAACAGAGGTGGAAATTTATTTCTAAGGGACCAATCTTTTCATCTTCCGATGCGCGTCACAGCACTAGATACCGTGTATCCATGATGTCGAAGGTCTCCGGAGGTGCATGCAGTCCTGTGAACTATGCGATTTTCCTTTGATAACAAAGTCAATACGTGAACATAGCTCTTGCGAAATTCGAAGGCCTACCGACTTTCTGGGACCTTTAAATGCTGCTTCAAGGTTCAGTAACGCGCCTCGTCCGAGCTCCAGAATGCAAGTACCAAGCGGCTGTACCTTGGTTGACGGTGTTGCCAAACTAGACTTCTTATGCAATCTCATGTATCAGGCGTCTGAGAATGGTCATGGATATATCGTCCTCCCTGAATGCCCGACGTCCACCCAAACGCGACGCCCAAAGTGGTTGATGGGCTGAACAAAGAATAATACTCTCTCCCAAGCCTGACCTTGACCGCGACGAGATCGTATGGGCTTTCTTCTGAGGTTGTGATCGATTCAGCAACTTCTCGTTCGAAGGTGTGAGAGCCGCAAACAAGGAAATAGTCCCGCAAGGAATACAAGTTTAATTCGATGGGATAAACGGACAAGTCCACCTCTACGATGGAGCGATCGTCGGGAGATGTTTTCACCGTATCTTTATCGAGCGCCTTGATTTCATTGACGCGTTCTTCGCATATCCAAGACTCGATCATCGCAATAACGGGCAAACTTTTGCGGATCTCGCGTACATCTTGATTGCCTTCAAGTTTAATTATCAGATAAGACTTTATGAATGCGTAAGACAAGAATCTGACCGAGAGCAGAACGCAGCATGCGGCAGTGAATACGGTGGCCGGATTCCCAAGCGTCCTTCTGGCAATCTTTTGAGCAGTAACGTGTCAGCATGCACCCCGAACAACGATATGCCGTGACATCGTCTTCAGAGAAATTGACAGAGCACTATAACAAAGGATTTCAGTTGGCAAAGAGAAGCGGACCGTCATCGAACGTACTTTCAGGCTACAACACTGATACCGGTAGAAAGGAGCTCCTTCAGGCAGCTCATGGAAATTGGTGAAGGTACGAGCCGCGGAGTCGACGGCTTGCCATACCTCCCATAATACAGGGTCTTGGGATGCTCGTTCTTCAAGATCTACCCGATCTAATCTCTGAAGGGCGGGATGAAGAACCCGTAGCACTTTTGAGAACACGAAGAACCGGGGAAGCTCTTTGAGCAATTGAATGTCGTGGTCATCATCAAAGCGTTTGGTATTGTCAACACGTTCAGCTCGCGATGACCCGGTTCGTAGGAGACATTCGAGTAAGACCATGCTGAAGGGCCTGAGATATCACCAAAGCAGAGTCATTTGCGCAATTCATCGAATAGCCGATATAGCGATACGCTATGTATAACACTCTGCGTCGCGCCGCTAGCCCTATATCTGGTTCAGTTATCCGAACTATTCCAAGCAGGGGTTAGGAGCCGTTCCCAGAGTGTCGTAACAGCACTTAGGACAGTACGAATTGAGCCGATTTGGAGGAGCAATTCCTGACAACCACCCTCTCTGTCGCCCAAGGATTGCATGAAGAGGATGGCTTGAGCCAAGCCAGTAGCACATACTGTCATGGACGAGAAGTCGACATTTTCTCTTGCTCGTAACCGAGGTTCTGGCATATTAGCCACCTCTTTAGTCATACGACGAATATATCGGAGGGCTAATGAGGCCATGGGGAAGGTTCCGCCAGCAGCAGATGCGATAATGGATACTGGTAGAGACGCCGGGGTGTCTTCCATGCAGATAACGCTGAGCGAGCACATATTCGCCCGTATCAGTGCACTGAGATTTTTGTCACCTTCTCGAAGAGGATCAGCGACGTCATCACTCTTCAGCCCATCGACGATGACCCAAGCCCGGAAGAAAAATGCTTGAACAGTGGGGTTCATCCTCATCAACTGCCTGCCAGTTGCTGTGAATTGACACAAGGTTGACAGTGGATGTATGGTAATCCTAAGGGCCTCGTAAGTGCTAACAGACAGGCCATGTGGGAGGGCGGCAGGTCTTTGTGAAGGTGGGAGGAAGTTGTTGCTGAAGAACTGCATCCATGGGAAGAGCATATGCCACTTTGAAGCAATGGCGTCATGGACAATGCGTTCTCCGAGACTGATATTGTTACCGAGGTTATGACAGATTTGCACAATGCCACCCATGGACCATTTGGCGAGCATGATTACTGGTACAACATCAGGACTAATTCTGTCCGGAACAGGGTATGCCTCCAGTTGTGCGTGAAAGACGGGAAGCAAAAGTGGCGTGACATCCTTGAGTTGATTGAGACTACCAACAACGTCTCGGAGATCTTCGACTGAGCCACGCAATGCCCCATCAACTTTACGCTATGACAGCGAGAAACGAGAAATCAGCGCTGTCATGCCTTTTAAAGGGATTCAAGCACACCTGCATCAACCGAGGCAGAACCCTGAGAGCTTCCCTATCCCGTGCGTTAATTCTGGGTGCCATGATTGAGATCCAAAAAGTATAACGGTATCGATGGTATCAACATAGTAACGATCGTACATATTAATAAGCATTTCCAGATTCAAGTTTGTATAGACCAAACAACTACATAATCCGAGTAACTGGCAGCCCGGGCCCTTGTGGCAAGTTAACGTTGAACTTGATCAGTGCCACCATGAATCAGTCAATTTCAGTGCATTCGATTTCCATCCCATGGATCCCATCACTCTTAAGTACTGTCACAATTTCCAGGGCTAATTGCGAAGTGCAAAAGTTACTTGATATCGAATGCGATCTATAAGCTGGTGGTCGGTTCGTTCTCCATATCCTCAACTGTCAAACTTCGTTTCTTCGCCCCTCCTGTCATCACATTACCGATGCATAACTTGACTCGACAGGTGGGCTTTATATGGGTGTGGATTTACCAACGTGAGCCCGTATGATATCTCCTCATTACCGCAATAATCGTATAATATTGCAGTATGGAAAGCCAGACCACCGCGTTATATTTTCAAGTCTGCTTTTTATTGAAGTGTGATACGCTATCCCTTCTTTCTGGGGCCCTGATTTTCTTGTGAGGAGCACAAGTCTCGTGGACCCCTGGTGTGTGTGTGTTACGACGAGCTGAAGGCTATAAATGGTGTTCTAGCTGAGCGCAACTCGATGATATGCATTCTCCAACTTTCATGACCACCGACTACCTTATCTTAATATTACGTAGGTCGCCAAATGTCCTCTCCTAGAGCGTCTACTATAGTCGAGCTGATTACCTTTTGCCATAGGCACTATAATTCCCCTGAGAGTTCTGCAAACGTCCGGTGTAAGTGCCACACATTTCTGATACGAATATGCACTCTAAGAAACGTGTTATCATCTATGGCAATTGGATCATATCATCAATCTGATTGCTTTGATATGGTACACGCGTGTGAAACTCGTTACAAAACATGATATATCCATTCATACAATGCGAATCGGCGATATGTCCGCTTGAACAGTAACAGTACATGAAACAGAAAGAAGGTATGTAGCCAATCCGTTGGGTAAGAAGAGAGAGAGATGATGCCTCCTAATCCAAGGTCGGCTCCTCTGCATCAGGCGCGAAGCGAAGTCGCGCAAGGAGTATGGTATCCCAGATCTTGTGGGTCCGCGATACCTTACTCGTAAAGTTGGTCCACGTGGGGAAGAACTCTTTGCCATCAGACTTGACCGTGAAAGTGCCCCATGGCTGATTCGCTCTGCGAGAAGAGAAAACGTTGAAGTATGCCTCCCCTGACGAGATGGGATCGGCCACAAAGAGAGCGTAGTCGCGCGCGTTTACAGTGCCCGTCACTGCGAAACAACGTTACTCAGACTAAGCTAGGGACGTAGACGTTGACATGCACGTACCAAGAAAGACGTCTTCTTTCTGGATAGGGTGATTCGGTGCGTATTCTTGCAGGATCGTGTGTATATTGTCTTTAAACCACTGTGAAACTGCAGGAAGACCGCCATAGGAAAAGTCCCGGTGTTCGAACGACTCAGCGTAGACCGCAGCTGTCTTCTTACTGGCCTCCAGGGGAAATGCTTGCCTGCGAGATACGTTCTCACCGCTGCAAATGTTCAGCACAAAACATACAGCCATAAGCCTAAGCAAGTAAAACGTACTCGTGACGATTGCCACCAAGTTTGAATCTGCTCAGCATACTCGAACCATTGTTGTGAACACGACGTGCCTTCCCGATGTTGACGTTACCATAATCCCGCAAGGAAGTCATGCATTTTGCCACGTCGCCCTCAGCCTTCTTCTTTCCTCCAATCTCAATGACGTTGCAGAGGGTTATGAACTCCCCGTCAGGTTTGGATACATATCCCACAGCACCCACCTCGACAGGTGATGGATACCAAAGAGGCGTTGTGACTAGCAATCAATAAGTATCAGCGCACACGATCGCATTACAAAGGTGAACAGAACTATGACTTACACAAATCTCCATACCCGTGGGTGTCTTTGGCTAAAAGCCTGTAGCGCCTCTCGTTCTGCATGGCCCGTGCCCACGTGGATGTGGACATCATCTCAAGAAGGCGACCGTCGATGGTGTGCTCGAAGACCTCACCAACAGCGTTCGGGTCCGCGAAACCCGATGTCCTGCTGGACATAGACGACTCTGGAACATCCGGCGAGTCCAGGTCAGGTTCTGAATGTCCGAACTCAGATCCAAATCCAGATGACGTGCTGTAATAATCGGACATGGATGAATTATGTGGTAGCCAAGAATGGCCTTCAGAAGTGGGTGTACCAAACGCTCGAAGGCCAGGCGAGGGACGGTCTGAAAAGATGACCGGTGAGTTTACGGGACCATTCGGCGTGCAAGGGACTGGTAAGCCGTCCGCGCCATAGGGATGTAAGAGATTCCGACAGCCTCGAAGCCAGAACACAGTCATGGAAAATGGAGAACGACAACGAGGGTCACGCGCCCAGCAGCAGGTGATGACTGGAAGAACAACTGTGGAAAGAGGGGTATCGGACACCTCTGGGCGGGCATCATGTTCTAGAAACACATAAACAAGCTTAAAGGTTGGACAAGATGCCTTGAACGTACCGAGCACGATCCTCTTTACATCTTCGTCATCTCTGGTGCCATAAGGAATGCTGCCCATATTGAGGATCTCCACGCAGCAGATGGCAAAAGCGTAGACGTCGGCTTGCATCGTCGGACTCGCGGCACCGTCCAAAACTTCCGGCGCTTTCCACCTCGGCGTTCCATCTGCAGTCAGATGGTCAGAAACAAGGCATTACTTCAAGAGCCAACATACTCGGTCGTTGACGCCCGCTCAACCTGTAGGCATCATCTTTGAGTTCGCTCTGACCGAAGTCAGCGATGGCACAGTTTCCTTCCGCATTCACGAAAACGTTTGCGCACTGTTCAGGTACATGAGTAAAGCGTAGGGACACCGTAGGGCTCACGAACCTTCAAATCGCCATGCACCACCCCCTGGGCGTGCAAGTATTCCATCCCACCAGCGATCTGAGAGATGAATCGTAACTGGTCCACTTCGCGTGGCGTGGCATAATCATCGCGTGCTGCGGTCAGTAACCACTCTACGAGGCTTCCGCGTTCGTATAGCTCGCTCACGATGAACCATGGCTTGGAACCATGGGCGCTACTCGCGCCGAACATACGAACGACCTGAGGGTGCCTGAGTCTGCGCCACAGCTCGACCTCTCGACGAAATGTCGAAGCTGGGATAAAGTCGTGGAGAACCTTGATGGCGACCACTCTATCGCGCCAGGATCCAGCGTAAACTCTAGAGAATGACCCTTGGCCGATCATTTCGAACCGGTCGACCTCGTACCTTAGCAATTATGTCAGTACAGGAGCACGGCATGAAACTGAGAAGAGACCCACCGCGTGATCGTCCATGAAGGAAGTTCCCATGGCAAAAGAAGGTTGTCAGTGCCGGCGCCTCGCACTTGCATGCAGCGCAACTTCGACATCGAGACGATGCTAGCATCCAGAAGTTCCATCTCAGCGAGAGTACTGTCGCTGGCAGCGGCGGTCGTCCGCGAGAATGCATGGCGCAGGGACTCCAACTGTCGCCGCATAGCCTTCATTATCTCAGCAACTTCGTTCCGTTCAATCTCTAAACCATTGAGGACGTCAGCATCGCACAGTGCAGTACTAATAAAGCCAGGAAGATGTTCGAGCTGGAATTGGTCGTGTCGGAGTTCCTTATCCGGATTGTCTTCAGGGAAGATAGGGAGCAGCTCGCGACAAACTTCGCCCTCGGCAGTCGTCAGACACTCTGGCATAGATGGGACGGTCTCTGCAAGTGGATAACATATGCTGCGCTTCTGGCTCGAGTTGCGTGCTATGGACGTCTCCATGTCCGGGATTGATGGTGCATGTGCTAGCGAGTTACGGTCCGCACATGGCGTCATGGTGTTATCCGAAAGAACCGACCCCAGGTCTTCAATCTTCCCATCAAGATACGAGACATTCTTGAAGATCCTCAAGGATACCGTTGCCTGCGCCGCGAGCTGTCGTTTCAGATGGTGATAATGCGACAAGAAAAAATAGCATACAGTGAACCTCAGCCAGGCATCCATCAAAGCCTGATCGCAATTGCAGAGTTCTTTTGCAATTTCAGCTCTCCTAATGAAGCGTTTGAGCATTGGGCGGCGGCTGATTCTGCAGAGAAACCCCTCAATCTACAATTTACGCTGGCGTCAATGCTAGAGCGGAGGCAGACAGATATCAAGGACATACTTGGAAGATGACTTCTCTAAAGACGTGGAAGGCAGCGTCTAGTTCCTTGCCAACGATGGGACCGATCCCTTCGATTTGCTCACGCACAAAGTAAACCATTCCTGCACAGCGTTCGACGATGCGAAGGCAAGAAAGTCGATTCGACTGCAGAATGACGTTCGAAGGGAAAGATGCATGTAATATCAGCAACGATGGGAACGATTAGCCATGATGTAAGTAACTCACCGAAAGTTGCTCGCACGCATCCCAGATAATTAGGAGGGTCCGCGACGCCTCCAAGAAAAACGGTAGTGGAACTAGAGTAGCCGCATCGTATGTACACTCTAGGATGGTCTTCAAAACAGGGAGCGCTTCATCAATAATTGTTCCAGCTGTCGAGATAACACCTAAGAGAGTTAAAATCAAATTGGTTTCTCCGAGTCATTAGCGAAGAGAAGGGACCTACAGGACACTCTAGAATCCTTTTTCACGTGTTCAGAAGTCAGCCCATCTCGTGTCATTACTGAGTGGCACGCCAGGATAACATTCTGTGAAACTCTGTAAGAGAAGGTACAAAATGAGAGGGAGTCAGGGGGGCTCACCTTCCGTGCCCTGTTGAGACCTTCTATTTCGGCGCCAGTAAAACGAGAGAGCGCCTTCGATTTGTGGCACTTCTCCTTATCGCTATATGTTCCTTGGTCATCATCGCATACCACTGTATGCTGCGAAAATGAATGCCGTCGAAAGGGAGCAAAAACACTCTTGGATCTCGCCATCTCTCTCTCAGCTTCTGCGATTCCGACACCCAATGGCCTGAGCATCAAATCACTAGGTTCTCCATTAGACGTCGCGTCGCTGGGCGGGAGATTCAGTCGCGTGCCGGGCCCGATCGTATTTAGCCTTTCGTCAGGTTTAACTCTGGGTTCGTCTTGATATACAAAATCCGCGGGGGTCCACCACTCGTCGGCATTCCATGGAGCCGGCATATTCCACCAGCGCCTTGGCGGGCGTCCTGGAGGTGTGACGTCGCCTCTTACATGAGTAGCAAAATCTACTTCATCGCAGTCGCCATCAGCGAACGAACCACTAGCTTGGAATGAGGATTGAGAACGGTGGGATGATGAGTGAGAAAAGGAGTGCGAGTTTCTATGGTCTGACGTCGAAGGACTGTGCGCGAAAGAGCTAGACCTCAAGCGGGCATAAGGCCCACTACCTGTCACAGGGAGGTTGTATGATGACGAACGTCTGTGACTTGGATAGGGACTACCATAAGGCGGTGGGGCTTCTAGTATGGGAGAGGCCGCAAGTGACGGCGGCCGATATCCAGATAGCGAAGGTGACGAATATTGGTTAAAGGAACCAGAGAACAAGCGAGGGCGCACATAGGGAGTCGATCCAGCAGAAGAAGTTCCAGTGGACATCGCCAATTGTTCAATGCGCTGTCTAGGTGACGCATGCGGACTGGACGATTCGATGGGGGTGACGAGCGACAGCAGAATCAATGATGGGGTGCGGCGGAATGGTATTGAAATACGACTGGCTGAAAGACAGTCTGCGCTGGTGTGAGGGAATCCCGCCGCCTGGACTCTGTAGTGGAACCTGCCGAAGACGAGGGGACGAAGGCGGTTTGAGCGGGGAGGAGATGAGCGGAGAAGAAGTAAAATCTGGCGGGGTGCAAGATGGCGACGACGTCGACGCCAGTCTGAGAACCAAATCTCGTGGAGAGGTTCCCGGAGAAGACATTATGCTGAGATAAATTCGAAAGTTGTCAACGCGATTGAACTGATGCAGTGGTATAGCTAGAGGACGTTGGGAAGGGAGAAAACTTTGCTGAAACTGAACGAGCGGGCGGGCAGTTGACTTTATAGTCTTCAGCAATGGAGTTTCAAACTGCAAGTGCAATACTAGACTTGCCTTTCCGGGTGCGATCGGCGATCGTTAGCATTGCAAGTCCGTAGATATTTCGTGCCGACAAACAGGAGGACTAGAATGTAAGTCAGACACTCGTTTGCAAGAAAGCTACTGGAGCTAATCATACAGAACGATGGCCAAAGAACACCAGAAATGGATCGAGGGCCTTCCCTCCACCGATTCCCATCATAGCACAGAACCATCCTGATGGGACCGTTGAGCCCAGGAGACTCCAAACAAGGTGTCATCACGTCTGAGTATTCCACTAATTGATAAGGCCGTTAAAATGTTGCAATCTGCAGCCGGGAGTACCAGACAATTGACTGTATTCAATAATGCCGGCGGCGTCCATGATCTAACGTCTAACACTGATCGGGACATGGCAGATGAGACTCGACATCCCGCGAGACGGCCGGATGAAGCTGATATATCCATACTGGTCCAGTGCGTTGGGGCGCTGAATAGTGACAGAGGCGTTCGGAGAATATGTTTATAAGTGCCGGTCAACTATCTGCTTTTGCTTGCAAGAATGTAACGTCCCATATACATAGGGTACTAGGTGAACGCCTGCACCCAGTGGCTGCACTCGTATACATACCGCTCGTTGCATACGTGGCTTGACGCAGAGAAGTTAGGTAGGCGCTTGACTGCCACTGACCAAGTGGTTTTAGTAGTTGCAGCAAAACGGCGAACATGCATCCGAATGTGGCGTCAAACAAACTTGGACACATAAAGCCTAATCAAACGCCACACTGTGAAGCAAGTTCGCAATTAATCCCTCCTGGCTCGCATCTGTTGTAATGCTCTACAGGTCATGCATCATACACGGCTCCTTGACAAAATCCATATACGTGCCCATAAAATGGATATGCGCACGTCTGGCCGGCCGTTACGATGAGCATGATAAGTATTGGGAGGAGACATCTGATAATCTCCTTCGAGTTTTGGCGCGACTCAGCCTCAAGTTGTAAGTAAAGGGCCATAACGAGTAGTAAGTATGCGCGTCTGATAATTAAGTACTATGTAACTTGAATTCGCACCTACTCACACGTCAGATTGAATCAGACACCGTCTTCTCAGAACACTTCTTTGGTCAGTGATAGTCAAAGTCAAGGTGCCATGCTGAGTGACATCTCTTCGAGGGTCGACTGGCAGGTCATGCAGTCCAGGTGTTCTCGGCCTCCATTCCGAGGCAAACGTAGCATGACGTCACACTGGCAGTACAGTCCACGACCTTCTTGTGATAGATACATATCTCTCTTCTGCTCCCCTCGCTCATGTTCATACGCCAATGATACACTAGTTACTGCTATATTGTTCTTAGTTCAAGTTGCTACAGTGGACCTCACCATGCTCTTCTCGTACCATTCCCTCTCGAACTCAATTGCCTTTTTAATCGTCTCCGATGTGCGCCACCCATGCTGTTCGCCATCGAAGAAATGCGCCTCAACATGTCCCTTAGATTTAAGGACCCCATCAATAATAGTCCAGGATTGTGCTGGCGGAACAATTGCATCATCATTGCCTTGAAGAACCTGTTGGAAAGATGATCTACCCAACAGAGCGCATTTCATCGACATATAAACATACGAGCAAAGGGGTTTTGATGTTTGCAGAAAAATACTCCGGGCTCCGGTCGTGCCAAACTTTCGGAATCTTGTCCTTCGTACCACCGAGAAGCTTTATGACGTACATGAGCTCGAACTTGTGCGTATCGTTTGCAAACAGCTCCATGTTTGAAATCCCAAAGCTGTTCGTAGCACTTGCGAAAAATTTCGTCTTGCTCGCCGGGGAGGAGTCAAGGGAAATGGCGGCAAGGGTAGTATACCCGCCAGCGCTCCCGCCACGGATCGCAGTGCGCTTGGTATCGACGAGGGAACTGATTTGGGGTGATTGGACTGCGTCAATGCAGTCGCTCACGTCTGTAATGCCCCAATTCCCTTGGAGGCGCTCCCTTCGTTACGTTTCAGCTGTGTTCCACGGGAAACACAACAGCGAATGGTAACGTACACATATGCGCGTCCATAGCACGAAGAGCCACTGTAGTTCACATCCAACCTGCAATTTATGAGCATGATGATACTGCGATAGTCGACAGGTCCTACCAAGCATATCCTCTGCTTGTGAAATACTGCTTCTGCCAGTTCAAATTCTGGGTCTCTAATCCTGTGGGACCACCGTGTACGCCAAGCACGCAAGGCGGCTTTTCGTTGGGAATGCTCGAACCCGCATACGCTGGGTTGTTGGGAGCGTAGTACACGGCATATACAATCTTGTCACCCGCTACTTTAAGTTCAAGCGGGGTTGGAAGCGAAATGATGCCCTCAGGGAACGGCACGGCGGACGTCGATGCGGTAGAGCTGAGCACCCGGAAATTTGGCACGAATGATGGTCCCGTAAGAGTGCAGAGCATAGCTGCGCCAGGAGCGTTGCTTTGCCATCCCGTGAAGACAAAAGTGTAGTCTGACAGACGACAGACATTGTTTACCACTACAAAGTCGAATGATTCATCTTTGATCTCCAGGTAGGAACCTGCGGCGACATCAACCACATAAAGGACACTTCGGCCATCCCGCCATGCAACACAGATAGCTTTTGTGCCATTCTCGTCCAGGAAAGCGAACGAGTAATTACCAAGCGTCCAGCATGGCATGCAGAAGTCTTGCTGCACGACAGACGAGAGAACTGGTTTGGTGCACGTCTGGGTATACTCCCACAAGTTTGCAAACTTGCTTTCGTCAGAGGTAAATAGAAGTTTGTCGTTGGAGGCCCACAGGGGGTAACACGCGCCAATATTGTTAGCTTCGCCGGCGACCAGCTTCGCATTGCTCAGGCTAAGTTTATGGGTGTTGGAATTGTAATGGACGTCAGCCACGTAGATCTGTCCACCCTCCCAAGGCATGTCTGGGTGTTTCCAGAACTGCCATGCGAGCTTATCGCCAGAAGGGGAAAATCTCGGTGCTGCATAGAACTCACTTTGTGCGTCCTCGGTGGAAACCAAGGACGTGACAGTGACAGCTGTGGAGTTGATGATACAAAGAGAATTTCGCACGGTACGCGGCGTGTCGTCGGTATGGTCTTCTAAGATAGCGACGAGTAGATCTGTGTGTACTGGGTGTACACAGAAATCTGCATAGCGATAAATCTTATTTGGGTCCTCTGCGCAGGGAGCGTAAGTACGGTGTTATAGTCCGAGGAATTTACATAGGTACCTGGTGTGATTGGTTTGATCTTCCCATCTTTCGCGGCATAGACACGGAAGTCCGCGAAGTTTGAAGAGTACACAGTCCCATTATAAGAGATCGCAGCACCTCCACCATATTCATGAACGCGCGTGCGCGCATTGAAGTCCTTGTCGAAGACTTCCTTTTGAGTCTTATTACTCACAACAACGCATCGACCAGCCTCCGATGCACGTTGTTCGATGTAGTAGATATCCTTTGTGACTGGATCTACAAAGATAGTACTCAAGGAGACACTCTACGGTGTAGATCAGTTTCGGATGCTGAGCAATCAAAGACAATTTGATGAACATACATCCTGAGCAATGGCATCAGCTGTGATGGGGGACTCCCAAAGGCCATATGGTGCATATTTTTGAGCCATAATCACGGTATGATTATAAAACGTCAAGACAGTTAGCAGATCGGATGGCTGTGTGGGAGTAAGATTCAAGAAAGGGAGTGGGAGTGGAAGTTACATACCGACGAAAGCTTGGGTAGTTATATGATATTTATGGCACATGCACCGTGCACGTTCCAGCATTTCTGTCACCTGAGTTCTTCGCTTGGGTCCTTGGGAACACGTCGATCATTTTGCATGTGGCTAAGCCTCACCTTTGCGCGCACGTGATGTTTGGATTAAAGGCTCTTGACAAACAACCACTCTTGATCGGGAAACGATTTTGCATTTCTAAATTTCCTTGGTGATCTGCGCTATCTGACTTATAATGTGTGCCAATTAAATGAATCAATGCAGAGCTCGAAATTCTGTTGACGAGACGTTGAAAACTGCATGTGGTGAGTCCACTCTCTTCGTTCAAGGAGACAGGTATTGCCATTTTTAGGTCCATCCTCATTCGGAAAGTGTCAGTTGGTATGTTGCCCTCCTACGCTAGCTCGAGCTTCTTGGACTCACTCTGTACTCGGCCTGTGTGCATTCTTCTGGCCTCCGGCCCCACTAAACAATTTTTTTTTTTCATTTGGTGGCGAATCCCGACAGTTTTGGTCAATCTGTCGAGAATCTAAGTTGGTACGTATGCACCTCCACAAAAAGGGGGTTTCGGTGCAATGACTGGGCCTACATAGTTAAGGAGGACCTGGAAGGATCTATACACCGCAAAGATATTGTCAGCAGGTTTCGAACCAACTCCAAGAGAAACAGATTTTAACTCTGTTAAGGTAACCACTTGGCTAAGACCAGTTAGACGAATCTGATCAAACTATCCATGACTGAATATCAAGGTGTGTTCCGACTGCAAACCTGTCATTCAGCAGGTTTCGAACCTACACAGTGCAAGAGAAATAGATTTTGATTCTGTCGTAGTAACTACTTCGCTAAGACCGGTTGAGATAAGTGTGTGAGGAAACCATCCATGAGTGAGTGTCGAGGTGTGCTCTGATGGGAAAAAATACTTGCTGTAGGCACGTTTCGAACCTGCGCAATGCAAGAGGAACAGATTTCGAGTCTGGTAACCACTTGACTAACATCAGTGAAGACGAACCTCCTAGGAACTGTCCATGAGTGAATCTTCATGGCGTGTCCTGAGGGGGGGAAAGCTCGTCTTCGACAAATTTTGATTCTGTTGTGGTAACCACTTGGCTAAGACCAGTGAAGATGGGCCACCATTCATGAATGAATCTTCGAGGCGTGTTCCGGTAGACAAAAAAACCTGTTACCACAGGTTTCGAACCTGCACAGGCCAAGGGAAACAAATTTTGATTCTGTTGTAGTAACCACTTGACGAAGACCAGTTAGATGAACCTCCGACGAAACCATCCATGAGTGAATGTTAAGGTGCGTTCCGAGAGAAAAAAACCTGTCATTCGACAGGTTTCGACCCTGGACAGTCCGAGAAAAACAGATTTCGATTCTAGTGTGGTAATCACTTTGGCCAGGACACTTCTCAAGTTGAGATGAACCTCTGGAGTGAATGTCAAGGTGTGATAAGACATATGTCGGCAGGTTTCGAATCCGCACCACCCAAGAGAGTAGATTTCTAGTCTGTCCTGGTGCGAGTGACGTCTGCAGTACCAGAGTCGAAGAACATTATGCACTGACAGTAGAATCACATAGGGTTAGCAGTCGTTTGCCAACGCAAAATGAAATAAAAAGACTAGTTTGCGTTTAATTCGAACATGCCAGGAATGAGCGAATCGGGGGCTGGCGCCTGTGTCATTACGATCTGGTAGGGGTGTATTGATATAGGTATTTAGTTTATGCTGTGAGCGGCGGATGAGCGAACGAACAACAATTAGTAGTTACTTTGAGCATATTCAGTGCGTGCACTCTGGAGGAAAAGGTGGAGTATTTCTTCAGTCTCATTACTTGAATATTTGTGGATAGTGGCGATTGAGTCGGTCTTGTGTATGCGGTGATGGTTAGTCGGAGTTTGCCGAATATATTACCGCCGGGCCTGAGTAAATTGATCTTGTAACAACCTGTTTACTTCTCCACGATAAGTACTAAGATTGGATGGTGCGCATCATCACGTCTGCAGATGACATGTCCGACATAAATATACACACGGCGATGTCAGAACCGTGCACGTGCCGGTCCATATGCCAGAGGTGGAGGTGCATGCGCGTAGCGAGGATCGCAAGGATAAAGACTTCAAATCTGTATATGTATGTTTGGGGGTTGTTGTCAGTAGGAATTCGCAATAGAAGTGGGAGATGCATACCCTTCGGGGAGGAAGTAGGATAGGGACTGGGTGTGCGCAACTTCAATGGTTCGATCATGTCAAAGGGTATTGTTTACGCACATCTGAAAGCGGCAACAGTGGCACAATGACGTTCATGGCCGAGAGAACTTTCCCAAAGTTAATCATCACCAATAAGCACGGAAACAAACGAATGTAAGCTCTGACTCACGCAGACCACATGCATAGTAGAATATGTTATGCTTCACTAAGATGGTGTACAGAGGGCCCTTGGCCGACCGCCAACTCTGTATGACACGCACGAGTGTGAGAGATATCAGTACTGTGGATAGTGTCAGTCAGCGCGTGTCTGCAATGTACACTCTCAATGTACGGCTGCATACCCAGTTGAAACACAAACAAGAGAGTAAACGGCATGAAAAATGCGAAACTGCCCGAGCTCCGCTGACAGCCTGGGATCGTGCTAACCATAGCTGTGAAACTGGAGTCAATACGTGCAAATAGTAGTGAGTGAAGGTGAGAGCACAAACAATAAGAGGTCACAGTAGCAGTACACCCAATGACGAAGGATGATACCATGATAGCCTGACTGATTTATCAACATTGAACTTGGGTACGGTGAGGGCGTGTGGCTCACAAAAAGGGTGGACAACATGACTATGAGTAGAATTCTATTTTTGTTCCAGAGCGCATATGTTCTAAGGACAAAAAAGCCTGGATGAATCAGATCAGAAACACGTGTATGTCTCGGAGGAAGGAGAGATACATTCAGAACCACTGAGTGAAATCAGACTCAAGGCTGTAAGAGGAATAGCAGCGCTCAGTAAGAACGTGCATGTAATATGTACCGGGCACGTACATGTGATAAGATTGATTGATATCTGGCATTTCTGGCGAAGTCATACAATTAGCTTCGTTTGTCGGTGGATAGATGTCCATGTTCACCGTGCACGTACATTGGTATTCTCGTTCGGGGCCATAGTCACTGAATCACAGTATGCCGATTCATTAAGTTGGGAGAATATATACTGGGATAAACGCACGATATAGGTTCACGGTGGTGATTAAAAAGGGGATATATCGTGCAATGATATACAGGGCTTTCACTTTGGTCCAGCGCGACCGAAGTAGGAATGTCCACTTGAACAGTACATCATTAAGCCAAGGCATATCGCGGAACAAGTACACTACTTACCTCTTCGTGAAGTGAACAAATATAGTCATACGTCTGGATAAACAAGTTTAACGGCGAATGGAAATAGATCTGGATAAACATACCCAGAATGTCGCCATCGACGCTGAGCTGTCGAGTTAGAACGAGGAAGATGCAGTTCAGACATCACGCACAGTATAGGTACTAATGGCCACACAGTGACATGTCTGTTATTATCTTGCTGTCGTGTCAAGAAAGCGACGCACCACGAAGAGCTGCAGATTTCTGGCCGCTGCGATATCGTCCCCCGGATATCCATCTAGATTCGTTCGAAAGGTAACAATTGGGTTTCGCGTACACATCCATTCAACTTCTTATATGAGCCGGGAATCGGGACCGAATACTGGGACGCTATGCCGGTGAGTATATCGTGATGGATCATTTTCACTAACCGATTTACAGTTGATGTGGCTACATGCACCATCCTGGGCGCAACTTAATGAAAGTTACTAACATAGCAATAAGACCTTAGGCCTTAGCGCTTAGCTATTGAGATGCTAACACTGGTACCCAATAATACACATGATTGATTTAATTTGATCATCAAAGTTGATTTGGACACGCGCTCATTGTACTGATCCTTGAAACACGCAGCCACCTCGGAGGGACCTGCTTTTCCAGAACTTGAAGGAAAGCTTAATTAACCTCTGCAGATCACCCTTGGCCATTTCAAACACACGCGAATTCTTCTAAGTTGAGATGACTTTAATGCGGGTGTGATGATGATATACGTAAAGCAGACTGGAGGAAGCTAACCGTTCTCGTCTGAATTTGATTGGGATTGATACATGAATCTGTAATGGGCTGGATGTGATCGGTCAGTAACCGGTCTGATGCCTTGATTATCTGGCGAATGCTGTGTCGGTGAGAGCATGTTGATTGATCTTTTCATATTTCGTTGCAGGTGTGCCATCAGGTCGACTGGCCGGTGAGATAAGCAATGGAGGAGGCTCTGCTACAAGAGAGCATTGGAAGACGTAATTGTGGATCGTGTGGGGTGGAATTCCGAACGAATTGTCACTCACTGATCGGGGGTCTCCTCGTTGATCTCGAATATCTACAAACCATTTACTTGAAGAGTCGACCCTGTGATATCAAAATTCTTAGGGATGCCTCATGCCGCACCGTGTAGTGTGGCAATACTAAGCAAAGACACTGGTGATCGAACAAGGACCAGAGGCGTACTGCTCAGAATGCCCGATTTGTACTTGTGCTCACAAGGACTGAACCCAAGGCTATGCCACGCAGCAGCCACAACGGTGTTAGAGTCTCCAAGCATTTGATGAATTAAAGATTGACACATGAAAGATCCGTATCTGCTCTTCTACTGCAGCTCGTCGTGCTCGTCGTCTAGTTGCTCACGCGTTCATATCCGAAGACATAGCCTCCCCGGAATACCTAGAGCCTCACGCCAGACTACATTTCAAAGATGTCGGCCTGCATTTTCCACTCCTGATATGATTAATGAGATGGTGAACTTTGCGAGCGAGCCAGAAATACACTTACAGACTCAATCGTTGGTCGGGTGAACGTCTCCTCGTCGACTGTGATATTGTCATAAACATTTCGCGTTTCGGTCACGAGACTTATCGTGTACGCACGCTTGTACTTAGTCAAAGCTTGCTGCGACTCCGCCTTTTCTTTCTAACGTCGTGCTGGTCTTTTCTCTCAGATCATTGTAGGTTGTGTTTGAGTCACGCCTTGATTTTGAGACGTTTGACAGATATCCCAAAGGGGAGCATCGAAAACTCTGTCATGGGACACCTCCACGAAAGGGAGGTATGTCGTCACCAGCGTGTCCGACCAGAGACCTACCGATGCCGATATCGTAGGTTCTAGGTTCGCGGATGATCACGGCTCCATCGAGTCAATCTATCGAAAATAGAGCATTATAAATGTATTCCTAGCAAAAACAAATGACGACGTACCGAAGTAGCGCTGAGTCGTGATCACTGGACCGAATAAATGGAACTAATGATGAATTAAGCACATCAATGGCTGCTGATAAGATGTGTTGGGCGCTAACTGAATGAAGATGCAGAGGGTGCAGAATGCCATGGCATAAATCATAATTCGCGAGTTCTTACTCACAGCACGCTGACCTTTCTAACATTGTAACAACCTGTACGTACTTCTCCGCGATAAGTACCAAGATTGGATGGTACGCATCATCATGTAGTGGCAAGCAGCGATATGGGTCGTGTATTGCTCGTGATCAAAATCATCAAACAGAGAAGGAAGTCGTAGTCCAAGTCCAACTTCACAAATGACGCCAAATAAGCCACTTGATAAGATGTTACACCGTATGGTCTACAGGTGACATGTCCGACATAGGTATACACACGGAGGTATCAGAATCATCCACGTGCTGATCCATATGCCAGATATGGAGGTGCATGCGCGTAGCGAGAATCGCAAGGATAAAGACCTCAAAACTGTATATGCGTGTTTGGGGGTTGTTGTTAGTAGGAATTCGCAACAGAAATAGGAGATGCATACTCTTCGGGGACGAGGTCGGTTAGGGACTGGGTGTGCGCAACATCAATGCTTCCATCATATCGAAGGGTATTGTTTACGCACATCAAACGGCAGCAGCGGCACAAGGACGTTCACGGCCGAGAGAACTTTCGAAAGGTTAATCATCACCGATAAGCACGGAAACATATGTAAGTTCTGACTCACGCAGACCGCATACATAGTAGAATATGTTATGCTTCACTAGGATGGCGTACAGAGGGCCATTGACTGACCGCCAGCTCTGTATGACACGCACGAGTGTGATGGACAACAGTACTGGGGATAGCGTCAGTCAGCGAGTGTATGCAATGTACACTCCCAGTTTCCGATTGCATACCCAGTTGGAACACAAACAAGAGAGCAAACGGCATGAAGAATGAGAAACTGGCCAAGCTCTGACAGCCTGGGATTACGTTAGCCGTAGCTGTGAAACGGAGTGAATATGTGCCAATAATAGTGAGTGAAGGTGAGAGCACAAACAATAAGATGTCATAACAGGAGTAAAACTAATGATGGTGGATGATATGGCGACAGCCTGACTGATTTATCAACATTGAACTTGGGCGTGGTGAGGGCGTGGGGCTCACAAAAATGGCGGACAGCATGGTTACGAGTATAATTCTATTTTTGTTCCAGAGCATATACGTTCTGAGGACAAAAAAGCCTGGATGAATCGGATCAGAAACATGTGTATGTCTCGGAGGAAGGAGAGATACATTCAGAGCAAATGAATGAAATCAGACTCAAGGCTGTAAGAGGAAATAGCAGCGCGCGGTAAGAACGTGCATGCAATATGTACCGGGCACGTACATGTGATAACATAGATCGATATTTGGCATTTCTGGCGAAGTCATACAGTTAGCGTCATTTGTCGGTGGATAGATGACCATGTTCACATACATTGTTATCCTCGTTCGGGGTCACGGCCACTGAAACGCAGTATACCAATTCATTAAGTTGGGAGAATATACAGTGGGATGAACGCACGATATAGGTTCACGATGGGGATTAAAAAGGGGACATATCGTGCAATGATATAAAGGACTTTTACTTTGGTCCAGCGCGACTGAAGTAGGAACGTCCACTTGAACAGCACACTATCAATCTCAGAGCCCAGGCATATTGCGGAACAAGTACACTACTTACCTCTTCGTGAAGTGAACAGATATAGTCATAGATCTGGATAACAAATTTTAACGGCGGATGGGCATAGATCGGAATAAACATACCCAGAATGTCGCCATCGACGCTGAGCTGTCGAGTTAGAACGAGGAAGATGCAGTTCAGACAGCACGCACCGTATAAGCACTAGTTGCCACCCGTGACATATCTGTTATCATCTTGCTATCGTCTCAAGAAAGCGACGCACCGCTAAGAGCTGCAAACTTCTGGCCGCTGTGACATCGTCCGCCGAATATTCCATCTGGATTCATTCGAGAGGAAACAATTGGGTGTCGTGTGCACATCCGTTCACCTTCTTATATGAGCTGGGAACCCATCAATACCGGATACCGGAGATGCTATGCCGCTGAGGATATCATTTTACTGGCTGCTTTACAGTTGGTGCCAGAAATGTTCTGTATTTTCATTGGTAAAATATTAATAAGGTCAGAGTCTATTAACATGTACGGAATAATACACATCATTAGATTTAATTTGTTCATAAAAGTTGATTCAGACACTCACATGTGCTCATTGTACTGATCCTTGATCCACTTGATGTCTGAGACACCATCAGTCCTTGAAATACGCAGCAACCTCGGAGGGTCCTACTTTTGTAGAACTTGAAGGAAGGCTTTGACCTCTGTAAGTCAGCCTTGGCCATTTTAGACAGTGCACACGAAGCCTCTTCTAATTTAAGAAGACTTTATATAATACGGGTGTGATGGTGATATAAAGCAGACTGGAGGAAGCTAAATCGTTCTCGTCTACATGAAACTGATCGATACACGGATCTGTAGAGTGGTGGATGTGATGGGTCACTGACTGGTCTTCATCCGACTGATGCCTTGATTATCTAGTGAATGCTGTGTCGGTGAGAGCATCTTCTTCACATTGCGACCTTTCGCTACAGGCGTGTATCAGGTCGACTGGCGGCCGGTGAGAAAATCAGGGAGGAGGCTCTGCTACAAGAGCGCATTGGAAGACGTACTAATTGTGGATCATGTGTGAGGTGGAATTCCGAACGTATTGGGATCAGGGGTTTGTAGTGTCCACCATAGGGCCCCACCCCAAAGGACAATAAACAAGGATCCAAAAAAGAAGAAAAAAATGGGATCAGGGGTTTCCTGGTCGATCCTGAATATCTACAAACCGTTTACTTGTAGAGTCGGCTCTTGTGATATCAAGATTGGATGGTACACACCAAGTAGCGGCAAGCAGAGCTACTAGTTGTGATCGAACAGACACCTCACGAAGCGCGATATCTGCATATTTAGGCATCGAGACGATAACATACAACCTTTCAAATCGTCGTCGCACCGGTCGGGTCGGCCATCGTGCTTGAAGAGACTGTGTCTTGTCCGGAAACGCGGGAGGATGCTTTGTCTGGGCCACAGTGCTTTGAAAGCTCGAGTAAAGATGTCGGCCTTTTTAGATGACTCGGAGCGATATATTTTTTAAAACGATGGGTATATCCTTCAAAAAACTAGTGGTGGAGAGCACTCAGCACTACGCTGCAACAAAACCCGACACTGAGTGGCTGACTAAGCTACTGTGCTACCCACGGCTATCCTCCAGTACTAAGCAAAGATACCAACAACTTGAAGGACCAAAGGCCCAGCCAGAGCTGAGGCGAACCGCTAAAATGCCCGATTCATAATTGTGTTCACAAGGACCGGGCATTAACCCGAGGCCATGCTACGCAGCAATCACGACGGTGTTAGAGTCGCCAAGCTTTTGATAGATTAAAGATTGACACATGAAGGATCTATCTGCTCTTCTACTGAAACTTATCGTCGTCAAACTTGTTGTTGTCGCCATTGTCATTGTCATTGGTATCGTCGTCACCATTGTAGTTGCTCACATGTCCATATCCGAGTACACAGCCTCCCCTGGAATACCCTAGACGGCTGGCTACAATGAAATATGGACTACATTTCAAAGACGTCGGCCTGCATTTTCCACTCCTGATACATTTGGTGAGATGGTGAACTTCGTGACCTGACAGCCAGAAATACACCTACAGATTCAACCGTTGGTTGGGTGAACAGCACCATGGTCTCCTCGTCGAGTGTGATATCCCAAAGGAGAGCATCGAAAGATCTCTCATGGGACACCTCCACGTAAGGGAGGTATGTCTTCACTGGCGTGTCCGACCAGAGACCTACCAATCCCGATATCGTAGGTTCGCGGATTACGTTGCCGATGCCACGCGCCACGGCCGAGGGATTGAAGTCGGCCATGTGTAACTGGAACGATAAATCAGTGCCACCCGCGACGGGACCCGCCCATATAACACGAGATCCTCCCACTCCAAAAAAGTACAGCCATTCCATGCCGAACCTTTCTTCATGGAAGAGACGAGAGTTTCGTGGACCCCAGGATGACCATGTGACTAAGCGCCCATCTTGTGACGTTGCATCAAACCATGTCGAAGGAATGTCCATGAAAAATATGCGAGAAGATATGATACAAGTCGATGAACAGGCCCATGTCACCGATATGACTCGATCTGCAGGGTTCGTTGTCCAAATCCAATGGTCAACTGGTACCGCGAGGCCCGCACAGCTTGCGGCACTATGAAAAGTCGACGGGTGATTGAAAGCGCCCAACTGGCCACGGATGGGCAGCATAAATCTTGCATGAAGCCGCGGCGCCTTTGATGGGTCCTCGGTGTCATAGAGGTGAATATGACCATCCGTCGAGAGAGCTATAAGCTTCTCCTTGACAAGAAAACGGATGTCCGACAACTGATTACCGTCACCGATCGCACATAAGTCCTGTTAAATGCTCAATTCGAACCGACAGCGAAAGACACAAGGAAACACCACCCACGTCAGCTTGACTAGGTCGTTGCCAACTCAAGACGTGCAGCGACCAGCACGGGTTTTCGTCGAGCCCAACAATATAGACTGCGAGGCGATCATCGAGGACAGCAACAGCGATTTTGATCTGCTGAGCTTTGCTGCAAGCGGCTCTACCACTCACTATACAAGATCCATGGGACAAAGGATGTTCCTTCCCCGTTGATATCGTATGGAAGGATATTTGGTACTTGAAGCCATCAGAATTGACATCGATCGGAAGCGTAATGATGATCTCGATGTCTTGTAACTCGTCCATGCACCTGTATGTGTGGGGAACTGGACCGGGATTCATAAAAATTGTAGCGATACACGTGCTGTTGGTCTTGATATCCACAGCGTTGGACGCAGGATCCACATGCACGGAGGGCGTATAGCGGATAATATTTCCATGAACAATCGAGTTCAATTTGGACAAGGTCGCACTACGAAACGCACGCGTAGCAATGGGCTTGAAAGTGTTCCACGCGTTTGCCTTTTTTCTGAGGATACACAAGTACTCCGATAAAGAGGCAGTAGGTGACCGCGGATGTACTTCAATTAACCGTTGAGCACCGAGTTCGATGATGTACTGTAGCTCAACAGAGCATTTGACTGTGTTGTACAGTGTCAGGCAGGTCTGTTGAGGGCAGATCAGTACCTTAGTTCAAAGTATGGGAATGAATCTATGACTCACCAGAGCACATCGTATAATTTCATTATATGAAAGAAATCCGAGGATATGGCATCGGATTTCATCGGGCAGGCCTTCAAGGGTAGCCGTTGCAATCCGAGAGGACATTTGTCCACGACAAACAGCATACTCCGTATCTATGGTTGAGGATAGAGGAGTGTCGGGGTCTGAGAAGTGATAGGAGGGCAGAGGTGGGGCAGGACGGGGTGTGGGACAGACCGATAACATGGTCTCCCTGTACGGATGACTGTGGAGATCGCCATTAACGCAAAACTCGAATAGAGCCTATGAGAGGATTCGAAAAGGTTGCGATCACCAAGAGTTCAATGACTCACCTTTTTTCTATCACGCAGTTTGTCTGCACAACTCAATGATGAGTTCACAATATTCTTGATGAAGTTACGGAGCATAGTAAAATGATAAATTGATTAAATGTGGCTTGCGGTCAGTGTCTGAGTGAAGGTAGTTGTGCGAAGAATAGAAAAAAACATGACTGCCAGCAGGTATGTGTGTTGAGGGCCCGAGCGGCGTTGGATGAGCGGAAGTTTCAAAAGTTTCATGATGTCATCATCTCTTCGGGGCACAGCCACATACAATCCGGAATTGGCAACACTTGAACCTCACAGGGTATATATAGACAGCTGGTATAGGGTGTCACGGTGCGAAAACAGGTATTACTCTAACATAACATGCCAATATATGTCTGTCCGCGAAGTAGGCTTATAGGTAAATGATGAGCAGAACGGTTCGTTATGTCTAAGACGGAACGCTTGTACTGGGTGAATTTTTTTCGAGTATAGATAGCGAGAATGACCACGGCACCATCCAGCCAATCTATCGATAATAGAGCATTATAAACGTATTCCTAGCGAAAAAAGATGACAACGTACCACACCAGCGAGCTCCACAGTATGGTAAGGATGGATTAAGCACATCAATGACTGCTGATAAGATGTCTTGGGCACTAACCGAATGAAGATACAGAAGGTGCAGAACGCCGTGGCATAATCCGCAAGTTCTTATTCACAGCACGTTGACCTTTCTCCAGTATGCGGGGCTGCTCAACGCGGCGGACGGGTGCATCGTATTTCAAACGCAAGAAAAACTCGGCAAAAGAGACGTAGACCATTATAGCAACTAGAGAGCGAAGTTAAGGAATGTAAGCGAGAGAATTGGGAGACAGAGCTGCAAGGGCAGCAATTCCACCTAGCATGATGTTCGCGCCTGTCTCTAAAAAGTATTGTGCGAACCAATATTTATCGAGTATCACTTCGAAGTTGGACGAAGCCATTTTTAGTGAGTGACAAAATAGAATTTGTCAAGGTTTCCTGGAGCATGAGGTTCACCTGTAAGATACGAGATAAAGTTGTGGTGGGAGCCAAGGGCACCGAGACGGAATTTCCCGAGCAGCCATCTTGATGCCCTTGCCCACCATCACTGATGTCGTACTCGTCGACACCATCCAGCTTACGGCAAACATTGGTGCAGATTCCTGGGGACGCCTGCGCGAACAACTTGTTTCCATCACCGTCCAACCCCATCTCAAGCCCTCCTTCCTTGAGATATCCGGCCAATCTGACAACGTCGTAGACTCCATCCACTATGGGCATCTCACCGGGGCCGTCTTATGCGGATGTTTGTGAACTCGTGCATGAGGTCACTAAGAAAGTGTTCGCTCTGGCTGGAGAGAATGTCACAGACGCCGTGCGTGTCGTCGTCGGCCTTCTGAAGCATTTACTTGCGAACGACTTTGAGGTTGAAGTGATTACACGCAGGGGCAAAAAACAGTTTGAAACAGGCCGAAAGGGTGTCTGTCGAAGACCTTGTGATGCCCGTGCCGATTGGCGTCAATCCCGCCGAACGCCTTGCAAAGGAGAAGGTGATCACGAACATCACATTCTACGAGAAATCTGGTATGCACCAAGTGGATTGTCCTGCAATCATCAAACATATATCACAAGCACGCTACCTTTCTCCCGTCGCTTACTGAAGAGTGACAATACTGCATAACTCACACTCGAAACATTCGTTCTGCACATCGTCCGCAGCTCACGTCTTGCACTGATGCCATTGAAGCCGTGACAACACGATCACAGAAGCCCAGTGCACTGTATTTCGCTCACTCTTCTCGTGTTGAGATTACTTGGTACTGCGATGCGTTCCGATGATGATTGTGATAAGGCCCATGCGAGGTTGGTGAGAGCTGTTGCATGGTCTGGAGGGCTGACCGGACACTGGTCCAGAACCAACTGAAAATGCTGCACATCATGGTTCAGGTGAGAGACCCTCTTGCGTGTCGCGCATTTGGCAAGTCGTGCATGGCCTGCATCTGTGTCTCGAATACTTTCGCAGTCTACGAGGGACTGCATTTGGCAAGCAGCGATATGGATCATGTATATCAAAATCATCAAACAGAGAAGGATTGTGCTTGAAGTCGTAGTCTAAGTCCTACTTCACAAACGAAGCTAAATAAGCCACACGATAAGATGTTACACCGTACGGTCTGCAGGTGACATGTCCGACATAGGTATACACACAGCGATGTCAGAGCCGTGCACGTGCTGATCCATATGCCAGAGATGGAGGTGCATGCGCGTAGCGAGGATCGCAGGGATAAAGACCTCAAATCTGTATATGTATCATGATGTTTGGAGGTTGTTGTCAGTAGGAATTCGCAACAGAAGTTGGAGATGCATACCCTTCGGGGAGGAAGTATGATAGGGACTGTGTGTGCACAACATCAATGATTCCATCATGTAGAAGGGTATTGTTGACGCACATCAGAAAGCGGCAGCAGCGGCACAAGGACGTTCACGGCCGAGAGAACTTTCGAAAAGTTGATCATCACTGATACGCACGGAAACATATGTAAGGTCTCACTCACGCAGAACACATGCATAGTAGAATATGTTGTGCTTCACTAAGACGGCGTACAGATGGCTCCTGGCCGACCGCCAACTCTGTATGATACGCACGAGTGTGAGGGATACCAGTACTGGGGATAGCGTCAGTCAGCGCGTGTCTGCAATGTACACTCCCAATGTACGGCTGCGTACCCAGTTGGAATACAAACAAGAGAGTAAACGGCATGAAGAATGTGAAACTGCCCAAGCTCCGCTGACAGCCTGGGATCGTGCTAACCGTAGCTGTGAAACTGGAGTCAATATGTGCAGTAGTGAGTGAAGGCGAGAGCACAAACAATGAGAGGTCACAGTAGCAGTAAACTCAATGATGAAGGATGATACGGTGACAGCCTGACTGATTTATCAACATTGAACTTGGGTGCGGTGAGGGCATGTGGCTCACAAAAAGGGTGGACAGCATGACTACGAGTAGAATTCCATTTTTTTTCCCAGAGCACATACGTTCTAAGGACAAAAAGGCCTGGATGAATCAGATCAGAAACACATGTATGTCTCGGGGGAAGGAAATATACATTCAGAGCAACCGAGTGAAATCAGACTCAAGGCTGTAAGAGGAATAGCAGCGCTCAGTAAGAACATGCATGCAATGTGTACCGGGCACGTACATGTGATAATATTGATCGATATCTGGCATTTCTAGCGAAGTCATACCATTAGCTTCATTTTTGGTGGATAGATGTCCATGTTCACCGTGCACGTACATTGGTATTCTCGTTTGGGGCCACAGTCACTGAATCACAGTATGCCAATTCATTAAGTTGTGGGATATATACTGGGATAAACGCACGATATAGGTTCATGGTGGTGATTAAAAATGGGACATATCGTGCAGTGATATACAGGACTTTTACTTTGGTCCAGCGCGACCGCAGTAGGAATGTCCACTTGAACAGCACATTATTAAGTTCAGGCCGAGGCATATTGCGGAACAAGTACACTACTTACCTCTTCGTGAAGTGAACAAATATAGTCATAGGTCTGGATAAACAAATTTAATGGCAGACAGAAATAGACTGCGATAAACCTACCCAGAATGTCGCCATCGATGCTGAGCTGTCAAGTCAGAACGAGGAGGATGCAGTTCAGACACCACGCACAGCACAGGTACTAATGGTCACACATGAGATATCTGTTATCATCTTGTTGTCGTGTCAAGAAAGCGACGCACCACGAAGAGCTGCAGATTTCTGGCCGCTGTGACATTGTCCGCTGAATATTCCATCTAGATTCATTCGAGAGGAAACAATTGGGTTTCGCGTACACATCCATTCACCTTCTTTAAATAAGCTGGGAACCCATCAAGACCGGATACTAGGGACATTATGCCGGTGAGGATATTGTGACGGATCATTTTTTTGGCCGATTTGCAGTTGACGTGGCCACAGCCTGCACTATGCTGGGCGCAACTTCATAAAAGTTACAGTTGGTTCCATTCGAAATGTTCTATATTTAATAATGGCGTTCAAAGTGATTTCCTGAAAACTTGGTAAGCTCGGTTAAATCGGTCTTGACTTCAGGCGTTAGACTCGTGACCAGTCTGACGTACGTCCTTTGAGAGGTCGATCTCGGAGAAATTTGGCAGGCGAAGCACGGTGTTCGAAAACTACAGGTGCCGTTTGTGCTGACGCCGTGTCGTCGTCCATCATATCATACAGACACTACATCAGTAAAAAATACCACGTAGCCTAAATCAACTTGTCGGGAACTTACTCCACTTGGTTTGGCGCCCAAGTATGTCAAGATGTCCAAGATCTTGGAGGGTGCCTTGAATGTCTTAACCGTGACATCAAGCCATCAGAGAGACTCAGACAATTAAAGAGCTGAAAAGGATTTTCAAGACATTTTTTAAATTTGAGTGTTACAAGAAAAATGAGTGTATTAAGTGCCATGAGGTCGCTCAGAAAGTGTTCGCCTGGCTGGAGAGAATGTCACAGACGCCGTGCGTGTCGTCGTCGGCCTTCCGAAGCAATTTTTACTTGCGAACGACTTTGAGTTTGAAGTGATTATACCTAGAGGCAAAGACAGTCTGAAACAGGCTGCGAGGGTGTATGTCAAAGACCTTGTGATGCCCGTGTCGATTGGCATCAATCCCTCCGAACGCCTTGCAAAGGAGAAGGTGATCACAAACATCAGATTCTACGAGAAATCTGGTATGCACCAAGTGGACTGCCCTGCAACCATCAAACAGATATCAGAGGTACGCTATCTCTCCCGTCGCTTACTGAAGAGCAACAATACTGAATATCACCATGACAGGACATCAAAAATACTGCATAACTCACACTCGAAAATTTTGTTCTGCACATTGTCTGCAATTCATGTGTTGCATCTGATGTCATTGAAGCCGTGAAAGCGCGATCACAGAAGCCCAGTGCACTGTCTTTCGCTCACTCTTCTGGTGTTCAGATGACTCGGTACTGCGATGCGCTCCGAAGATGATAATTGTGAAGGCCCACGCGAGGTTGGTGAGAGCTGTTGCGTAATCTGGATGGCTGACCAGACACTGGTCCAGAACCAACTGAAAATGCTGCACAGCATGGTTCAGGTGAGAGACTCTCTTGCGTGTCGCGCATTTGGCAAGTCGTGCATGGCCCGCATCTGTGTCTCGAATAATCTTGCAGTCTACGAGGAACTGCAGGTGGCAAGCAGCGATAGTATGGGTCGTGTATTACTCGTGATCAAAATCATCATACAGAGAAGACGCGTGCCTGAAGTCGTAGTCCAAGTCCCACTTCACAAACGACGCTGAATAAGCCTCGCAATAAGACATTACACCGTACGGTCTGCAGGTGACACGTCCGACATAGATATCCAAACGAGATCAGAATCTTCCACGTGGGTATTGTTCATATGCCAGAGATGGAGGTGCATGCGTGTAGCGAGGATCGCAAGGATAAAGACCTCAAAACTGTAAATGTGTGTTTTGGGGGTTTTGTCAGTAGGAATTCGCAACAGAAGTTGGAGGTGCATACTCTTCAGGGATAAAGTAGGACAGGGACTGGGTGTGCACAACATCAATGGTTCGATCATGTCGAAGGCCTGTATTGTTTACGCACATCAGAAAGCGGCAGCAGTGGCACAAGGACGTTCACGGCCGAGAGAACTTGCGAAAAGTTAATCATCACCGATAAGCACGGAAACACATGTAAGTTTTGACTCACGCAGGCCGCATGCATAGTAGAATATGTTATGCTTCACTAGGATGGCATACAGAGGGCCCTGGGCCGACCGCCAACTCTGTATGACACACATGAGTGTGAGGGACACCAGTACTAGGGATAGTGTCAGTCAGCGCGTGTCTGAAATGTACACTCCCAGTTTCTAGCTGCATACCCAGTTGGAATACAAACATGAGAATAAACGGCACAAAGAATGAGAAACTGCCGGTGCCCCGGTGACAGCCTGGGATCGTGCTAGCCACAACTATGAAAGTGGAGTGAATACGTGCAAATAGCAGTGGGAGAAGGTGAGAGCACAAACGATAAGAGGTCACAACAGTAGTAAAACTATTAATGATGAAGCATGATACCATGATAGCCTGACTTATTTATCAATATTGAACTTGTGCATGGCGGGGGTCTGTGGCTCACAAAAAGGGCGGACAGCATGGCTACGAGGAGAATTCTATTTCTGTTCCAGAGCGCATACGTTCTAAGGACAAAAAACCCTGGATAAATTCAGACACACGTGAATGTCTAGGAGGAAGCAGAGATACATTCAGAGCAAGTGAGTGATATCAGATTCAAGCCTGTAAGAGGAAATAGCAGCGCTCGGTAAGAACGTGCATGCAATATACACCGGGCGGCGGGCACGTACATGCGATAATATCGATCAATATCCAGCATTTCTGGCGAAGTCATACAGTTATCTTCATTCGTCAGTGGATAGATGACCATGTTCACATACATTGGTATTCTCGTTCGGGGCCACGGCCACTGAAGCACAGTATGTCAATTCATTAAGTGGGGAAACATATACTGGGATGAACGCACGATATAGGTTCACGATGATGATTAAAAAGGGCACATATCGTGCAGTGATATAAAGGGCTTTTACTTTGGTCCAACGCGATCGAAGTAGGAATGTCCACTTGAACAGCACATTATTAAGATCAGAGCCTAGGCATGTCACGGAACATGTACACTACTTACCTCTTCGTGAAGTGAACAAAAATAGTCATAGATCTGGATAACAAGTTTAACGGCGGACGGAAATAGATTGGGATAAACATACCCAGAATGTCGCCATCGACGCTGAGCTATCGAGTTAGAACGAGAAAGACGCAGTTCAGACAGCACGCACTGTATGAGTACTAGTTGCCACACGGGATATATCTGTTATTATCTTGCTGTCCTGTCAAGAAAGTAACTCACCACGAAGATTTGCAGACTTCTGGCCGTTGTGAGATCGTCTGCCAAATACACCATCTGGATTCGTTCGAGAGGAAACAAATGGGTTTCGCGTACACATCCGTCCACCATCTTAAATCAGTTGGGAACCCATGAAGACCGGATACTGGAGACCATGTGCTGCCGAAGATATCGTGATGAATCGGTTCACTGGCTGATTTATAGTTGACGTTGTGACAGCCTGCACCAGGCTTAACCTCTTTGGATCGGCCTTGACCATTTCAGACAGACGCTTCTTCTGAGACTCTAAGTTAAGATGTCATTAATACGGGTGTGATTATACACGTAAAGCAGACCGGAAGAAACTAACCCGTTCCCGTCTGCATGAAACCAATTGATCTGGACTGATAGCAGTGATTAGTGATGTTCCGGCCCGGCTTCAAGCCCTGGGCCAGCCCAAGCCGGGCCTGATTGAGCCAGGCCTAGCCCTGGCCTAGGACACGGCCTGACCAGGGCTTTGGCAAAACTCGGTAGTTTTGCCGGCAGAACTCACGCGGAAGGGGGGTGGCAAGACTTGGTAGAACTCCAGGGTATCCAAGACTCGCGGAGATGTAATTTAGCTCTCTGATAACATGGTTTGAATCCAAGAGAACATGCAAAATGACGTCCCTGAAGTAAGATGGTGCATGCTGGAGGGCGCCCCCTCGCATCACTGATCAATGTCAATTTCAAGCGCCTGGAACGCGTTGACAACAGCTCGCATCGTTATTACTGTAAATGCAAACATTGCGGCGACACTGATAACTTATCAAGAACGCATCTCGGCACAACACAATCTGCACGGCGGTGTAATCTCTCAGTTGACACATTTGAAACACTCAGCAAAATTTGTGCAAATCTTCGATACCACAACACCATGAGAGCTACGGAGGCTGGGAAGTCAACCCGCCGTCGACATGCTCACATGGGCCATACTCGTGAAGAGATTGGCATTGCTGTCGAGACTGCACAGGATCTTGAAGCAGCCTTCGCATGGGCACCTCCGCTCTCGACTGAGCCTCGCGATGCAGACGTGACCTTCTTGTTGGTCCAGAGAGTATCTCGCCTGACGACATTGCCGCTGAATTTGCAGCTCTCAGAGTTGAAAAGGACAGAAGAAGTTCAGAAGTTGAAGTGCTCGTGGGAAATGCTTTTGATTTTGACAAGTTGGATCGGGTCAAACAAGGAATAATACCACAAACTATTCTAGATGAGATTGAGGTGGTTAATCACAATGGCGGCTGGGACGAGGCAGCGTTAATATTGATACATATAGTCTACATAACCTAGCTAAGCGCCTAGAGTTTTGTCAAGTTTTGTCACCCTGGCAAAACTAAAGCCAAGTAGTTTTGCCCCCCACACTATGTACTTAGCAGTGTAAAGTCTAGTAGTACTTGTTGCGCCGGACAATGATGAACAACTTTCCCACAGTCGAGCTCAAACTATCTATTTGTGTACTTTGAAATTCCTGTTTGCACCTCTGCATTTGGCGTCTCAGTATCAGCTTCTTATGTAAGTAGAGCCGTCACTGGTCAGTATATGACATTGCTTTTGGTGCTCTAATTGCATCGGGAATTTTAGGAAGCCTAGACGGTACAGTAGCCTAGTAGGTTTTATGGCCTGGACGTCTGAGCGTGCTTTCAAAATTTCAAATTCTTCTGATTTTGCTATTGCAGGTTCTTCTTCTTTGTAGAGGGCATGTTGAACATCGCGGTCGCAGCGTCTCCAATCTGGATTTCACCCGATTTTCCTTCAATGCCACGTCTGGCTTTTGTCTGATGAACAGATACTGGCCAAACAACGGATAGAGGAAGAAGTTGCGGCCATCGAGCGCAAAGGCAAGCCCGAAGAGAACTTCTCTGGTCCTGCCCAGGCTCTTATGGATTGGAGGGTATGATGGCTTGGCGTTGCTCTTCATTTGCTGGTTGCCTCGCTGTCATTCACCATTTTTTCCCGATGCTATCCACTACAATAGGTTACAACGCGACTACTGGCCTCTTGCTCTGCGCAACTCCATGGATTTTGAGAACTGCAACCTCATTTGTTGTGGCCAGGTCTGTATTTACTTCACAGGTCCAATAGGTGAATTAACATCGCTGAATTAAGGCACTCCGATGTAACTGGTTATCGCTTCTGGCATATTGTCGATCCTCTATTTGTTGGCATCGCCGGGTTTATGATCGCAATTTCTTCAATGAATACGGCTATGCGGTATCTATCCCTGTACGAACATTCCCTTCCTCGTTTTGTGATTCCACGGGCTTACGTGCTCCACGCAGATTCTTTATGGCTCGGAGCCCAGTCGCCTATGTCGTCTCTTTGACCTGGGTCATGAATACATTTCCCCAATCACAGTCTAGACGCACTGCAGCCATCACACTAATAAACGCTATATCACGTTTAGTCTTTGCGCGAACCTTGAAGCAGCACGAACTTCTTGCTTTCGTACTGCGATGTTCCATCCCTCTCAGTGACTTCATATCTCCGGACTGCGCCCATCACCTGCCACCTGCACGCTCACTCAGGCTTGTGCGCATCGCCATTGCAAAAATTCAGCGCGTGGGTTGCGGCTTACTTGGGCCCAAGCCCCAACTTTCGGCTCACGGCTTAGGCTTGAATTCTGGCGAGCCTAAGCCCCACCAGGCCGAGCCTAAGCCGGGGCTTTGAGCCCAAGCCGGGCCGGAACATCACTAGGCGGACGGGTGCATCGTATTTCAAACGCAAGAAAAACTCAGCCAAAGAGATGTAGACCACTATAGCAACTAGAGAATGAAGTTAAGCGATCTGAGCGAAAGGATTGAGAGACCCTTATCATACACAGATCTAGCCGGGCAGCAATTCCTCCTAGCATGATGTTCGCGCCCCATCTTGTATTGTGCGAACCAATATTGATCAAGTGTCACTTCGGAGTTGGACGAAGCCGTTTTTAGTGGGTGACAAAATGGAATGTTTCCTGGAGCATGAGTTCACCTGTAGGATGCGAGATGAGGCCTGAATGGCACCATCCAGCTTACCGCAAACATTAGTGCAGATTGTACGGGACGGCTGCGCGAACAGTTTGAAACAGGCTGCAAGGGTGTCTGTCAAAGACCTTGTGATGCCCGTGCTGATTGGCGTCAATTCCCCCGAACGCCCTGCAAAGCAGAAGGTGATCACCGACATCATATAATCTGGTATGCACCAAGTGAACTGCCCTGCAATCATCAAACAGATGTCAGAGGTACGCTATCTGTCTGCCGTCGCTTACTGAAGAGCGACAATACTGAATATCACCATGACAGGAAATCGAAAATATTGCATAACTCACTGGAAAAATTTGTTCTGCACATCGTCCGCAATTTATGTGTTGCATCTGATGCCATTGAAGCCGTGAAAGCACGATCACAGAAGCCCATTGCACTGTCTCTCGCTCACTCTTCTGGTGTTGAGATGACTCGGTTCTGCGATGCGTTCCGAAGATGATGATTGTGGTAAGGCCCACGCGAGGTTGGTGAGAGCTGTTGCGTGGTCTGGATGGCTGACCGGACACTGGTCCAGAACTAACTGAAAATGCTGCACAGCACGGTTCAGGTGAGACCCTCTTGCGTGTCGCACATTTGGCAAGTCGTGCATGGCCCGCATCTGTGTCTCGAATAATCTTGCAGTCTACGAGGGACTGCAGTTGGCAAGTAGCGAAATGGGTAGTGTATTACCCGTGATCAAAACCATCAAACGGAGAAGAAGTGTACCTGAAGTCGTAGTCCAAGTCCCATTTCACAAACAACGCCGAATAAGCCACGCGATAGACGTTACACCGTACAGTCTGCAGGTGACATGTCCGACATTAATATCCAAACGACGAGGCCAGAATCTTCCACGTGCTGATCCATATGCCAGAGATGGAGGTGCATGCGCGTAGCGAGGATCGCAAGGATAAATAGCTTAAATCTGTATATGTATCATGATGTTTTGGGGTTGTTGTCAGTAGGAATTCGCAACAGAAGTTGGAGATGCATACCCTTCTGGGAGGAAGTAGGATAGGGACTGGGTGTGCGCAACATCAATGCTTCCACCATGTAGAAGGGTATTGTTTACGCACATCAAAAACCGGCAGCAATGGCACAACGACGTTCACGACCGAGAGAACTGTCAAAAAGTTAATTATCACCAATAAGCACAGAAACATATGCAAGTTCTGACTCACGCAGACCACATGCATAGTAGAATATGTTATGCTTCACTAAGATGGCGTCGAGAGGGCCCTTGGCCGACCGCCAGCTCTGTATGACACGCACGAGCGTGAGGGATATTAGTGCTGGGTATAGCGTCAGTCAGCGTCTGTCTGTAATGTACACTCCCAATGTACGGCTGCATACCCAGTTGGAACACAAACAAGAGAGTAAACGGCATGAAGAATGCGAAACTGCCCGAGCTCCGCTGACAGCCTGGGATCGTGCTCACCGTAGCTGTAAAAGTGGAGTCAATGTGTGGAGTAGTAAGTGAAGGTGAGAGCACAAACAATAAGAGGTCACAGTAGCAGTAAAACCAATGATGAAGGATGATACGATGATAGCCTGACTGATTTATCAACATTGAACTTGGGTGTGGTGAGGGCGTGTAGCTCACAAAAAGGGTGGACAGCATCACCACGAGTAGAATTCTATTGTTGTTCCAGAGCGCATGCGTTCTAAGGACAAAAAAGCCTGGATGAATCAGATCAGAAACACGTGTATGTCTCAGAGGAAGGAGAGATACATTCAGAGCAACTGAGTAAAATCAGACTCAAGGCTGTAAGAGGAATAGCCGCGCTCGGTAAGAACGTGCATGTAATATGTACCAGGCACGTACATGTGATGATATCGATCGATATCTGGCATTTCTACCGAAGTCATACAATTAGCTTCATTTGTCGGTGAGTAAATGATCATGTTCACATACATTGGTATTCTCGTTCGGGGCCACGGCCACTGAAGCACAGTATGTCAATTCATTAAGTTGGGGGAACATAAACGCACGATATAGGTTCATGGTGATGATTAAAAAGGGCACATATCGTGCAGTGATATACAGGGCTTTTACTTTGGTCCAGCGCGACCGCAATAGGAATGTCCACTTGAACAGCACATTATTAAGACCAGAGCCGAGGCATATCGCGAAACAAGTACACTACTTACTTCTTCGTGAAGTGAACAAATATAGTCGTAGATCTGGATAACAAGTTTAACGGCGGACATAATAGATCGGAATAAACATACCCAGAATGTCGCCATCGACGCTGAGCTTTCGAGTTAGAACAAGGAAGATGCAGTTCAGACAGCACGCACCGTATAAGTACTAGTTGCCACCCATGACATATCTGTTATCATCTTGCTGTCGTGTCAAGAAAGCGACGCACCACGAAGAGCTGCAGACTTCTGGCCGCTGTGACATCTACCGCCGAATATTCCATCTAGATTCGTTCGCGAGAGGAAAAAAAATTGGGTTTCGCGTACACATTCGTTCACCTTCTTTAAATGAGCTAGGAACTTATCAAGACCGGATACTGGGGACGCTACTATGCCGGTGAGGATATCGTGATGGAGCATTTTCATTAGTCGACTTACAGTTGACGTGGTTACATGCACCAGCCTGGGTGCAACTTGATAACTTGAAAAGCTACTAATTAACATAGCATTAAGACCTTAGCTATTGGAAAGCTCACAGGTACCAAATTTGATCATCAAAGTTGATGCATGCTCATTGCGCTGATCCTTGAAACACGCAGCCACCTCGGAGGGACCTGCTTTTCCAGAACTTGAAGGAAAGCTTAATTAACCTCTGCAGATCACCCTTGGCCATTTCAAACACACGCGAATTCTTGTCGAGATGACTTTAATACAGGTGTGATGACGATATACTTAAAGCAGACTGGAGGAAGCTAACCGTTCTCGTCTACATTCGATCTGGATTGATATATGAATCTGTAAAGGGCTAGATGTGAACGATCAGTTCCTGGTCTTGATCCATCAGTACCTGGTCTGGTGCCTTGATTATCTGGCGAATGCTGTGTCGGTGAGATTGATCCTCTTCATATTTTGCTGCGGGTGTGTATCAGGTCGACTGGCCGAGAAGATCGGGAATAGAGAAGGCTCTGCTACAAGAGAGCATTGGAAAATGTAAATGTGGATCGTGTGAAGTGGCATTCCGAACGAATTGCGACTCACTGATCGGGGGGGGTCTCCTCGTCGATCTCCAATATCTACAGTGACTCAAAAAGGAAATGCACAGCATCGACATTTCTCCTATTCCTCCTCGCACTCGAGCAATAGACCATTTTGTGTCGTTTCACTTGTTGCAGTGTAGTGTACTAGGTCTATATTTTCAATACCATATGCTTTTATTGTGATACTTGGCTTTCTGAGAGAGCTGTCCAGATATTTGTGAAGAGAATGCTGTGCATTTCATTTTTAGGTTTAGTGTGACTTTACAGAAAATGTGTTTGTCGGCTCGCTGCCGCACAACGTCACACTTGCACCACTTGCGGACTCATTCTACACCCTTGCTGTCACTAGTCGTCCATGACAAAATACACAACTCCTACAAAGAAAGCTCAAATCTGCCGAGACAAAGCTGCTGGCATGTCTGATGGAGACCTCGCTGAAAAGTTTCAACTCCACCGCACTACAATTACCTGCATCGCGAAATGCTTTGCTAAAAGTGAAGCTTACTATGATATCAAGCCTAAATCAGGTCGTCGTCGCAAATTCATGACCAACGATGCTCGCTTCGCAGTCCAGGCACTGGCACGCACTCATGCACATGATGTTGCTGACCTGCAAAAGAAGTATTTCCCCGATATCAATGCTCAAACCATCCGAACGAGACTTCAGGCATGTGGCCTCAATGCCTACGTATGCCGTACAAAGCCTTTTTTGACAGAAGCTCACAAACAGAAGCGGTTAGCATGGGCGAAAGCTCATGCTGATTGGTCAGCAGAAGACTGGATGTCAGTTGTCTTCTCAGATGAGTCTAAATTCAATTTATTTGGCTCTGACGGCCGTTCATGGTGTTGGAGGAAGCCTGGGGAAGAGTTTGATGAGCGCTACACAAAGAAGGTTGTGAAGCATGGTGGTGGAAATGTCATGGTTTGGGGGTGTCTAACTGCAGAGGGATGGGGCCGCATTACCCGCATCGAGGGCAACATGGACGCCAAGTTATATGTTGAGATCCTCAATGATGACTTGCTGGGGACCTTCCGCAACCTGGACATCAACAAAAAGAACGTCTATTTTCAGCAAGACAATGATCCGAAGCATACTTCGAAATTGGCGGGAGAATGGTTCCGGAAGAAGAAGATTGATAAGCTGGATTGGCCTGCACAGAGCCCGGATATGAGCATCATCGAGAACATTTGGGACTATTTGGATTGTCGAGTGCGCGCTCAGACCCCTTTACCACGCAATCTCACGGAGCTATGGGCCGCTTTAGTGGAGGAATGGGGGTAACATCGAGACGGACTACATCAAGAACTTGTATGAAAGCATGCCACGTCGTGTTGAGGCTCTTCTCAATGCTAAAGGGGGTCATACCAAATATTAGAAAGGTTTGTTGCATTATCTTTTGATTTGATCTCTGTATGCTCAATGTTTTCGCAGTGCTGCAACTGTCAAAAATGAATTGCACAGAGGTTTTCACATCAATTGTTTTACTACATTTCAGATGATACATTACACTACACTTCCTTTACTGCACTAGTACATACAGACTTCTAGCTTTCTCGAGAGCCTACTATCGTGACGTGAACTGCGCAGGAGGAGGAGGGAGACAACAATTCATCAAATTAGTCATGCTGTGCATTTCCTTTTTGAGTCACTGTACAAACCATTTACTTGAAGAGTTGACTCTGTGATATCAAAATTGTTAGGGATACCTCATGCCGCACCTAACTATGAGTCGGACTCGGACGCACAGTACTGTAGTGTGGCAGTACTAAGTGTTGTGATGACAGGCGAGCGAATGGAGAGAGAGGGAGCTAGAACAGAAAGGTACGATCTCAGTTTCAACTTGAACTCTGTGTATATTAACGTGCAAAGTACCTAGAACAGAAAGGTACGCTATGCTTTGGTTAGCTAACGCTAACATACATGATTTTTTAGGTACTTACATCTCAGTTTCAACTTGAACTGGGATGTGTGCGTCTGACAGGCACTTAGTTTTATAGTAGGTAAGTAAGGAACAAGGAGGGAAAATTTCTGACATATGTATATTGCAGGGCGCAGGCCGACGTCATTCGGGCGCAGCCTATTGGCCACTTTGGCTCATGCGCTCGGACCTGTTTCTCCCGCTCGTACCTAGCCGGATCCTTCGGCTTCCTCACTCTCTCCCTCATCGGATCGCTCGGACTTCAACACTCCCCCTCGAGCGCATGCCAGTCCCATATGGGTACTGCAGCTTTTGGAGCCGGGGACGGGCCAATGCCTTGGTGAAGGCGTCAGCGACGTTGTCGTCCGTGGGACAATAGAGGAGCTCGAAGGTACCGTTCTTCACATGAGAACGAACGAAATGATACCTTAAGTCGATGTGTTTGGTGTGTGATTGGAACTTGCCGGTGGATGCTAATGCTATAGCGGCTTGATTATCACAGAATATGGGGGTGAGGAGGATCGGTGGCTCGTAAAGTTCGCCAAGGAGTAATTGAAGGTATAGTACCTCCCTCGCCACACTGGTTAAGGCGATATACTCAGCCTCTGCCGTCGATAGGGCTATTATGGGCTGTTTTCGCGTGCTCCAGGACACTGGGCCTCCATTGAGGAGTACTATGTACCCACTCATGGAGTGCCTGTGTGGCTGCGAAGCCCAATCTGCGTCGACGAACGCTTTGATCCCGGCATCCGTGGATCCCAAGGTGAGCTCGAAGTCGTCAGTGGCTTTTAGATAGCGAAGAGCTCGCTTACTAGCCTCCCAGTGTGCTTTCCTGGGGTTTCGCATGAACTGCGACAATGTCGCGACCGCGAAGGCGATATCTGGACGCGTGCTCGTGGCTGCATACATCAATGAGCCAATGGCTCACTGGTAAGGTACATCACGCATGGCTTGGAGCTCAGCGTGCGTGCCTGGACACTGATCTATGGATAGGGAGGTGGCCGGTTCCATGGGTGTTTGCACACTCTTTGCATCGCCCAATCAGAAACGCTCGATGATAGTGTCGACATAGGCCTTTTGAGAGAGGGTAATGGTACGTGCCACTCGATCTCTAGTTACCTTTAGCCCTAATAACCATGATAGCTCGCCCAGGTCGGATATCTCGTAGAATTCGCGCAGGTTCGACTTGAACTGGAGGATGTGGGATTTGTGGTTGGCGGTGACGGCCATGTCATCAACTGACACGGTGATGACGATGTGCTCCTGGGGGGTACGTTTGAAATAGACTGCCTGATCGACCTGGGACTGACTAAAACCCATCTTCTGAAAAGCTCCAGCCAGCTCCTCTGCCCATTCAAATCCTGCCTGCTTTAGGCCTGGTAAGCTTCGTCTTAGTTTTAGTACCTTGCCTCGCTGATCATCCTTTAGATATCCAGGAGGCGCTCTCATATAGATGTCCTCCTGGACGTCTGCATACAGGTAAGCACTTTTGACGTCTACCTGGTGGATCTCCCAGTCCTTCTGGGCCGCCATGCTTAATACGGCACGTATAGTGCTCATATTCGCCGTCGGAGCAAACATCTCGAAGAAATCGACGCCGTATTGCTGTCTCTGTCCATTCGCGACGAGATGGGCTCTCAGCTTCAGCTTTTCGCCATCCGGGCCTCGCTTAGTAGCTAGCACGAAGTGGCAGGGGATGACGTTTACGCCACGAGGTAAGTCGACGATGTCCCATGTTCCTAACTTCTCCAGCTGACTGATCTCATAGTCGAGCGCTTCTTGCCATTCTGGACCGTCCGGACCATTCAGAGCCTGCTTCAAAGTGGGCTCTGGCTCAGCTGCGGCTAACGCTAGGTGAATGTGAGCTTCCTTGTCTAGAAGGTCCAAGTCTGACGCATTTTGCAGGGATTCGATGCTTATAGCTGCCGTCTGGCCATTCTGGAGCTGGGCATAATAGCCTTTTGCTGGTCTGGCTCGGGTCTCACGAGGTTCTGGGGCGTCTGGAATGGGAGTGGGTTCTGGAGGAGTGGGAGTGGGATTTGGGGTAGCCGGGATGGGCTGGACGCTAGGTGCGTTGCTATTAGTCTTCCTCTCACCCATTGCTATTGACTCCCCCTCGTTCAGCACATCCTGGTCAACGAGGACATCCGGTGGCGCAAACGTCACGTTGCGCTCGACCGAGACACGTCTCTTCGCAGGCCAGTACACCCTATACGCCTTGCTATCGGTGTCGACACCGACGAAGACAGCCTCCTCCACGCGGGGTTCGAGTTTTCCAGCATTCGCCTGGTGGACATACACCCTGGAGCCAAATTCATGGGCCATGGAGAGGTTGGGCTTCGTCCGATGGACAAGCTCATGAGGAGTAGCACCAGGTATCGCGGTTGACGGTAGGCGGTTCTTTAACCATGTAGCATAATTGATTGCTTCAGCCCACAGGAACTTGGGGAGATCGCGGCCGATGAGCATAGCTCTAGCGAGCTCGACCAGCATTCTATTGAGACGCTCGGCGACCCCATTTTGCTGGGGTGAATCATGGACTGTAAGTTGTCTCTCGATTCCCTGGTCCAACAGATACTTATCGAATTCCGCGCTCAAGTATTCCCCTCCATGGTCTGACCGAACCTTCCGGAGTCTGACTCCCGGATTCTGACAGCTAAGGTGCGCCTCATACCTCTTAAACGCCTCCAATGCCTCACCTTTTGTTTTCAGGAACTCGACCTTCGTTTCACGGGTGTAATCATCCGTGAAACTGATATAGTAGGTCGTCCCTCCTAGGCTAGTAGTCTGCGCTGGGCCCCACAAGTCCGTATGGACAAGTTCCGCGTAGGTGAGTGCTCGAGTTGTCGACTCTTGTGGAAAGGGTTGACGGATCGCTTTCGCTTTGGCACAGGCTTCGCAGAATTTGGTAGGGGAGGTGAGGTCGACATCCAGGCCCTCGACAAGCTGATCCTTCGCGAGTTGCAGGACCGCCCTCTGGGACACATGACCAAGGGCACGGTGCACCTCTGCCAAGGTAAGCTTCGTCCTGGCGACATGGGCATGATGCTCTTTCTGATTGACCACGCTATATAGGCCTTCCAGTTGCGGGATCTCGGCTATAACTTCGCGTTTGGGTCCCTTGGACAAGATTTGACACATCTTGCCTTCAAATAGGACCGCTAATCCAGCAGAGGCGATGCAGTTGGTAGAAATGAGGGTGAATGCCATGGAGGGGGCATATAGTGCGTCCTTCAGGGTCACACTGGTCTTGCTCTTCCCCAATGGTAAGTCTAGTTTGACGTCTCCTCTTCCAGTAGCGCTGAGAACCGATCCGTTCGCAGTGTATACGGCCTGGGGGGTGATAGGGATGAAGTTCATGAACTTCGACCTGTCAGGACAGAAGTGGGAGGTTGCGCTGGAGTCTACAATGGCTCCATGGCGTTCTGGAGGGATATTCATCCTCTGGGCGATGTTCGCAAGGTCAGTCGTCGCGAAGGCATAATTATCTTGGCCCTCTGACTCCTTTGCAGCGTTTGCACTCTGCTTTGGGTACGTCCTCCCTTCTTCCCTCTCTGGTTTGGTCCCTGACCTTCTTTTCCTCCCCCTGGCCTCCAACAATCGCTTTTGTAGTGGCCCTTACAGTCGCAATTGTAGCATACTGCATCCGGATTGGATTGGGGTGAGGAGGAGGACGAGGATTTCGCCCTTCCGTTAGGAGCTCTCGCCGATAAGGCCGAGTTGGTGCCCTTCTTGGCAGGCCGCTGACTGGTGAGTTGCCGGTGCTCGTATTCCTCTGACACGATATTGATTAACTCATAGGGGCTTATGGGTGAACCAGTAATCTTCACAGCCGCGTTGATGGACGAGAGTAGGGGACGGTAGGATTCGGGGAGAGACGCCAGTATCATGGCATAGAAGTCTTTCTCCTCGATGGCAGCACCCATGCCGGCCAGGGACTCACGGTGTCATATCCCGTATTCTGGACCTACGTCCGATGATGTTCCCACGCCTTCCGGACGCCTTCCGGATGCACATCCGGACCTCCATACCCTTATCCATGCCTGCAGTCCTCCAGTCCACTATCGGTTCGGATCCGTACACCTTCGTACATCCATATATCCATACCTTCGGACCTCCGCAGCTAAGCCTGCTTCATCCACCCTTGATCCCATCGGATCCGAGCTCATCCTACCTGAGACTTTACCTTCCCTAGACTACCGGATGATATCCATGATCTATATCCTAGTCTCGTCTTCACCTAGATCTCCGGATCCGCTCATCCGATATCCAGACGCCTCATCCGATATCTCTAGACCTCCGGATCCGACCTATACTCATATCCGAAGCTCAAACCTTAAATCAGCGTCTATCTCCTTATGGTAATCCTCTTGACTCCGGACTTCGGTTATCTGTGTTTCCGTCTTGCTTATTGATCCTTGTACTTTGTTCATCTCCGAGTTCATTTGTTTATGTTCCATTCATACTTACCAATATGTTTCCACATGCTCGTACATAGCATTTGTCTTCAGCTTACTGATCCTCTCGGATCCCGTCCAGTATATAAACCTCTGTACAACTCCTGTAAAGTTTCCTCAGTTCGAATATCATCTTAGATCCTGCTCAACATAGACTTGCTCTCTCGCATCCTAGACTTCACTCATTCTGATCTCGGACTTCGGTCCATCTTAGTATTGCCTTTCCTTAGGCCTAGGGAAGGATTCCCTAGGCCAACCTTCCGGTCCTCCGGATTTATCCTTCCGTCTATATCCAGGCTTAGGGATTGACTCCCTAAGCCGAAGCTTTGCCTTTCCGGCACTTCCTGTCTTTCCGAGACTTCTGTCTAAACCCCGTCTATCCGACTCTACCATAGTGTAGTCTACCTCCGTCTGTTTCTACTCCGGACCTTGTCCGTTGTAGCCCTTCTTCTCTTGTCCTAGAATCCTGTCCGCTCCTCCGGTCCTCCGGACGTCGTAACCTTCGGACGTCTTAAACCTTCGGACCTCCGGACGTCCTGTCCTTCGGACCACTCCTCCTACCCTATCCTGTTTTGGACTCTGTCCCTTGCAGCCTATCTTCTATGTGTTTCCATCTAGGGAGCTTACCTTCGGATCTAATGCAGCGGGTGAAACTCTTCCAGAGTTTCCTATACTCATCCGAAAGTTTCCCGCGCTCATCCGGAAGTCCTCCAGCACTCAACCAGAGTAGCCAGCCTCCGGAAGTCCTTCGGACTTCGTCGGATTCCATCTGGACTTCATTCTGAAATTAAGGGCACGTACTCGGGTAAGGGGCACAGCGCATGAGCTGAGGCCAAGCCCTTCGGATCCGTCTACCCTTGAGCTACGGTCTTAACACATGGAGCTGAAGCATCTCGCTAAAGTGAGTCTTGACATCACCATTTTCCTCACACCTCGTCTCCTGAAGTCTTCGCCTCAGATCAATCTGGACGAGCTCGGTTTTTCCTTCGTGGATGTCGCAGATCTCGGCCCAGACATTTGATCCGGACCCGAGCTTCTGGACGCGCAACAACAGCCTATCCGTTATGGTGCTGAAGATTTGTTGCTTCACTAGTGAGTCCTTTTGATAGTACTCATCCATTTTCTTTTCAAATGCCTCGATCTCTGCGTCCGTCACTTCGGTGCCATCATCCTCTTGAGGCAAGGAGATAGGGGCAGGTCGTACTGCGCAACCAGTGATATAGTGCATCAGACCTCTCGCACCGATTGCCGTTAACGTTCTCTCCTTGTAGGTAATCCAGTTGCTGCCATCCTCGGCTAGCTTTGGGACGTTGAATAGGGCAGAGCTGGTGGAGGGGAGCGTGATATCCATGGCTGTGTCAGGGCTCATAACCTGTCGTGATGACAGGCGAGCGAACGGAGAGAGAGGGAGCTAGAACAGAAAGGTACGATCTCAGTTTCAACTTGAACTCTGTGTATATTAACATGCAAAGTACCTAGAACAGAAAGGTACGCTATGCTTTGGTTAGCTAACGCTAACATACATGATTTTTTAGGTACTTACATCTCAGTTTCAACTTGAACTGAGATGTGTGCGTCTGACAGGCACTTAGTTTTATAGTAGGTAAGTAAGGAACAAGGAGGGAAAATTTCTGACATATGTATATTGCAGGGCGCAGGCCGACGTCATTCGGGCGCAGCCTATTGGCCACTTTGGCTCATGCGCTCGGACCTGTTTCTCCCGCTCGTACCTAGCCGGATCCTTCGGCTTCCTCACTCTCTCCCTCATCGGATCGCTCGGACTTCAACACTAAGTCACCAAAGACACTAGTGGTGACCGAATTGAAGGACCAGTCCCTATACTTCCCACGGCTACAACACCAAGGACCCATCAATTCACTGATTACCTCCCGGTGCACTTAGTGGTCCAAAGCAACGTACATACGGCAAAGCTGCATGCCTTAGCGGACAATCTCAATACTTTCCTAGACGTTTATGATTACAATGAAATACTACATTTCAAAGACGTTGGTCTGCATTTTCCACTCCTGGTATGTTTTGAAAATGCTGCACGGCATGGTTCAGGTAAGAGACCCTCTTGTGTGTCACGCATTTGGCAAGTCGTGCATGGCCCGCATCTGTGTCTCGAACAATCTTGCAGTCTACGAGGGACTGCAGTTGGCAAGCAGCGGAATGAGCAGTGTATTACTCGTGATCAAAATCATCAAACGGAGAAGAAGTGTGCCTGAAATCGTAGTCCAAATCCCACTTCACAAACGACGCCGAATAAGCCACGCAATAAGACGTTACACCGTAAGGTCTGCAGGTGAAATGTCCAACATAGATATCCAAACGACGAGGTCAGAATCTTCCACGTGCTGATCCATATGCCAGAGATGGAGGTGCATGCGCGTGGCGAGGATCGCAAGGATAAAGACCTCGAAACTGCAGATGTGTGTTTGGGGGTTTTGTCAGTAGGAATTCGCTACAGAAGTTGGAGGTGCATACTCTTCGGGGACAAAGTAGGACAGGGACTGGGTGCGCACAACATCAATGGTTCGATCATGCCGAAGGCCTGTATTGTTTACGCACATCAGAAAGCGGCAGCAGTGGCACAATGACGTTCACAGCCGACAGAACTTTCGAAAAGTTAGTCATCACCGATAAGCACAGAAACATGTGTAAGTTCTGACTTACGCAGACCACATACATAGTAGAATATGTTATGCTTCATTAGGATGGCGTACAGAGGGCCCTTGGCCGACCGCCAACTCTGTATGACACACACGAGTGTGAGGGACACCAGTACTGGGGATAGCATCAGTCAGCGCGTGTCTGCAATGTTAACTCCTAGTTTCTGGCTGCATACCCAGTTGGAATACAAACATAAGAATAAACGGTATGAAGAATGAGAAACTGCCCGAGCTCCGGTGACAGCCTAAGATCGTACTAGCCATAACTGTGAAAGTGGAGTAAATACGTGCAAATAGTAGTGGGAGAAGGTGAGAGCACAAACAATAAGAGGATACAATAGCAGTAAAACCATTAATGATGAAGCATGATATGATGATAGCCTGACTGATTTGTCAGCATTGAACTTGGGTGCGGTGAGGGCGCGAGGTTCACAAAAAGGGTGGACAGCATGACTACGAGTAGAATTCTATTTTTGTTCCAGAGTGCATACGTTCTGAGGACAAAAAAGCCTGGATGAATCAGATTAGAAACACGTGAGTGTCTTGGAGGAAGTAGAGATACATTCAGAGCAAGTGAATGAAATCAGACTCAAGGCTGTAAGAGGAAATAGCAGCGCTTGGTAAGAACGCGCATGAAATATCCACCGGGCGGCAGGCACATACATACGATAATATCGATCAACATCCGGCATTTCTGACGAAGTCATACAGTTATCTTCATTCGTCAGTGGATAGATGACCATGTCCACATACATTGTTATTCTCGTTCGGGGCCACGGCCACTGAAGCACCTAGTATGCCAATTCATTGAGCTCGGGAAACATAGACTGGAATGAACGCACGATATAGGTTCACGGTGATGATTAAAAAGGGGACATATCGTGCAGTGATATAAAGGGCTTTTACTGTCGTCCAGCGCGACCGAAGTAGGAATGTCCACTTGAACAGCACATTAGTAAGATGAGAGCCTAGGCATATCACGGAACATGTACACTACTTACCTCTTCGTGAAGTGAACAAATATAGTCATAGATCTGGATAACAAGTTTAACGGCAGACGGAAATAGATCGGGATAAACATACCCAGAATGTCGCCATCGACGCTGAGCTGTCGAGTTAGAACGAGGAAGATACAGTTCAGACAGCACGCACTGTATGAGAACTAGTTGTCACACGAGATATATCTGTTATTATCTTGCTGTCGTATCAAGAAAGTAACGCACCACGAATATCTGCAGACTTCTGGCCGCTGTGACATCGTCTACTGAATATTCCATCTGGATTCGTTCGAGAGGAAATAATTGGGTTCTGCATACACATCCGTTCACCTTTTTAAATGAGCTGGGAACCCATGAAGACCGGGTACTGGGGACGCTAAGCTGCTGAGGATATCGTGCTGGATCGTTTCACTGGGTGATTCATAGCTGACATGGTCACAGCCTGCATCAGGTTGAGCGCAACTTAATAAAAGTTGCAGCTGGTGCCAGGAATGTTCTGTATTTTCATTGGCAACATATCAATAAGGCCTCTATTCAGGTGTAACACGCACCCAATAATACACATGATCAGTTTTAATTTGATCGCCGAAGTTGATCCGGAAACTCACATGCGCTCATTCTACTGATCCTTGATCCGCTGATGTTTGAGACACCATCAGTCCTTGAAACACGCGACCACCTCGAAGACCTACGTTTCGAGAACTTGAAGGAAGGCTTAACCTCTTTGGATCAGCGTTGGCCGTTTCAGACAGACGCTTCTTCCAAGACTCTAAGTTAAGATGACATTAACACGCGTGTGATGATACAAGTAAAGCAGACCGGAAGAAACTAACCCGTTCTTGTCTACATGAAACTGTAAAAGGGTGGATGTGACTGGCCAGTAACTGGTCTGATGCCTTCATTATAGCTGGCGAATGCGGCTGCGTCGGTGAGAGCATGTTGATTGATCTTCTTCATATTCCGCTGCAGGTGTGTATCAGGTCAACTGGCCAGTGAGATCAGGAATGGAGGAGGCTCTGCTACAAGAGATTTACTTGAAGAGTCGACTCTGTGATATCAAAATTGTTAGGGATGCCTTATGCCGCACCTAACTATGAGCCGGACTCGGACGCACCGTGTAATGTGGCAGTACTAAGCCATCAAAGGACTCATCAATTCACTGATTACCTCCCGGTGCACTTAGTGGTCCAAAGCAACGTACATACGGCAAAGCTGCATGCCTTAGCGGACGATCTCAATACTTTCCTAGACGTTCATGACTACAATGAAATACTACATTTCAAAGACGTTAGCCTGCATTTTCCACCCCTGGTATGTTAAGTGAGATAGTGAACTTTGTAGGTCAGACAGACAGAAATACACTTACAGACTTGACCATGCGTTGGGTGAACACCACCATAGTCTCCTCGTCGAGCGTGATATCCCAAACGGGAGTATTGAAAGTTCTGTCATAGGCCACCTCCACAAGTGGGAGGTATGTCGTTACCTGCGTGTCCGGCCAGAGAGGGACTGTTGTGGATATCGTAGGTTCGCGGATTACCTTGCCGATGCCACGCGCCACGGCCGAGGGATTGAAATCGGCCATGTGTAATCGGAGCAATGAATCAGTTCGACCAGCGACGGGACTCGCCCATATAACACGAGATCCTCCCACTCCAAAAAAGAATTCTGAGCAGAGCGTTTCTTTAGGGAGGAGACGACAGTTTTGTGGACCCCAGGATGACCAAGTGACTAAGCGCCCATCTTGTGACGTCGGATCAAACCATGTCGAAGGAATGTCCATGAAAAATATACGAGCAGATATGATACAAATCAATGAAAAAAAACCGATGTCACCGATATGACTCGGTCTGCAGGGTTTGTTGTCCAAATCCAGTGGTCGACTGGTACCGCGAGGCCCGCACAGCTTGCGGCACTGTGAAAATTCGACGGGTGATCGAAAACGCTCACGCTGCCATAGTTGGGCAGCGTAAATCTTGCATGAAGCCGCGGCGCCTTTGATGGGTCCTCGGTGTCATAGAGGTATATATAACCATCTGACGAGAAAGCTATAAGCTTCTCCTTGACAAGAAAACGGATGTCCGACAACTGATTACCGTCACTGATCGCACATAAGTCCTGTTAAATGCTCAAATCAAATAGACAGCGAAAGACACAAGGAAACACCACCCACGTCAGCTTGACTAGGTCGTTGCCAACTCAAGACGTGCAGCGACCAACACTGGCTCCGATTGTTGTCGGTTCCACCAATATAGACTGCGAGGCGATCATCAAGGACAGCAACAGCGATTTTGATGCGCAGAGCTTCGCTGCAAGCGGCTCGACCACTCGCTACATGAGATCCATGGGACAAAGGATGTTCCTCCCCCGTTAATATGATACGGGAGGATATTTGGTACTTGAAGCCTTCGGAATCGACATCGATCGGAAATGTAATGATGATCTCGACGTCTTGCAGTTCATCCGTGTACCTGTACGTGTGAGGAACCTGACTGGGGATCATGAAGACTGTAGCAGCATACGTGCTGTTGGTCTTGATATCCACAGCGTGGGACACAGGATCCACATGCGCAGACGGCATACAGGAGATAATATTTCGATGAACAACCGAGTTGAAGTTGCACAAGGTCGTAATAAGACGAGATGTATCCGTAGCAATGGGCTTTAAAGTGTTCCACGCGTTTGCCTTTTTTCTGAGGATACCCAAGTACTCCGCTAGAGAGGTGGTAGGCGACCGCGGATGTACTTCAATTAACCGTTGAGCACCAAGTTCGATGATGTACTGTAGCTCAACAGAGCATTTGACTGTGTTGTACAGTGTCAGGCAGGTCTGTAAAAGGCATATTAGCACATCAGTTCAAAGGGTGGGAATGAATCGATAACTCACCAAAGCGCACCGTACAATTTCGTTATATGAAAGAAATTCGAGGATATGGCATCAGACTTCATCGGGCAGCCCTTCAAGGGTAGCGGTTCCAATCCGAGAGGGTATTTGTCCACGACAAACGTTGAGAATATTCTTGATGAAGTTATGGAGCATAGTAAAACGATAAATTGATGAGATGTGGCTTGTGGTCAGTGTTCGAGTGACGGTAGTTGTGCAAATAGTTGAGAGGAATAGAGAAAAACATGACTGTCAGGAGTATGTGCGGACGACGTGGATGAGCGGAAGTTTCAAAAGTTTCAAGTTCGGAGATGATGTCATCATTTCTTCGGGGCACAGCCACATACAATCAGGAATTCGACGATACTTGAACGTTTTAAATCTCAGTTCGAGTGAGACAACGGGTATAGACTGGTATAGGGCCTCAACACATCATACAAGCGGTGCGAAAATAGGCATGGCTATAACATAACATATTTGAGTAAATGTCCGAGAAGTGCCGACAAGGTAAATGATGAGCAGACTCGATATATGGATGTAGACATAAGTTAACATCTAAGTTGCGGCTTCTTCTTCGTCGGCTTCTTCTGATAAAACTTGAGACTCGGAAGTTGGGCCAGCCTTGTTCAGCCAGATACCCGGGTGAAAGAAATTTTGAGTGTAGATAGCGAGAGTGACCATGCCACCATCGAGCCAATCTATCGATAATAGACCATTATAAATGTATTCCTTGCGAAAATAGGGGACGACGTACCGAAATAGCGCTGAGTCGTGATTACTGGCCCGAACCACCCACCAGCGAGCTCCACAGTACGGTAAATGGAACTAAGGATGAATTAAGCACATCAATGACTGCTGATAAGAAGATGTGTTGGGCACTGACCGAATGAAGATACAGAGGGTGCAGAATGCCGTGGCATAAATCATAATTCGCAAGCTCTTACTCACAGCACGTTGACCTTTCTCGAATACGTGGGGCTGCTCAACGTGGCGGACGGGTGCATCATATTTCACACGCAAGAAAAACTCGGACGCCAAAGTGACATAGACCACTATAGCGACTAGAGAGCAAAAGTAAGGAATGTGAGGGAGAGAATTGAAAGACCCTTGTCACGCACAGAGCTGGGCCACAATTCCTCCTAGCATGATGTTTGCGCCCTATCTCTATGAAGTGAATGTTACAGGAAATGATGGATGGTATACATACCATCGCAGCACTTGTCTCCTGGCTAACGGCGCGCGCAGCGGTTGCGCCTCCAAGAGCTTGTACGATCAAGCAGATAACATCCTAAGAGTTGGAAGATATGACGGATGAATACCAGTTGAATGCATGATACTAACAAAGGAACAAAAAATGATGGTATCTGCACTGATGAGTAACTGAACGCTAGCAGCATCAGAGCGACACTAACATATTTTGGGGGTCAGACGGCTAAACTGGGGACCAACTTGACCGATTATCTTGCCAAGGATGATAAAGTTGGCTGCAACGAGGGGAGTAGGTGCTACGACAGTGCCCACAAGCCTGGAGTGAAAATGCTTGAGTGAACATGCGAAAGATTACTTCTGCATGAACACTCACTGCATCTCATAAGGGGTTATAAGTTTTGGACTTTTGCTCGACCATAGCCTAGCACTCCATCCGAGTATTTCCAGGATACCCGCCAAGGTCGCTGTTGGAAGCATCCACCAGAGTCTAAACTTGAATGCCTGGCCTAAGTGGAGGACTGGAGATGTCAAGTCATGATCGTGCACTGTGGATAGTAAAACTTCATACTAGTGGAAATGCCGTACAACACGATGAACTAAGGGAACGATTTGAAAAAGATGAGACGTGTATACAACATAACTCACAAGGATACAGATCCATTCCGTAGGCACATAGTTGTACGGGCCAACAGAATGGCCAGGTGCTGTTGACCTCACTTGTTGAAAGACGTGACGAAAAAAAAAATTGTGGCACTCACGAGTTTGGTTAGCAAGTACAGAGCCGAGAGTCATTTTGACAGAAGAAATGGCCTGAAGGAGTGAGGGGGGTGTTACCAGTGGACGTGGAACATATGCACGCAAAGCAAGCATTTCTACTAAGTAGAGTTGTGCCGCCGCTGCCTGGGGTTCCGGCAGGTCTCGGTGATGAAAAGGCTGTGACCGAGGTATGCTTCGGATAAGCTAGAACATATCATTTGAGTTACTCTAAATATCACGTTTCCCTGCGCAGTTTGATCATCCAGTGGCGGAGCTGACGTGCCCATTAGCCAATAATGCTCCTTGTTGGGTCGAACCTGAGGAACCCGCGGCAATATTTAGATTATACTAGTAGCCTAGCCTAGTTGCCACCTTAACCCTGAAACATCCTTACCTGTTACTATCTTAGAGGTACGCTATGTCAAGGGATCCGAAGTCCGGACATCGACACTGACATGTTGATTTTTTGATGGTACTGCAGGTACTGGGCAGCACTATGAGCGCAAAGATCATGATAGTACGCCTCGATCACACCGTCGTCATAGCTAAATTTGAAAAACATTCACAAGTGATAACAAGTCACTTGAACAAATCTATTTTGAGGTAGTTCTGCCGGCAGAACGTTGACTGGCACCTGGCAGATGACAGAAATGCGGTTTTTTTTCATGACACTAGAAGTGGCTTGGACATGTATGTGAGACCGCTATTGCATCATAATTGGTGAGCCTGTACATATGGTCGAAGAACGGATATTACTTGTGGTTGCTGTGCAAAGGGAAAGTTCAGGCAAACAGAGGTCTAGTCTCATGCCCGGGCTCCACTGCCAATCACCGAGGGACCAGGTGGCATGGGCGTAGCAGTGTCATGAAACATTCATATCATCATATCGACGACTCGGATTAATCCACCCAATTAATTATAAGTACCTTGAGATCATCAACTGGCCAGAAATAAACTGGAAGTCAATTAATATTTTAATATCAAAAACTCACCTCGGCAGTAATACGGCTTCTGCCTCAGCGTTAGTATGTACGCGCTCCGAGATCAGCTTGAAATTGTATGTTTACCGAGCGTGGCTGGCTCTGAGGGATGCTGCTTCGTCGTTTTGGGAGCTCAGAGTGATCAATGGCATAATTTCAGTGATGGATGGCTGTCCAAGTCAACAAGTACAAATATTAAAGTCTAAGGGTAGAATGCCAAGTCATAGATTGTATCCAGCTCAGCCAGATGGAATCAGGCCGCAACAAATGATATGTAAGTAGGTATGCAGGTATCACCCGATCGTAAGTATGCAAAACACTACGCACGACGTATCGATAGATATACGAATAGATATGATTTGAAATTGAGTCCGTCTCCGTTGGTATCAACGGGTATTACAGCAGTCGGTTCTGGTCTAATGCTTCTAGCGCTGCATGCGTCCTCATATGAAGTGCGTTCTGTAATGAGAAGAGCGTAAAAGTTAGTTAGTAGTCTCGTTGGTTCGTTCTTATTTAAGACGTGTTTCGTACCTCTAGACTATATTTACCCTGAAATGGAGAGCATCCGTCAGCGATGTGATAAAACGACGAAATGTATGCGCGGGTGTTAACGTACCTTTCGTCCTGCAGCATTCACCTCAAGCGGCTTTCCCGACATAACAAGATCAAACTGCGTCCTCGCACCATCCTTGTTACCTGATCGCGCTAGTAGCCTCCCGTACTCAAAATCTAAGAAAAAAGAGTTGGGAAAATTCTCAACGAATGACAGAACAAAGCCGACTCACGTGCATAATACACGATATAATGGTCCAACTCGATGTTAGGTCCGTGCTCAAAGACTGCACGGAACGCGCGCTCCGAGTATGAGCGCGCGTCCTCTGATGAGAAAGGGATCTTTTCATCAGGTTCGAGTTCAGCATCCGGGTCCTGAATCAACAGGGACGTGTGTCAGCGAGGATAGATCAACGACTTAAAGCGAGAAAGAGGGGAGAGCCTAAAGACGCCAAGGGCACAAAATCCAAACGGAAAAGCCACCACAAAAAAGGCATACACACCGGATATGCAACAAATCGCCAACACACGCCCTCCAAGAAACAGCGCAAGACAGACATCATCCCAATACCCACTCCGCGACTCCAGCTTCTTGCCCTTGCCTTTCTTGGCCCCATTCTCCTTGGCACCGCCCCCACTCCCTCCAGACTCAGACGATGCCAAACCCTCACTCTCAGAGGAAAGCACCAAACCCAGCTCGCCCAAAGCGCCTCCAAGAGCAGGAATCATCTCCTTCACAATAACTTCCCTGGGAGCATGCGCGATCGCGTGGAATACATAGGCGAGCTCTAGGGCCGGGAGGAGAAGTCTGTCGGATTGAGCGAGATATTTACGGGCTTTGCGAGCGACGAATTTCTGTGTGTTTGGTTAGCGTTGAGTTGTTTTTTGGTGGGATGGGGATGGGTTTAGGGGAGGGTAGCGAGATGAAAGGGAGGAAGAAACGTCCAAGAAAGTAAAAACGTACCTCGACAGGAATGCTCTTCCCTGCAATTTTCTGCCTCAACCCCTGGACACGCTCCATGAGCTTCTTCGCTTCTGTGTGCTCGCCGAGCGTGGCTAAACATGCCGCTTCACCGTATGTATATGTTGCTTTGGACCACTAAGTCCACAGAGGCGATAATATCGAGGGATAGTCGTAAGCAAACGGACACGGACACGAAAGGGGAAAAGAGAAACCTACCGTAGCCTCGCCTCCGAGTTTTCCCCACCACGATCTACTTTCCGCGACTCTGCGGAAACCAATATCAGTATCGCACATATACCCATCACCCGTCCTGCATCACCCTCTACCAAAACCCCACACCACACCAAAATGCACACTAAAACACAAAAAATACACACCTCCAAAGCCCTAAACAAGCAACCGCACTCTCCCACCACGAAATATGGTGTAAGTTCTTATACTGTGTTTGAGCTTGTGCAGCGCGTGCGTAGTAGACGAGGGCTTTTGAGGGCTGGGAACGGACGAGGGCGAGGCGACCTGCGCCGAATAGGAAGAAGACGCCTATTTGGTGTCGGTGGGGGGTTGAAGGGAGGTTAGAGTACGGGCAGGGCAGGGCATGGGGGGAGAGAAAAAACACCACCGCCAATTAAAACACACATCCCTAACAACGCAAATGGCCCACACACGCACCATTCGGATACCTCTTCAAATTCCACTCCAACACCCTCGCAGCCTTGCGCACATCGACGCCTTCGAACGTAAACGCCGAGAGGACGAGGTGGAAGATGAGTAGCGACATATCGCAGATTGCACGTCGGACGCCTTCTGCTTCTGTAAGCGAGCATATCAGCACTTCTTGGGCCTAACCCGCGAGACCAAAACACGATCATGGACGAGAGTCACTCACCCTTCTCGACCACTCTCCCGTTTGCACCCCATCCCCCAGCCCTCTCCAGCAACTCCAATCCGAACTTCCTATCGCCCTTATACCCAAACAACTCCACCAGCGCGAGGAGTTTCCCGGGCATCATACTGAGCACAAGATGGGACATACCAAGACCTAAGTATACGCCAGAGCGGAAATGAGGATCTATGGTTGGGGAGGGGAGGTACGGGTGTGTAGGGGATGACGTTGCGTTGGATGGTGGGGAGGTGAGGTCCCGTGTAGATGTTTGTTCGGGGGAAGGGAGAGGTGAATGTGCGACAGAGGATGAGTTAGCGCTTGCAAAGCTCGTGGTGCTAGATTCTGGTGGCGTTTCTTCGATATCCGTTCCCGTTTCCGGTGTGGGATTTGGCATTGAAATGGCAGCTAGTAGTTCGGGGTGGGCAATAGCGTATGCTGCGTCGACCGTCTCGATCCATTTACCAAGTTGACGGTATATGGAGATAGTTGTGCGCATGTTGAGCCTGGGCATTCACGGTACTTAGATTATTAGCTGACGAAAGAGAGATGAAGAACAGGAGCACATACACTTCCCGGATAAACTGCTAACCAATCGCCTGAATAGACTATCCCGAGAAGACTCTGATGCGGCATCAGCTAGCCCCCCAAAACACGCAGACCGCCCAAAACACACGGTCCTTGTCAGTCGACACACCTTTTGATAGAGACTCTCTGCATAGACAAGTTCAGCATGACGCTCCACGGGCGTCATACCTGCAATCCATTCTGTACCGCTCGTGCTGAGTGAGGGAACGATGTACCCTGCAAGACGACCTGCGAAGCTGCTGGGGCGTTTGCGATGTGCAGAAGCGACAGCGATGCCGTGCTTGGTGTCGTTGATAGCGGCCAGAGATCCTGAAGGGATCAAATTAAAATTAGCGTTTAAGTAATAGCAGTAGCAGGACACACGAACCTTATCCTCAAAAGACATGAGACCCTTCACACATTGAATAAGGCCAAGTCCAGTCGCAAAGTACAATCTTTGTCTGCAGTGACTCGATCTCAGTTTCTGTTGTGGGAACGATGAAGACAGAAGTACGTACTTTTCTGGATCGCTTTGCTCGCAGAATCGTTCGCTTTCGTGCATGCGAGATTGAAGAAACTCATGGAGGGCCCAGTGAAGACCTGAGATGTCGTCGAGGGCGTTTGCAGGGTCGTAGGGATTATTTACGGGTGGGGGTGAGTTGGACATAGTGGTGTGAGTGAAGAAAGGCTGCTGTGTACGGGCGTCTAGGGTATTCCAAGGGATGTCCTGTTTTCGGATATGAACGCGTGAGCAACTACAACCAGCGACGACAACGAGCACGACAACGAGCTTCAGTAGAAGAGAAGACACGGATCCTTCATGTGTCTATCAAGCTTGGTGACTCTAACACCGTCGTGGCTGCTACGTAGCATAGCCTTGGGTTCAGTCCTTGTGAGCACAAGTACAAATCGGGCATTCCGAATTTCCGAGCCTGACGTACGCGGCGTACGCCTCAGCTCTAGCCTCTGGCCGGCCTCAATTGGTCCTTGTTCGTTTGCTCAATACTACTGCATGGCACGTCCGAGTCCGACTCAAAGTTAGGTGCGGCATAACCTAACACCTTAGGCCATCAGTCATAGTTGACCAACGCACAGTTGACAATCCAGAGATATTTCTGATAATGACCGTCCCCAAGGCTGTGGCCAAAGCGATTACATTAACAGGATATATCCATCGTTTGAGAAAGAGTATCGCTCCGAGTCGTCTAGGAAGGCCGACATCTTTTCTCGCGCTTTTAAAGCATCGTGTCCCAGACGAAGCATCCTCCCGCATTTCCGGACAAGATGTGTTAGTCTCTTCAAATACGATGTTCGACCGATGCGACGACAGAGGTTGCGTGTTATCGTCCTGACGCCCAAATATGCAGATAATAATATCCCGAAGCAAGTGCGACTCCAAGCGCGCTTCGTAAGGTGTTCGTTCGATCACGACTAGTAGCTCTGCTTGCCACTACTTGGCGCGTACCATCCAATCTTGATATCGCAGAGTCGACTCTTCACGCAAATGGTTTGTAGATATCCAGGATCAGCGAAGGAAGCCCCCGATCACAATAAGTACGTTCGGAATGTCACCTCACATAATCTACAATTGCGCCTTCCAATGTACTTTTGTAGCAGAGCCTCCTCCATCCCCGATCTCTTCACCGGCCAGTCGACCCGATACACGCCCATAGCGAAAGGCTGCAATATGAAGAAGATCATTCAACATGCTCTCACCGACACAGATAATCAAGGCACCAGTTGGATGAAGACTATTAGTACTGACCGATCACATCCACCCCTTTACAGATTCATGTATCGATCCAGATCAATCGTTTTCATATGGGTTAGCTTCCCCCAGTTTACTTTACATATATCATCATCACACCCGTATTAAAGTCAACTCAACTTAGAAGAAGCATATTTGTGAATCGGTCAAGGCTGATCCGCGGAGGCTAAGCCTTCCTTCCAGTTGTATAAAAGTAGGTCCCTCGAGGTGGCTGCGTATTTCAAAGGCTGACGGTGGCCCGGTCTCAAACATCAAGTGGATCAAGGATTAGTACACACGTGTGAGTGTCCGAATCAACTGTGATGATCAGATTAAATCTAATGATGTGTATTATTGGGTACATGTTAGATCTGGATAGAGGTCTTGTTGCTTTGTTATCAATGAAACTACCGAGCGTTTCCGGTACCAACTGTAACTATAATTAAGTTGCGCCCAGTCTATTGCCGGCTGTGAACACGTCAACCGTAAATCGGCCAATAAAATGATATCCTCAGCGGCATGGCGTCTCCCACATGGTCATCCTGGGTCCACGAAACTCTCGTCTCCTCCATGAAGAAAGGTTCGGCATGGAAAGGCTGTACTTTTTGGGAGTGAGAGGATTTCGTGTGATATGAGCGGGTCCCGTCGCGGGTGGAATTGATTCATCCTTCCGGTTATACGTGGCCGACTTCAATCCCTCGGCCGTGGCGCGTGGCATCGGCAAGGTAATCCGCGAACCTACGATATCGGGATTGGTAGGTCTCTGGTCGGACACGCCAGTGAAGACACACCTCCCTTTCGTGGAGGTGTCCCATGACAGATCTTTCGATGCTCCCCTTTGGGATATTACACTCGACGAGGAGACCATGGTGCTGTTCACCCAACCAACGATTGCATATTGTAGGTGTGTTTCTGGCTGCCGGCTTCACAAAGTTCACCATCTCACTAAATGTATCAGGAGTGAAAAATGCAGGCGGACGTCTTCGAAATGTAGTCCATATTTCATTATAGTCAGTCGTCTAGGGTATTCCAGGGGAGGCTGTGTTTTCGGATATGGACATGTGAGCAACTACAACGGTGACGACGATACCGATGACAATGACAATGACAATGGCGACAACAACAAGTTCGACGACGACGAGCTTCAGTAGAAGAGCAGATACGGATCCTTCATGTGTCAATCTTTAATCTATCAAAAGTCTCTGGCACCGTCGTGACTGCTGCGCAGCATGACCTTGGGTTAACGTTCAGTTCTTGTGAGCACAAATATAAATGAGGCATTTTGAGCAATTTGCCTCAGCTCTAGCCCGGCCTTGATCCTTCAAGTTGTTGGTATCTTTGCGTATTACTGGAGGATCCCTAGCCGAAGCTGGGGTAGCAAAGTAGCTTAGTCAGCCACTCGGTGTCCTTCGGGTTTACAATGTTGTACTAGCGTAGCGGTGCTGAGTGCTCTCCACCACTAGTTTTTTGAAGGATATACCCATCGTTTAAAAAAAAATATCGCTCCGGGTCATCTAAATAAGCCGACATCTTTACTCGAGCTTTCAAAGCTATTGTGGCCCAGACCGGGCCAGACGAAGCATCCTCCCGCGTTTCCGGACAAGACACAGTCTCTTCAAGTACGATGTTCGACCGGTGCGACGACAACTTGGAAGGTTGTATGTTATCGTCTCGACGCCTGAATATGCAGATATCGCAATTCGTGAGGTGTCTGTTTGATCAGAACTAGTAGCTCTGTTTGCCGCTACTTGGTGTGTACCATCCAATCTTGATATCACAAGAGCCGAATCTACAAGTAAACGGTTTGTAGATATTCAGGATCAGCCATGAAACCCCTGATCCCAATAGGTTCGGAATTCCACCTCACACATGATCTACAATTAGTACGTCTTCCAATGCGCTCTTGTAGCAGAGCCTCCTCCCTGATTTTCTCACCGGTTGCCAGTCGACCTGATACACGCCTGCAGCGACAATGTGAAGAAGATGCTCTCACCGACACAACATTCGCTAGATAATCAAGGCGTCAGTCGGATGAAGACGGGTTAGTGACCCATCACATCCATCACTTTACAAATCCGTGTATCAATCCAGATCGTTCGGTTTCATGTAGACGAGAACGATTTAGCTCCTCCGGTCTGCTTTATATCACCATCACACCCGTATTATATAAAGTCTTCTTAACTTAGAAGAACTTTGTTTGCACACCGTCTAAAACGGCCAAGGCCTGACCTACAGAGGTCAAGCCTTCCTTCAAGTTCTACAAAAGTAGGACCCTCCGAGGTTGCTGCGTATTTCAAGGACTGATGGTGTCTCAAACATCAAGTGGATCAAGGATCAGTACAATGAGCACATGCGAGTGTCTGAATCAACTTTGATGAGCAAATTAAATCTAATGATGCGTATTATTCGGTACGTGTTAATAGACACTGACCTTATTAATATGTTACCAATGAAAATACAGAACATTTCTGGCACCAACTGTAAAGCAGCCAGTAAAATGATACATCACGATATTCTCAGCGGCATAGCATCTCCAGTATCCGATGTTGATGGGTTCCCAGCTCATATAAGAAGGTGAACGGATGTATACACGAAACCCAATTTGTTTCCTCTCGAACGAATCCAGATGGAATATTCGGCGGACGATGTCACGGCGGCCAGAAGTTTGCAGCTCTTAGCGGTGCGTCGCTTTCTTGTCACGATAGCAAGATGATAACAGATATATCACGGGTGGCAACTAGTACTTATACGGTGCGTGCTGTCTGAACCGCATCTTCCATGTTCTAACTCGAAAGCTCAGCGTCAATGGCGACGTTCTGGGTATGTTTATTCCGATCTATGTCCATCCGCCGTTGAACTTGTTTATCCAGATCTATGACTATATTTGCTCACTTTACGAAGAGGCAAGTAGTGTACTTGTGTCACGATATGCCTAGGCTCTGATATTGATAATGTGCTGTTCAAGTGGACATTCCTACTTCGGTCGCGCTGGACCAAAGTAAAAGCCCTTTATATCATTACGCGATATGTCCCTTTTTTGATCCCCATCGTGAACCTATATCGTGCGTTCATCCCAGTATATATTCCCCCAACTCAATAAATTGGCATACTGTCGTTTCAGTGGCCGTGGCCCCGAACGAGGATAACAATGTATGTGGACATGGACATCTATCCACCGATACATGATGCTGACTGTATTACTTCGCCAGGATTGCCAAATATCGATCAATATTATCTCATGTACGTGCCCGGTACATATTGCATGCACATCCTTACCGAGCGCTGCTATTTCCTCTTACAGCCTTGAGTTTGATTTCATTCGTTTGCTCTGAATGTATCTCTCCTTCCTCCGAGACATACACGTGTTTCTAATCCGATTCATCCAGGCTTTTTTGTCCTCAGAACGTATATGCTCTGGAACAAAAATAGAATTCTACTCAGAGTCATGTTGTCCGCCATTTTTGTGAGCCCCACGCCCTCACCACGCCCAAGTTCAATGTTGATAAATCAGTCAGGCTGTCGCCGTAGCATCCACCATCATTAGTTTTTACTCCTATTATGATCTCTTATTGCTTGTGCTCTCACCTTCATTCACTATTATTGGCACATATTCACCTCGCTTTCACAGCTACGGCTAACCTAATCCCAGGCTGTCCCCAGAACTTGGGCAGTTTCTCATTCTTCATGCCGTTTATTCTCTTGTTCGTGTTCCAACTTGGTATGCAGTCGGAAACTGGGAGTGTGACAATTAGCAGACACGCGCTGACTGACGCTATACCTCAGCTACTGATAGTCCCTCACACTCATGCTGTGTCATACAGAGCTGGCGGTCGGCCAAGGGCCCTCTGTACGTTATCCTAGTGAAGCATAATATATTCTACTATGCATGCGGTCTGCGTGAGTGAGACCTTACATATTTTTCCGTGCTTATCGGTGATGATTAACTTTTCGAAAGTTCTCTCGGCCGTGAACGTCCTTGTGCCGCTGCTGCCGCTTTCTGATGTGCGTAAACAATACCCTTCAATATGATGAAAGCATTGATGTTGCGCACACCCAGTCCCTAACAGACCTCGTCCCCGAAGAGTATGCACCTCCAACGTCTGTTGCGAATTCCTACTAACAACAACTCCCACACACGCATATACAGTTTTGAGGTCTTTATCCTTGCGATTCTCGCTACGCGCATGCACCTCCGTATCTGGCATATGGATCAGCACGTGGATGACTCTGACATCGCCGTGTGTATACCTATGTCAGACATGTCACCTGTAGACCATACGGTGTGTAACATCTTATCGAGTGGCTTATTTGGTGTCGTTTGTGAAGTTGAACTTGGACTACGACTTCCTTCTCTGTTTGATGATTGATCAGCAATACACGAGCCATATCGCTGCTTGCCACTACATGATGATGCGTACCATCCAATCTTGGTACTTATCGCAGAGAAGTATGTGCAGGTTGTTACAAGGTTAGAAAGGTCAACGTGCTGTGAGTAAGAACTTGCGAATTATAATTTATGCCGTGGCATGTCTGCACCCTCTGCATCTTCATTCAGTTAGCGCCCAACACATCTTATCAGCAGCCATTCGATGTGCTTACAATTCGTCCTTAGTTCCATCTATTCGGGCCAGTGATCACGACTCGGCGCTACTTCGGTACGTCGACATCTATTTTCGCTAGGAATACATTTATAATGCTCTATTTTCGATAGATTGGCTCGATGGAGCCGTGATAATCTGCGAACCTACGATATCGGCATCGGTAGGTCTCCGGTCATACACGCTGGTGACGACATACCTGACGGGTTCCCAGCTCGTTTAAGAAGGTGACCGGATGTGTACACGAAACCCAATTGTTTCCTCTCGAATGAATCCAGGTGGAATATTCGGCGGACGATGTCACAGCGGCCAGAAGTCTGCAGCTCTTCGTGGTGTGTTACTCACTCGACACGACAGTAAGATAATAACAGATATATCACGTGTGGCAACTAGTGCTTATACAGTGTGCGCTATCTGAACTGCGTCTTCCTCGTTCTAACTCGATAGCTCAGCGTCGATTGCGATATTCTGGGCATGTTTATTTTCATCCGCCGTTAAACTTGTTAATCCAGATCTATGACTATATTCATTCACTCTACGAAGAGGTAAGCATTGTACTTGCTCCGCGATATGCCTAGGCTCTGATATTAATGATGTGGTGTTCAAGTGGACATTCATACTTCAGTAGCGTTGGACCAGTGTAAAAGCCCTTTATATCATCGCACGATATATCCCCTTTTTAATCACCACCATGAACCTATATCGTGCGTTCATCCCAGTATATATCTCCTCAACTTAACGAATTGGTATACTGTGCTTCAGTGATCGTATCCCCGAACGAGAACAATGATGTATGTGAACATAGTCATCTATCCGCCGACGAATGACGCTAACTGTATGATTTCGCCAGAAATGCCAAATATTGATCAAGATTATCGCATGTATGTGCACGGTACATATCGCATGCACGTTCTTACCGAAACCTGCTGTTTCCTCTTCTAGCCATGGGTCTGATTTCACTCACCTGCTCTGAATGTACCTTTCCTTCCTCCGAAACATACATGTGTTTTTGATCTGACTCATCCAGGCTTTTTTATCCTCAGAACGTATGCGCTCTAGGAACAAAAATAGAGTTCTACTCGTAGGCATGCTGTCCACCCTTTTTGTGAGCCCCACGGTACACCCAAGTTCAACGTTGATAAATCAGTCAGGCTGTCACCATATCATCCTTCATCATTAACGGTTTTACTTTTGCTACTACTGTGACCTCTTACCGGTTGTGCTGTCCCCTTCACTCACTACTATTTGCACATATTCACTCCGCTTGCACAGCTACGGCTAACGCAATCCCAGGCTGTAGCCAGAGCTCGAGTCGTTCCTCATGCCATTTACTCTCTTGTTTGTGTTCCAATTGGGTATGCAGCCGGAAACTGGGAGTGTACATTACAGGCACGCGCTGATTGATGCTATCCCCAGTACTGATATACTTCACACTCGTGCGTGTCATGCAGAGTTGGTCGTCGGCAAAGGGCCCTCTGTACGCCATCCTAGTGAAACATAACATATTCTACTATGCATGCGGTCTGCGTGAGTCAGAACCTATATTTCCGTGCTTATCGGGGATTAACGTTTTCGAAAGTTCTCTCGGCCGTGAACGTCATTGTGCCACTGCTGCCGTTTTCTGATGTGCGTAAACAATACCCTTCGATATGATGAAAGCATTGATGTTGCGCACACCCAGTCTGTATCCTACTTCCTCCTTGAAGGGTATGCACCTCCAACTTCTGTTGCGAATTCCTAATGACAACAACCCCGAACGCATATATACAGTTTGGAGATCTTTATCCTTGCAATACTCGCTACGCACATGCACTTCCATCTCTGGCACATGGATCAGCACGTGGACGGTTCTGACATCATCGTGTGGATATCTATGTCAGACGTGTCACCTGTAGGCCGTGCGGTGTAATTTCCTATCGCCTGGCTTATTTGGTGGAGTGGGACCTGGACTACGAATTCAAGCGCCCTTCTTCGCTGTTTGATGAATTTGATCACGAGTGATACACGGCCCATTCCATGGCGCTACTTGCCAGGTAATATGTTCGGCGAACCCCGACTATCCAAATCTTCTTTCTTGTAGCAATCCTGTATACCATGGTCAACCTGTATTATATGTATCGTCAATTTGTCACGCTAGACTACATCCCGGCAAGAGCTATGCGGCACCAAGGACCTTCCACTGCTTAGTCAGCACTTGGATTAGGTTTCACATGATGTTCGTAGCTAGCATCTATCACACATCGGAGGTTTGGAACATTTTACCTCTTGCAAAATTTCAATCAAAAGCAGATCTAGACCTGGCTAGAGCATTCTAGACCTAGCCTGGAACGCTCTGGAGCCCTCTAGATTGCATTTCGAATGTGATTTCACTAGTCGCAAAATATAGTAAAATATCGAAACTCCCGCTGTGTCAACATCACAGCTTGTCTGTCTTGCTCTGGGCTCAGGCTGCTGGCCCTGCTCCAACGCGAAATCAAACCGCCTTCCTTTAAGTTGGAGAAATGTAGGTCCCTCGAGGTGGCTACGTCTTTCAAGGACTGATGGTGTCTCAAATATTAAGTGGATCACGGATCAGTACAATGAGCATTTGTGAGTTTCCGAGTCAATTTCGATGATCAAATTAAATCTAATAATATGTATTAGTCAGGGTACATGTTAGCATTTGAATAGAGATCTCATTGCTATGTTATCGATGAAAATACAGAACACTTCTAGTGCAGGCTGTGAACACGTCAACCGTAAATCGGCCAATGAGATAATATTCTCAGCGGCTATGGGGTCCCTAGTATCCGATCTTGACGGGTTCCCTCGTTTAAGAAGGTGACCGGATGTGTCCACGAAACCCAATTTTTTTCCTCTCAAACGAATTCAGATGGAATATACGGCGGACGATGTTCACAGCGGCCAGAAGTCTGCAGGTGCGTTACTTGCTCGACACGACAGTACTAGATGATAACAGATACATTGCGTGTGGCAACTAGTACTTATACAGTGCGTGCCGTCTGAACTGCGTCTTCCTCGTTCTAACTCGATAGCTCAGTGTCGATTGCGACATTCTGGGTATGTTTATCCCGATATATTTTCATCCGCCATTAAACTTGTTAATCCAGATCTATGACTATATTTGTTCACTTCACGAAGAGGTAATTATTGTACTTATTCCGCGATATGCCTAGGCTCTGATATTATTAACGATGTGCTGTTCTAGTGGACATTCCTACTTCAGTCGCCCTGGACCAAAGTAAAAGCCCTTTATATCATCGCACGATATATCCCCTTTTTAATCACCAGCCGTGAACCTATATCGTGCGTTCATCCCAGTATATGTTTTCCCAACTTAATGAATTGGCATACTGTGCTTCAGTGACCCCGATCGAAAATAACAATGTATGTGAACATGGTCATCTCTCCACTGACAATGAAGATAACTGTATGACTTCGCCAGAAATGCAAGATATTGATCAAGATTGTCACATGTACGTGCCCGGTACATATTGCCTGCACGTTCTCATCGAGCGCTGCTTACAGCCCTGGGTCTGATTTCGATCACTTGCTCTGAATGTATCTCTCCTTCTTCCGAGACTTATACGTATTCTGATCCAATTCATCCAGGCCTTTTTGTCCTTAGAACGTATGCGCTCTGGAACAAAAATAGAATTCTACTCGTCGCCATGCTGTCCATCCTTTTTGTGAGCCCCATACCCTCACCACGCCCAAGTTCAATGTTGATAAAACAGTCAGGCTATCGCCGTATCATCATTCTTCATTAGTTTTACTCCTATTAGTATCACCTCTTATCGTTTGTGCCCTCACCTTCACTCACTATTATTTGCACGTATTCACTCCGCTTCTACAGCTGCGGCTGACGCAATCCCAGGTTGTCACCAGAGCTTGGGTGGTTTCTCATTCCTCATGTCGTTTTCTCTCTTGTTTATGTTCCAACTGGGTATGCACCCTGAAACTGGGAGTGTGCATTGCAGACACATGCTGATTGATGCTATCCCCAGTGCTGGTGTCCCTCACGCTCGTGCGTATCATACAGAGTTGGCGGTTGGCCAGGGGCCATGTGTACGCCATCCTAGTGAAGCACAACACATTCTACTATGCATGCGGACTGCGTGAGTAAGAACTTTCATATGTTTCCATGCTTCTCGGTGATGATTAACTTTTCGAAAGTTCTCTCGACCGTGAACGTCCTTGCGCCACTGCTGCCGCTTTCTGATGTGCGTAAACAATACCCTTGGACATGATCGAACCATTAATGTTGCGCACACCTAGTTTGTATCCTACTTCCTCCCTGAACTTGAAAGGTATGCACCTCCAACTTTTGTTGCAAATTCCTACTGACAAACATACGTACAGTTTGGAGGTCTTTATCCTTGCAATCCTCGCCACGCGTATGCACCTCCATCTCTGGCATATGAATCGACACGTGCGCGGCTCTGACATCGTCGTGTGTATATCTATGTCGGACATGTCACCTGCAGACCGTACGGTGTAACGTCTTATCGTGTGGCTTATTCTTCTCTGTTGACGATTTTGATCACGGGTAATACATGACCCATGTTGCTGCTTGCCAGTACATGATCATGATGCACACCATCCGATATTAATCATGGTATGGTGGAGAAGTAAACAGGATCAATTTACTTACGCTCGGCGGTAATATGTTCGGCGAACTCCGACTATTCAAATCTTTGTTCCTGTAGCAATCCTGTGTACAACGGCCAACCTGTATTATACCGTCAATTTTTCACGCCAAGTTAACGGTTTATGCGCCAGTGCGGTGCACACGGGAATTTAATCCCAAGCCCGCAGCCGTCATACCGACTGAAACGCTGCATGCTGCCCAGCGTATGCTATAAACTTACGAACTCTCAAGGCCTCAAATTTAAAGAGCAACGATAACTTTCTGAGTGCTGGGGTATCGACTTTCAAGCATACTGCGTACCTCACGGAGGAGTATCACTGGCACGGTGTAGACGGTGACTGAAATAAGCTGACGGCGGCTTCGTTGGATCCCTCCAAACACAGTCCAGGTCAAACACGCCTCGCATCCACCAAAAAGAAGACAGTCATTTGATTTAATAGGTGGGGCTCTCCATGCCACTAGTCACTATCCACCATGAGACTGAGGAAACAGTCCACCGTTTCCCCCGGAGTGCACGCAGTATCGTTGAAATGATATGTCCGCGGACTCCGGAGGCTCCAATGCGCTTCTATCAAGAGATGCTTCTAACAGGAGATTGGGGAAGGAGTGGAGCTTGGCAGCTTATCAGGATAGATCCGTTGTACGTCTTGATGTACACGTTTCCATCCACGGTCGTCTTTTATTCTCCGAGCGCCTCGACGTTTTCTAATAACCTCCTCCGGATTACGGTGATGTCTTCTCTTAGTATTTCGAACTAAGACTGAGTTCTTTTCTGGTATGAGCCTATGCAATTTGTTAGAGAGGTCTGAAAGTGGAGCTACGTTCTCTCCGACAAGTTGATGTGGCATGAATCAACGTAGTACTAGTAAGTACTTGACGCTGAATCCAAACTGGGTCTGTGTTGATCCGACCTAACCATTTATAGTAGGTGTGTATTGTGTTTGCGCCTCGTGAACACCTGGTATCATGATCATCGATCATCGGGTTTGGCCAGCTCCGAGTCATCCATAAGAGATAACAAAGTGCATGCTCTGGGCGCAAAACACATCCTTCCAAGTTACCTCTCCAACGAACGCAGATGGAGTACTCGGCTGACGATATCGCAGCGGCCAGGATTCTGCAGTATTTAGCGGTTTGTCGCTTCCTCGACCCGATGACAAGATAATAACTGATATACCATGGGTGCCACTAGTACATATGCAGTGCGTGCTGTCTTCAGAATATTTTCTTCCTGACTCTAACATAATGTTTCAGCGTCACTGATTGTATTCTGGGTAGGTTTGTCCCGATCTAGTCCTGTTCACCGTCAAACCTGTTAATTCAGACCTATGATTATATTTGTTCACTTCACGATGAGGTAAGTAATGTGCTTCTTCCGTGGTATGCCTAGCTTTAGATATTGAAAACATGCTGTGCGAAGTGGACATTCCTGCTTCGGTCGCGGTGGTCCAACGTGAAATGCCTCTATATCATTGCACGATATATACCCTTTTTCCTCATCGCCGCAGACACACGTCGTGCGTTCATTCCCAGCACACATCCCCCGATACTGAATTGACATGCTGTGCTTCAGTGACCTTGACCCCGAATGAGAACTCCATGGTATGTAAAGGTGTAGCAGACTTCCACTGATGACGACACTCACTGCATGACATGGTCAGGCCTGCAAGATTCTCATCAGTATTTACTCATGTACGTGCATGGCACATGCTATATGCACGTTCTTACCGATCATTGTTCTTTCCACTCACAGGTTTTGCAGTGATATCCCTCACTTGCTCTGAATGTATATCTCCTTCCTCGCGACACAAACGTGCTCCTGATCCAATTCATCCAGGCTTTTTTGTGCTCAGAACATATGCGCTCTGGAGCAACAATAGAATCGTACTCGTAGCCATGTTGTCGACCCTTTTTGTGAGTCTCGTGCCCTCACGCATCCAAGCTCTTGATCGCTGACTCAGTCAGGCTGTCATCGTATCGTTCATCGGCATTTGGTTTAGTGCTATTGCCAAGTCTCAATATTGTATGTACTCTCACCTTCCCCAGCTAGTGTTCCCATATATTCACTCCACTCTCCCAGTTTCGACTAGCGCCATCTCAGGCATTCCAGGCATCACAGGCTGCTACCGGACCTCGAGCAGTGTCCAATTGTACCTGCCGTTTATTCTCTTGTTTGTGTTTCAACTGGGTACATGTCGTCGGGACCTGGGATACATTATAAACGCGTGCTGACTGACGCTCTCCCCAGGACTGGTCTCCCTCACACTCATCCGTGCAATACGGAACTGGCGGTCGACAAGATATCCTCTCTATGCTACCCTAGTGAAGCATAATATATTCTACTATGCATGCGGTCTGCGTGAGTCAGGACTTACATCTGTTTCCGTACTCATCGGTGATGATCATTGTTCGGAAAGTTTTCTCGGCCTTGAACGTCCTTGTACCAGTGATATTTCCCGATGTGCGTGAACCTGATGCCCTTCAATACGATCGAATAATTGATGTTTTACACTCTCAGTCCCCATACCACTCCTTCCTCGAAGAGTATGCACTTCATCTTCTGTCGTGGATTCCTACTGACAATACCCTATATACAGTTTCGAGGTCTTTATCCTTGCAATCCTCGCCACGCGGATGCACCTCCGTCTTTGGCATATCGACAATACCAAGCACGACGGTGATGCGCTCTTGTACATTTCCATGTCGGACATGTCACCTGGAGCCTGAGACCGTACGGTGTGACGTCTTATCGCGTGGCTTATTCGGTGTTGTGAAGTTTGGACTGTGAGATGACTGGTTTGGGTGGCTTGGCATGATGGATACCTTAATATCGCAGAACTCGCACTATAAATCTGTTTGCACACGATTCACGACTAATGATGACAACTCCTGCAAGTTGGGTTTACATAGTACCGAGTTGAACAATGGGCTCTTCCGGCTCGCACACTTCTCAGGCGTCCAGATGGCACCAACTGACAGGTCATAGATCCCTAATACTTCATACACAGTCGACCAGGATATAGTTCACGATCCCAATAATCGATGTCTATCCGAGTCAGTCTTGATCGTAGGACACGGCAGACACTTGGATGTGGTGCTGGTATACCCATCGTCCACACTATCTTCGCCTTGAACGCTGAGCTGCGGTTGGGACTATGCACCGAAGAGTGTTGTGCTTGTGTGATGTGATGCTACGCTAAAACCTGCTAAAACTCGAACAGCTTGCCGTGTACGTGTCTGACTAAGCTATGTGGAGATCGCCACGTCAAAAAATTCTCACCATCTCAAATTGACGCATGGCCAGACTGGTTAGGAGTCTATGTCTCTGGTCCATGCCTTGGTACCAACGCCATCGACTTTCTTCCGAATACAGCAAATCCTTCTAAAGTCCATTTTCTGTTCGCCCTGCAGCTCAGCCAGCGTGTTCGCAATCACCTTCGCTTCCCTACCCTGGCCATCATCCATCAACGACACTGCCCATCATAATAAGGATCATCTGCATGGCATCAAATTACGAGACGAACGGCGTTAGACTCATCAAGTTTGGATCCAGTGGATGCAAATTCTCCAAGCTTTCCTATCAGTGGTCACCGGCATTTTCGTGACATGAGGATCGCGATTCGCCAGGCTGTTTGTCTGTGAGAACACTAAGATAATCAAGAAGGGCTGTGCGAAGGCGCTCTTGAGTATGAGCACAATCCACCTTTGCGACATTGTCTCATCCCTCCACCAACCCTATCTCCATTCATGGCTTGGACGCGTACTTTCTCCTCATATCGACACTATCTGCATCAAGCCGAAGACCACGCCGACGTGAGCAATTGATCTTTGAAGATTTAGAACCAAGGTAGCTGGTACCTGATATCAATGATGGTGTTGCAAAATTTCAAATATCAAGGAGCAATCAAGGAGTTTTCGAATCTGCTTGCAATGCGTTGATCAAACCTAATTATAGATACTGGGGCTGCCACTAGGTGCGTCTGACTCCTTGTATCTTAAATGTATATAGTCTGACCATTGACCATACAACTGACGTGCCTCTGACAGGAACGGAGCTTGACTATTCTCTTAGCCGTCTCTGGCACTGGAGAACTGTTGTCAAGTTGCGCTCACAGGCCCGTCTGCCACTGTGTTATGGCAGCCTGCGACCATAACGTCAACTCTCTAGATCATTAATCCAAACCTGCAACACGAATGCTGTCCCCGATGTCTACGCCCCCATCTTGATGTGCCTAGTTTATGTGAGAGATAAGGTGAATGATGTGTGCGAAAGTTCCGTCTCTTTACCTATCAAACAAATGCAGATGATATACTTGGCTGATGATATCGCGGCGTCCGACAACTTGTGTCGAAAATAAACAAGGAATCAGTGTCTGAGATCGTGATGACAATGACAATGCACTGTACATACGTATGAACGTCCAAAAGAGGTGTCCATCGAAACGTGGCGAGGGGGTAGTATCACGCATTCAACTTCAAATATCACCTTTTGGAATCCCTGCATGAGTCTACTGCCATATAGAGTCATACGCAGGCGGAATATCTCTTGGTTCGCCTTCTTCACTATGCACCCGTCCCGCATCTTGGTGCTGGACAACGCCAGAACCCTCTCCATCAACTTCTTGCTGGGTAGCGAGGTCGAGGCCTTGACGTCCAGAAGCAGCTTCTCTCTCCTTCATTGAGTACATGTTTGGTCCGCCTTGGGGGTACCGGCCCGGGCCTGGGCGAATGAAGCCCTGAGAGGGGTACCCGTTAGCAGCAGTGGTGGCGGTGTCGCTGTATTGGGAGGGAGAGCTAAGTGGGAGGGTCGTGCGGTTTATACTTGCGGCAGCTGCTGCGCCGGCGGCTGCACCCGCAGGTAGGAAGGGGCTTTCTCCGTATTGGCGCATGCTGCTACCATGGTCAGTGTAAGGGTGATCTCATTTTCCTCGCCAAGGTCGACTTGGGGGAGAGTCCCACCCCCTGAAGGTTGGGAAATAACACGATCGGGGCCAAAGTTGCCATCGGACTCGACTCGCCTTATGCGACGGCGTAAGCAGAAGATGAGCAGAGCGAAGATGGCAATCGCGGCGATACCACCGACTACGCCACCTACAATTGGGCCGGTGTTTGATGAGTTGTTTGTGGAAGAGGAAGAGGAAGTTGAGACAGGGATTGAGGTTGTTGTGGATATCTCTGTTGTGATGATGACTGTTGATCCGTATGCATTTGTTGAGCTAGCATATTGGATAAAGGACTGTAAAAGACATGAGATAAGAAAGGACGAACATAATAACGACGGGTACTGTAGTCGGGACAAATGTCATGGAGGTTGTTGTTGGAGTGGTACTTGTGGTTGCAGGGGTAGTTGAAGTTTGTCCATTGCTGTCAGTTGTCGTGGAAGGTGTGGAAGATAGGGAAGGAGCAGAAGATGGAGGAAGAGCAGAAGGAGCGAAAGATGTGGAACTTGAAAATGAGAGAGCAGAATAAGTATCGACTGTTACCGTCAGTGGGTTAGACATGATGGCAAGAAGGATATAGGAGAGACAACGAACTGAAAAGTTACTAAACGGAAAAAACGTTTGTTCTTAACTTACTATAATTACATACTATATGAGCGCGTCTGGACAAGGAATAACAAAATTCAAATTCAACTGAGCCAAGTCACATGGTCTGGGAGATCCCGGATCACCCCAGGTCAAACACGCCTCTGCGGCAGTAAATTGATTTACATAATAGGTGGGGGCTCTCTATGCCATAGCCCGTATTGCTGACAACGCCCAGCCGCCCGCAACGTACCGCTTTCCCCAGAGTGCGCGCAGTATCGCTGAAATGATATGTCCGCGGACTCCGGAGGCTCCAATGCGCTTCTAGCAAGTGACAGGAGATTGGGGAAGCAGTGGAGCTTTGGCAGCTTACATCATAAACTATAATGT